AGTCAGGAAGCAGAAGCTCAATCTGTGTCTCCCACTTGGATAGCAGGCACTACAACTTGAGCCATCACCTATCGCCTCTCAAGGTGCACATTCATGGGAGGCTGGGATCTGAAGTACTCAAGGACCTGAACTAAACATTTCAATATAAAACACAAGCTTTCTTAGGGGCAGCTTGACCACTGTGCCAAACACCTGCCTTTGAGTTCTCATCTTACATTATACTTGATGCACTTTGTTTTATTTCTGTCCTGCAAGATTCAAACCAACAAAGTGAACAGTAGACTAGTTCTATATTTATTCACGAATAGATACTTTAATCAGTTATTAATGCAAAATACTTTTTATCATCAGTATCTTATTCTCAATCAGGTGACTACAAAATTTATGTACACTTACTCTATTAAAAAAAAAAGATTTGGCTATGTTACATGCAGAGTGAGAGGCAGAAACATTCTTACACACAGAGAGGAAGAGAAGGCATGAGTGAGCATTATTGTCCATTGGCTGGTTTCCTCCCACAAATGGCTGACAGTTGAGGTTAAGCCAGGCCAGGGACTCCGTGAGGGTTTCTGACAAGGGTGGCAGGGAATCAGGTATTTGAGCCATCTCCTATTGCTTCCCATGGTTTGGAAGTAGGGTAGCCAGCATGCAAACTAGCACTCCCATATGGCACACATCCCAAGCAGTAGCTGAAACCACTGCATCCCAGCACTTAGCCTAAGAACAAATTATTCTAAATCTCAAATGTTAACACAGACTAGACAACAATAATCTGCTGATAATATAAATCATGTAGTTACCATTTATCCCTTTTATTGTTAAAAAGTCCATTAAAAAAGAGACATGTTTTGTGCAAACTTACTGAAAAGTGTATTCGAACAGACCAAAGGTGGGGAACATTTTGCTGGTGGGCCGTATAATCACTAGGTCTGGCCCTGCCAAGGCAACTGCATTTTAGTCAAAAGTCAACAAATATACAGCAGGCTAATTTTTAAACTGATAATTTTGCATGGCCTGCAAATGATTTTATAAATATTCAAATGGCCCTGGGCAAAAAAGTTTTCCCATCTCAGAATAGAACAAGAAAGCACAGTTGAGTTTCCTAAGCATTGAGTTTCCTTCTTCGTAATGTCTTTAGTGTGTCTTACACTGGAAACAGCAGTGTGTACCAAAACAGATGGAGGGGAGACAACTAAAAAAGACCAGGAAAGATAAAATTCCAACTATTTTTCTGCAGGTATGAAAATCGCAAGAGCTGGGATGTCAGGAGGCTGAGTTCCCAGCTTACTATTAGAGAAAAGATAAAGAGAGGAGCCTAAAGCCAACACGTGATGTGAAAATTTTCCATTTCACAAATTCCATTAATTCCCCAGATATGGAGTATCATGTTCTCAAAAAATCTAAATAATTTTCACAAAGAATTAACTTACAGTGTTTCATATTACAGATCCACCCTGAACAGAGACAAGCCCTCTGTCTATTAAATTATGATCAACTAGGGGACTGAAGATAAAGAAATGACTACACTGCAAAAGTAAAAGTGAAGATTGATGGATTTCACGGGAAGCAGATGCAAGAAACATCACTTCTAGGGTTAGGGGGAAACTATACAATGTTTCAAGAAGGAGGAGAGTTCTATTAAGTAGCTGGAAATCCCAAAGAAGCAGATGGAAAGCACATATGCACAGCACATCTGGGGAATACACCCAGAAGTGTTGGATGTAGCACAGACTTATCAGAAAGAGCTGGAGACACAGAGAGATGAGTTAAGCACTACGAAGAATTGTAACTGTCTGCAATGAGTACCCAGAAAAGGGAATGTCAGGATCACAACTGCACTTTTGTAACTGTTTATTAAGCATCTATTTAATATAGTGCTACAGAAGTGCTAGTCCGGATCCTGTCCGTGCTCAAATTCATTCTTCACCCTTGGCCGCCTCCCTACAGTATGACAGGAAGTGTGAACCCATAAAGACCACGTTTCCAGGCTCCCAAGTCAGCAGGCTGTAGAGAGAAGGCCCAGGGCAAGGGGAAGATGCTATATCTTTTCCCTCCTTCCATTCCCTTTCTGCCTTGTTAGATGCTGCCTCAGGACTATAGTCTTCCCAGCAACAAGTCTACCTCTCAGTTTTCTACACAGGAGTTTCTACTGTTTCATTTCTCTAGGTCCTCTCATAATGGTTTTCTGCTGGTTCTAATCTCTGAGTTGCCTCATTTAAGTTGTTCGACTTCCAACGTCATCTACCACAAGTGTTATCAATTCCTTCATTAAATACTTCCATGTTGGGACCCGGCTTGGTAGCCTAGCAGCTCAAGTCCTCACCCTGAACACGCCAGGTTCCCATATAGGTGCTGGTTCATGTCCTGGCATCCCGGCTTCCTGTCCAGCTCCCTGCCTGTGTCCTGGGAAAGCAGTTGAGGATGGCCCAAAGTTTTAGGACTCTGCACCTGCATAGGAGCCCAGAAGAGGCTCCTGGCTTCTCCTGGTTTCAGATGAGCTCACCTCTGGTTGTTGTGGTCACTTGGGCAGTGAACCAGCAGATGGAAGACCTTTCTTTCTGTCTCTCCTCTTTGTAAATCTGACTTTCTAATAAAAATAAATAAATCTCTAAAACAAAACAAAAACACACGTAGGAAGTCAAGCAGGGCAAGCTGGCTTATAGAGAAAAACACTTGTAAGCGAGACAGACATTATCCCGATTGAAACATCACAGTGCTTTCCTACTTGGGGTGATTCTGCCTTCCAGGGAACATATTAACAATATGTAGACACTTCTCAAGGTGGGTAGGGGGTATCTTACTGGCATCTAGGAGTGAGGCCAGGAATGCTGCTTAAACACAGAACAACTCGCCGTGAAAATAATTATCAACCCCAACATATCAACAGTGCTTAGAATGAGAAACTTTTGACATTGGTTAACCCAAACTCAACTGGCTCACTGAACAGCTAAAACTCAAAATTCTTAAATGGCATGTACATGTGTATACCGTGAAAGCCTTGCTCTTACAGGTACACATGAGCTTGTTAACACATGTTAACAATCACAAGATCGCCAGCTGTTAACAAAATATCACATACTGATGTAGGCTAAGTGTTGATATTCAATTCTGCTAATGTGGGCAAAAAGTTAACCAAGCAATAACAAAAAATCACACTTTAGTAATTAGTTGTCCCCAAAAATGGATGGTGGAATTGTTTCCATCCAATGTTTCCTGTAAAATATGGTTACCAAGAACCCTATGTAAACACCATCTTTAGGTGACAGAGTGGAATGCTCTTCAAACACGCAAGACAAATGAAGGTTTTTTTTCTAAAAATATCCATTTACTTTTCTTGGAAAGGCAGATCTACAGAGAGAAGGACACAGACGGATCTTTCATCCACTGGTTCACTCCTCATGTAGCCACTATGGCTGGAGCTGAGCCGATCTGAAGCTAGGAGTCTTTAGGGTCCCAAGGCTTCGGGCTGTCCTTGACTGCTTTCCCAGGCCATAAGCAGGCAGCTGGAAGGGAAGCGGAACAGCCAGCAGCCTACGAATTGGTGCCCATAATGCGAGGATTTTGCCACTAGGCCATCGCGCTGGTCCCGACAAACGAGGTTTTCAAAGACAAAATAACCCCAGCGATGCCTGTGGGTGGTGGAGGATGATCCCGGCTGTATACCTCCGACTTCTAGAAATGTCCGGTAAGACGTCTGTAAAGCATTCCCGCCCAGGGTTTTGAGGTTTTTGTGGTTTTGCTGCCAACAGTACAACCTTCTTTATGCTTTGGTGATAGAAGCAATAACAAAAAAACCCGACTCCCACACAGACAACACACCCTGACAGCCAAAAGGTCTACATACTAAGCCTGCTGCAATGGAGGAAAAGCTAAGTAAGGAGAACTTGTTCAACTCGAAGGCATTTCCTTTTGCTAACTGTCTGATCATCAAAGGCGCAGGAATTGCTGCTATTTTAACATTTGCCAATGGCATTTCAAACCTCTACCCGAACGAGGTCCTGCAGGAAGGGTGTCAGAGGAGGATCGCCTCCGACCCGTCCCAAATCCGTAGTTCTAGGGCGGGTATTAAGAAGAGTGTCTGTCACCAAGGTCTTTCTTACAAAGCTGGGGAGGGGGTGGCAGGAGGGGGAGGGAAGCCCTTATTTGTCCTATTTGGGTTTCAGATCTGACAACGGAAAGTACGCCCAAGGTTGAAGCACACGGGGTCCGTCCATCACTTAGACAACTGTTTCAGGGGTCTCCGTGAAGTGTGCCAAGGCCTGACTTTCCCTCCGATCCCGGGCCCCAGGCGTTCTCCCTCCCAGCTTCTACTCGGCCTTCCTCTTAGAAGAGCATCCACACCCCAAACGAGGCTGAAAACTACCCAGACACAGCGAGCGACGGAACACCACCGTCAGTCCGAACTTGGAAGCGGGGAAAGCCAACCCTCCGAGTTTCCCCACCAAAGGAAAAACCTTCAGCTCCGAAGCTCCTTCGCCCCCGTCCCCAGTCCGGTCCGGTAGCCCTCCTTCCCGCGTCCCTGCCTACCCAACACGAGCCGGGCCACGTCCGAGGGTAACAGCATGATCCAAGCCGCCGGAGGAATCACAACAAGAGAAGAGACGCAGGTGAAGGGAAACACAGCGACAGGTCCTGCGCCGCATCTCCCGGTTCCACTGGCGGCACTGAACCCGCGGCAGCCCGTCCCGCCTCTTTCGTTCCCCGCCAGCCAATGACTTCCGCGGGACACAGAAAGGCGCCGAAATGAAGCCCGCCTCCGTGCGGCTTGGCCGTGTCGTCACTTCCGTCCTCGGAGGCGGAGGGGCGGGACCGGGGAGCGTGAGGGGGCGTGCCCGAGCGCCGGAGCCGCGTCGCAGGGTAAGGGGCGGGGCCTAGAGACTCTATCAATTGGTGGGCAGCGCGCAGGCGCGTCTCCTCCGGCCAGCCTAATGTTTTGGGGGTGCGGGAGGGCCGGGCGACGGAAAGCGCGTGACACGAATGTGCGCATGGGCAGACTGTGCGCCGTGGCCTCCGGCTCCGCGCTTGCTCCCGATAGGACGCGGCTCCCGGAGGCAGCGTTTGAACCGGAAGCAGGGAGACCTGAGGGCATAACGGGAGCGCGTGAGGAAGCTGTGCCTGTTTGAGGCCGCCGCCACCAGAGACGACTGGGGCTCGCGCTGCCGCCGCCGCCACACCAAGACACCGCCCCGGGCGTCAGCGTGCAGCGGTAGGGAGCGCAGCCGCGCCGTGCTTTCTGGTTAGGAAATTCAAGTCGTGTTCGACTCGCGGTCCGTTCCTGCCCCCCACGCTCCTTCTCACGCACCCCTTTTCTCAGCCGCCTGGAGTGGTCTCTTCATTCCTCGCCCCCCGCACCTTTGTTTTAACCAGGCTGCAGGTGCTCACAGCTTCTCTCCGAGCCCCCGACGACTTTATGCTCCAACTGTCTTTATTAAATGCTTTGAGTTGATCTCCGCACCAGCTTCTCCTTAGCCCTTTAGGGGTGCGGTTTCCGCTTAGGGTTGTGACTGAAGTCTGCTTCTCTACCCCTTCTCCCCGTGTCTTTTCCCTGTGTCACAACATAACCCTTTGAGCTAGCGAGCATTGATGATTTTGGGATCACAGCGTCGTGGGGAAGCGTGTAGATTCTGGAATCACCGAGTTGGAATTCTGGCAGCTGTTTGACATCTTCCTCGGGAATTTGCGGGCCGTTCTCCTGATGAGCTCCTCCTGGCCGCTAGCCGCTGATTGCCCAGGTCCAGATAATTGGCTAGGAGGCAAGATGATCAGGGCCTTGAAGGAGAGCGGCCTGGGAGAAAGCGCTCCCTGTGCACTCTTTGCCCTCTGGAGAGTGGTAGGAAGCTTCGAAACGAAACATAGGTGTAAAGGCATATCCCGCCGAAAGGCATTGAGATCTAGCATGGAATGTGGGATTGCTTGGCGTGGATGGGGGGAGCCTTTAGGATGTTGAGGTCACAGGAGTGGATGAGACCAAGGAGGTGAGGGTGCTGCTGGAGGTGTGACTGGAGCAACCAGCAGAAGGGACAGAGGGAGGAAGAGTGTGACCGGATTTAACAGTGAGCGTTTGCTGAGTTCCAGGATCTTTGCTGCTCGCTGTGTGAGTGGGCACAACCTGTTTCTGAAGTAGGTACTGATATTTCATCATTGAGGTGTGGGCAGACGAGCTCGCTTGCTCTCTGGGTTGTACAGTTTAGAAGTGACTGGACCAAGGTTTGAACAAGTAAGGGTTGGCTACAGTGCCAGTGTTCTTAACCATGAGACAAGAACTGGCATGTCAAAGGCAAAGTTAGCTTTAAGAAAATGGAATTGGCATCGTTTGTGAAGCTTTACCGTCGTGAAGCTTCCGCAAGGGGATTAAGTTGTTAACAGAAAGGAATGCTGAATTTGCCAGTGCAGAGCCCGTTACTCAGGAAATTTGTGTTTCAGTGGCGTGTTCCTTAACCCCAGGTAGTCTGGATTAATGTGTGAGTGGAATGCACTTGTAACTGGTGATACTTTGACTTTAATTAGTTGTATCTGCGTCAACGTGCTCTTTTCTTCAATCTTAGTGCCCTTAGCTTGTGCTTGTCTCTTTCCCTCAGATGTTGGTCCTTTAGTTCCTATTTTATTCTTCTAAGATTTATTTGTTTTTATTGAAAAGGTAGGTTTACAGAGAAGAACGGCAGTAAGAGCTTCCATCCAGTGGCCAGAGCTGAGCCGGTCTGACGCTGGCCAGGAGCCAAGGGCCTCTTCCCATTCTTCCACATGGTTGGAGGGTATCAGGGACTTGGACCATCCTCTGCTGCTTTCCCAGGCCATAGCAGAGAACTGGATAGGAAGGGGAGCAGCTAGGATCTGAACCATGACTCATGTTGGTTGGAGGCAGAGGATTAGCCTCTTGTGTAACCAAGGCAGCCCCACATCTTGATTTTCTTATACCTGCCTTTGAGTTGCACTTCCATCTATTTTTCTAAAGTGATCCTCCATGCTGTTTTGTGTTGTGGAAGGTTGCTTTCTGTGAGGCAGTGATAGCAGATTTTCTGAGATATCCTAAATTTGATTACAAGGCTAGAGGATGGATGGGAGGAGAGAAACTAATTAGCTACCAGTTTGGGTCAGTCAAAACAAAATAGAAAATTGTGCTACCTTCCAGAATGTTTGTTGAAATCTTGAGTCAAAACCAAAGGAGTTGGCCAACAAGATGATGCTACCAATCAGGAATAAGTGAATGTTTCTTGTAGGCTGTCTTCCTGTCTCTAAACCGCCCACGTTGGGTTATGCTGCCACTCTTCCCTGTAGTTCATTGTAACTATACTTTCTCTCCCCCAGACTTTGAGTACAAATATTTTAACTTTATAGATTGAACATACTCCATTGCAGCAGCTGCTAGTTTTGCTGTTGGTGGTTACAGGAACTTCTTCCATAACAGTCCTTTTCCTAGCTAGTTTCTTTTTTTTTTTTTTTTAAGACTGGTTTATTTTTATTGGAAAGTCAGATATATAGAAAGGAGGAGAGACAGAGAGGAAGATCTTCCATTCTATGGTTCACTCCCCAAGTGAGCGCAATGGCTTGAGCTCAGCCAATCAGAAGCCAAGAGCCAGAGTTTCTTCCAGGTCTCCCATGCAGATGCAGGGTCCCAAAGCTTTGGGCCGTCCTTGACTGCTTTCCCAGGCCACAAGCAGGGAGCTGGATGGGAAGCGGGGCCGCTGGGATTAGAAGCAATGACAGTATGGGATCCCAGCGTGTGCAAGGTGAGTACTTTACTATGCTATTGCACCAGGCCCTCCTAGCTAGTTTCTACAGTTACTAAAACTTTTTTGTTTTAGAAAGTCTCAAGAGTTTTTTTGTTTTAATTAAAAAAATATATTTTTAAGGCAGAACTTTGAATGGAGAGAGAGGGAGGGATATTTGCTCCTAGTGGTTCACTGCTGAAATGACCACAGTGTTGGCTGCAATGCAGGAGCTTTTGGGTCTTAGCTGGTGCTGGGGCCCCGGCAGTTTGGCATCATCCACTGTTTTGTCGGACCATTGATTGGGAGCTGAATCAAAGTGGAGCAGCCTGTGGCTGGCACCATGGAGCAGCAGGCTAATCCATTCTGTGGTGCCAGCATCCCATATGGGAGCTGGTTCAAGTCCTGGCTACTCCACTACTGAGCCAGCTCTGTGCTAATGGCCCGAGTCCTTGGGCCCCTGTGTGAAAGGCCAAGAAGAAGCTCCTGGCTCCCAGCTTTGGATTAGCTCAGCTCTGGCCATTGTGGCCATTTGGGGAGTAAGCTGGTAGTTAGAAGATCTTATCTTTCTCTCTCTCTAAAATCTACCTTTTATATATATACATATATAAAATATATATAATATATATTTATATATATTTATATATTTATATATCTATATTTGTATTTAAAAATATATATAATACATATATATTTAAAAAATGGATGTTAAAGTGAAGCAGGCAGAAAATGAATCAGCACCCTTTGGGATGCTGACACTGCATACATCCGCTTAAACTGTTATACCACAGCACTGAAAGAAACTAACAGTATGTCACATTTGCAGTTATGCATTGATTTTTCAGATCATTGGTTTATTGACCTTTTCCCATAGTATGTCACGAAAGCAGGATTTACATGTTTTGTTGATTTGTCTAGCTATCCCTTGTGTAGTACCTTAAACATACACGGTAGGTGCATAGTAAATATTTTTTGCCTGTATCAGTAAATGAACATCCTGTTTGCTGCTGCTGACTTGTTTTGTGTTCTTCAGAACAATCAATACTTAAACTGTAGGAAAAATAGTAAATTCAGAAAAGCCACTGCTTGAAATAATGGGGTCATGTTTAGGGCTCCCTCTTTTTTTTTTTTTTTTAATAATCTTAGTTTATTAAGGTACAAATTACAAAGGGTCACTGGCTACAGGGTGAAAGTGGGTAATATCATTGTTTCCACCCTAATATAATCATTTTGCCCTGTACCTGGGGTTAGGGGAGTAACAAAGAGAAAAGCCCCACCCTACCTCCCACCCATCCCCGATCCCCAACATGAGGCGCTCTCCAAGGGTCCTGCTCAAACAGTTTTGATAGTTCATCAGTTCTGGATTGCTGCCAATCTCACCGTCCCAACCGTAATGAAACCTATTCAGAGTCCACTGGCTGACAGTCTCTTGATGGTTGGGGTTTCAAGATAAGCAGTTCAGTTGGAGAAATATCCAAAGAAACTTCATCTGAGTTGATCCCAGATCTGATTCTTGTGTGAGTTTGCTAGTACAGACTCCAACACTGTTCGTCACACCAATCAGCTTATGCATGTGCTGGTCTTTGCAATTGCTGGGTCCGTTTGGCTTCCAGCCCTATCTTCTTTGTGAACCAATGAGTGTTGTAGTCCAGCTCGATTCTGCCCACTTCATACTCGGTCTTCATGCAAACCAGTTGGAGCTGCAGCCTAGTTAGGGCGACTCCCCAAAACCCCTACCAGTTCTGCCCCCTACCCTGGTTCCCTTGCTTGCCAGTATGCACCGCAGGCTTGTCCAGTCTGTCCCACATCCCATTTAGCTCTCGTACATGTCAGTGGACATTGAAGCCTGGTTCAACCCAACCAACCTATTATCCAGCTCATACACCCACTGGCAGGTGCCTTTCTGTCTAGCCACTCCTGCTCCTAGCCTGGGTTTCGTGCTGTCCAGTGAGGGTGGTAACCCTGAGGGAGGTGCCCACTATTTCCCTACTAGGTCACACCCACTCCCAGAGTATGCGGTCTCCAGGTGGTTTTGGCATTTGACTTGACAGAATTAGCTCCCAGTGCCAGCCTCTACCAGGTAATGCTGTGGCTAAGCCCAAACACCCCTCAACCCACTCTAATTTTAACTCGCACCAGTCAGAACAGTCAGCTCACCGTGAGGTCCACAGGTGCTATAGCCCTGCCTAGTGTGAACTGCCCCCATCCGTATTCACACTTTCCAATGGAAGTAGTTATCCAGCAGGGGTGCCCACGTTCCCCTGTTGGCTTTGCCTCCTCCCCGATTGTCACATGTGCTGTTTGTGTGCTGCAGCCACATCTGGTACAGCTCATCTCACCTTGGCATTACTTGTTGTGTACTGGTATGTGTTGCAACCGAACCTGGCTCGACCCACACTCTGTTCTGGTGCTCGGATTCACCGGAAGGTAATGTGAACTGATTCAGGCTGGTCTGCCCCCAACCCATGCCATGTGTATGCCAGTGGGATAATTTTCATTGCCTGTTCTGGGTTGTTCCCTATTGTGCTTCTTGCGCTTACCTGCATGGGACTGTGTCCTGCCAGAGAAGTTTCCCTGACTCCTCCACCAGAACCTCTCCCAATGCCAGTTTTCGCGCATACCAGTGGGTCCATGAGCCAGCACTACTCAGTTCGCCTGCTATCCTAGGAGGAACAGTGGCTTTTCCTGACTGGCCTTCGACCCAAGCTGGTTCTTGTTGTTGGATATTTCAACCCAGCCATGGCTCTTCCATACCCCCACACAGCTCACACATGGTTCAGTAAGGGCTGAGACCTAGCCTAGTCTGTCACACATCTCCCTGGTCCTACAGAGCACCAGATGGTGTTGGAATCTGGCCTGGCTTGGTGCTTCCCGTCCCAGTCCACACTTGTGCCAAGTGAGATTACAGTCGTATCCTGATCAGAATGCAGCCTCAGTTCCAGCCAATGCGCTCCTTGGTGGGAAACTCAACCCAGCTAGGGTGTCCCGTTATTTCCCCAACCGGGCCTCTTCCCTGCTATAGAACAGGTGTAGGCTGGTGGTTGTTCTGTGTCCGGTTGGCAGAGCCCCTCACTTGTCCTGGCTCCTTGGATGCTGTGGCTTAGTGCCTCTGCCTCACGCAGATCCATATATGCAAGGACCTACATGGCATGAGCTGTGCTCCTACCTGATTTCTGTTGTTTCTTGTGAGTTAAGGTTTGTTCAAGGGCTCCCTCTTGCTGGAATTGTCATGTGTTCAGGTAAGGTGCATTGCAGATAGCATCTTTATATTTAGAAATTGAAGTATATTTGAGGTTTCTTAGTTAGATATTGTAGGGTGTTTTGATTGGTTAGACCATCAGTTTCATTTTCTGTATTGACTCAGCCAAGGGAGCCAGGAGATCACAGGAGAAGTAGGAAGAGTCTTAAACCATGAAGAGTGGAAAAATTAAAATTTAGGTCCTTATTTTCAAGACCGATGCAAAATGAAAACGATTTTCATGAACACAAAAATCTGTAATCTGTAACAGTATGAAGTGGTAAAATTGGTAGTAGCATTGGAAGAACCAAGAAAATTAAAGCTGTCTGTGATAAAATGCATCATCTTTTGGAGTGACTTACACCCAGTGTTTGAGTAGGATAAACATGTCAGGTGAATTTCATCCTTCACGGGATAATGGAGCATAATCTCAGTTTCTTTCAGAGATAGCATAAGATTACATAACCACACACAGATTTAATCTTGAAAGATTAAGAATTTTCCCCCAGCTTTTTATTTGAAAGTTTGATAATTGGTGAAACAGAGGGCTTCCACCTGCTGGTTCACTGCCTGATTACCTACAACAGCAAAGGGTAGACCTGGAACTGAATCTAGATCTTCCACGTAAGTGTCAAGGACTCATGCACTTGAGGCCTGATGCCTCCCGTTGGACGTGTGCATTAGTGGAAAACTGGGTCAGAAACAGAAAAGTTAGGAACCCTTGTATGTAATGCAGGGAACCCATGTAATAACTTAACCATTGTGCCTTCTGTCTTCTACCTCGGCATTTCTCAGTAAGATGTATGTGTTTGTGCACTTTTTAATATTTGTAATCATACTTTTAAGAAATTGAAGCTGCTTTGTATAAAAGGTTAGATCAGAAACAGCAAAACAGAGTGGAAAAAATGGTGTGTTTATATCAGAAAACTTAAAAGGAGAACTATTGCAGTGGAAGCAGGTATGCTTAGATATAATTGATTGGGGCCAGTGTGGCTTAGTGGCTAAATCCTCGCCTTGCACATGCCAAGATCCCATATGGGCACTGTTTCGTGTCCTGGCTGCCCCACTTCCCATCCAGCTCCCTGCTTGTGGCCTGGGAAAGCAGTAGAGGGTGGCCCTGCAGATCCTGTAGCAGACGTGAAAGAAGCTCCTGGCTTCAGATCAGCTCAGCTTTGGCTGTTGTGACCGCTTGGGGAGTGAACCAGTGAATGAAAGATCTTTCTGTATCCCATTCTGTGTAAAATCTGCTTTTCCAATAAAAATAAACTTTTTTTTTTTAAATAGAAAAGATTGATGTTCACTGTTGCAAATAATTTTCTTTTAGTCTAAGAAAGTCATTTGGCACCTAAATGAGAACATTAATGTTAATTGAGATGTAAATGCTATGCCAATCTTACTACCTCTGTTAATTAAAAAAAAAAAGAACATTTAGTTATTTTAAATACTTACAGAGAGGTGAGGGAGATAAGGAGATGGGGAGTTGTCTTCTGTTTGCTGCTTCACTGCACAGATGGCTGCAAAGGCCAGAGCTGGGTCAGAATAAGGCCAGGAGGTGCTTCCTGGCATCCCTTGTGGGTGGCAGTGGCCTGAGTACCCAGGCTGTCTTCTGCTGCGTTTCTCAGGCCATTGGCAGAAGTGAAGCAGTCAGGATCCCAACTGCATTCCTATGGGATGTTGGTGTTGTGACAGCTTTAACCACCATGTCACAACATGGGCACATGAAGGGCCTTTTAAATAGTTGTGAATGTTAAGTCGTCAAGTGTTCTTTGCCTTATTCTTTACCTGGCTGTCTTCTGTTCATTTCTGTCTCAATTTACATGTCAGGTTGCTTAGGGCTCAGTGCAGTAAAACAAATTAAACTTTTGTTTTTATGGTCCTGCTGCAAACAGAGCACACCTTTTTGCCTTAGGATACTGCTTTGATGCAATGCTTAGGAATTTCATTTTAAGGGCCTGGCGCAGTTGTCTAGTCTCTCTGGTCCTGCCCTTGCACACCAGTCCCGTACAGGCACTGGTTCATGTTCTGGTGGTCCCGTTTCCCATCCAGATCCCTGCTTGTGGCCTGGGAAAGCTGTCGAGGACAGTCCAAAGCCTTGGGATTCTGCACTCGCGTGGGATACCTGGAGGAGGCTCTAGGCTCCTGGCTTCAGATTAGCTCAGCTCCGACCATTTTTGTCACTTGGGGAGTGAAACATTGGATGAAAGATCTTTCTCTTTGTGTCTCTTCCTCTCTGTGTGTCTGACTTTCCAATAAAAATAAATCTTTTTTAAAAGTTTTGATTTTAGATATGGAAATTAAAAAAAAAAACTATGTCTCTGATCATGTGCCTCAAATTATACTATTAGATCTCACTATATTAATGCCACAATATGAAGTGATTTGTGTGTTTTACAGATAGTAATGTATATTTTGAAGCTCTGAGCCATGAGTCTAGCACTTAATGATCTGCTCATTTGCTGCCGTCATCTCGAACATGAGAGAGCTACAGAACGGAGGGTAATACTATATTACTTAAATTTAATCTTTACTTGAAACAAGTGTGTGATTGGTAACCAATAATTATGTACATGTCCCCATTTGTAGAAAGAAGTTGAGAAATTTAAACGCCTGATTCGAGATCCAGAAACAATTCAGCAGTTAGATCGGCATTCAGATTCCAAGCAAGGAAAATACTTGAACTGGGATGCTGTTTTTAGGTAATTAAAAAAATATTTTTAATTGTCTAGCCTTTTTTCTTTAATATCTATCTCTATTACTTTAATATTAGTTTCATGTGTGTCTGTTTATTGCTGCATTCTATTTGTCATTTTGTACCTTGCATATGAAGCTGGCACCTAGTTATCCAAAAGAATTTCCAAAGAATGTTCATATAGAATGTCTAAAATTTTAAATCATTTGTTCCATTAAATGTCTTTAACATATCTCACTCAAGATTGAAAGAGAATTCCTTTTATACCAAGTTCTTCAACCTTTATTTCAATTATAAAAAATGTTTGACATCTTTAAGTATTGGTTTGATTATAACTGCATGTGCTAAATTTTAATAAAACATGAAAGAGAATAATGCCATATGAGTGCAGCTAAAAGAAACCAATTTTGTGAGTGAGATGTTGAAATTAATTCCTGGGCAGGACTGGCAAATAGAATTGATGCATTTTCTTAAAAAAAATATCTGTTTGAAAGATACAGTTGGGGGTGAAGAGAGAGGAAGAGAGGGAGTAATAGGTTTCTCATCCACTGGTTCACCCCCAAGTAGCTGCAGTGGTGGTACCTGGGCTGTTCTGAAGCCAGGCACTAGGAACTTTTTCCAGGTCTCACTTGTAATACAGAAGGCCATGGACTTGGGCCATCTTCTGCTTCTTTTTCCAGGAGTATTAACAGGGAACTTGGAAGTACCTGGGACTGCAGCCCATTCTGTATGCGATGTTGGCATTGGCAGATAGCTACTTCAGCTGCTGTGCCACAACACTGGCCCCAACATTGACTAATTTTTTTAAATTGAGACAGTTTTTAACCATGAAGTCCAATTATGTCTAAAAACAAATTGCAAATTTTAAGAAAGTTAGTTAAAGTTAATACAAACTACTGAAAGTGTTAAATAAACTTAAAATAGCATTTGCAGTCACAGGAAATAGGAATTTATGTTACTACTTAGAACACATAATCCATTTCTAAATCCAAATTTTTGTGTTAGATGATAAAAAATTTGTATGCATAAGACATGAAAAAGACATGCTTCTCTTCCTTTGATTGTATAGTTTACTAAGCACCACCAAGTCAACTGGCACTTCTGAGAAGTTATGAATATCTTTTAGTTGGATTTCATTCAAGGGCTAAAATATTACCAACAAAATAACAAAAAGGCATAAGAGAGAATTAGAGATATTATTGGCACCGTGTTTTTTCATAAGATGAGAAAACAGAAATTGAATAGAAAATCATGGAGGCTACCGATGGGAAGCTTTGTAGACTAGACTTTACAGTGATGTTAGTGTTAGGCCTCAAAGAAGATTTAATTGTTCTGTCTAGTTGGTTTGTTGAACAAGGCAGGTGGTTAGAAAGACGCTGTTTGTGATAGCATGAAGGACTTTTAGAAATTACAGTACTTCAAGCATATAGTGAATTCCTAAAATTTCATTTTGATTTTTTTTGAAGATTTTTGCAGAAATACATCCAGAAAGAAACAGAATGTCAGAGAACAGCAAAACCGAATGTATCAGTCTCAACACAAGCATCCAGGCAAAAAAAGATGCAAGAATTAAGTAGCTTGGTCAAATACTTCATCAAATGTGCAAATAAAAGTAAGTAAAATTATAAACAAAGAACCTAATCAGTTACTGCTTAGAGAATTTTATCTGATTATAGTAAGGGGACTAAGTATAATTTATAGTTCTTACAATTATTTTCAGTTGTTTTGAGGACGAAGGATAATGTAGCCAGCTAATCCTCTTTCTGCAAGCACTGTCATCTCCTCTGGGCACCATTCATGTCCTGGCTGCTCCACTTTGGGTCCTGCTCCGTCCTTACGGCCTGGGAAGCCAGTGGAGGAGAGCAGCAGTCCTTCAGCCATGAGACAGACCCAGAGGAGACCCAGCCAGTCCCTAGCTTCAGATCAGCTCAACTGTGGCCATTGTGGCCACTTTGAGCGAGTGAACCAGCAGATGGAAGGCATCTCTCCCTGTTTCTCTTTCTCTCTGTAAAATCTGCCTTTCAAATAAAAATAAATCTTCTTTAAAAGAAAAAGTAGAAAAATGAGAGAGAGGTCCCATCAGCCGATTCACTTCCCTAGCTTCCTACAACCAGTAGGAAGGATACAGGCCAAAGCCAGTATCCAAGGTCTTAATTCAAGTCTCCTATATGAGTGGCAAGGAACTCAAGTACTGAAACCCTCACCTGTTGCCTTCCAGCTTGCATGACAGCAGGAAGCTGGAATGAGGAGCGGCTTTAAAACTGGGAATCTGACAATGGGATGTGAGTGTCCCGCATGGCATCTTAATTGCATATTTTATACCTGTTTCTATGTAATGACATGTATATTTAAGATTGATTTTATTCCTTTCAAAGGTAGAGATCTGATGCACTTACACATAGCTAAAAGGCCAGGGCTGGGGTGCAGGGATCCAAGTACTTGGGTCATCCTCTAGTATTTTCTTAGCAGCCTTAGCAGTGAGGTGGATCAGAAGCAGAGCAGCCAAGGCTTGAACTGGTGCCCATATGGAATGCTCGCATTGCAGGTGGTGGCTTAATTTGCTCTGTTAAACAACACAAGTTCCAAGAAATCCAGTCTTAATGACTGAATGTAACTTTTGAAAGCTGCTTTCTTTTATTTCTTAAAAATTTACTTAGAAATGCATAAAAAGAGATCTTCCATCTGCTGATTATTTCCAGTGCAGCAGTGAAGGCTAGGCCATGCCAAACCTTAGAAGCTGAAATTCATTCCAGATGGTGTTCATAGGTAGCAGGGACCCCAGTACTTGAGCCGTCACCAGTTGTCTCCCAAGGTGTGCTTTCACATGAAACTCGATTGTAAGCAAAGCTGGGCTTGGAACCAAAGAACTCCGATATGGTATGTGGGCATCCTAAGTGGCATCATGACTGCTGAGCCATAGGCCTGTCCCTTTTCTCCTTGGACAACTGTGAGAATATTCAAAGCCTCTCTTTTCTCACTGCATCTGTCTACCTTCTGAGAGTATACCAAAAATGTCCTAATTGAATTTTAAGTATGATATCCTTTGAGATGTTTTGGTTTCTTAGTGTGACATCCTTGGAAATACATGAAGATAGCCCTTAAGGTATATCCTGCATCCTCTTCATCTGAGGTAAACAAGCCTCCTTCATCTCAAATGCCCTAGCTTTGCTATTGTTCTGTTCTGAATTTTCTTTGGGTTTATCTCAAAGCTTGGGGCTCAATCTAAGGTTTATGCTGGATTGGTACAAAAGGAAACAGGACTTGAATATTTCTTTTTTTAATTCATTTGGTTTGAAGGTCAGAGTTAGAAGGAGGGACAGAGAAAGAAAAATATCCAGGGACTTATACATCTCTTAGATGGCTCCATGTTTTTACTAATTCATTTAATTTTTTTTTTCTTTTAAGATAATTTATTTTGGGGCCTGATGCGGTAGCCTAGAGGCAAGTCCTTGCCTTGCATGCCTGGGATCCCATATGGGTGCTGCTTTGAATCCTGGCTACTCCACTTCCCTTCCAGCTCCCTGCTTGTGGTCTAGGAAAGTGGTTGAGGATGGCCCCAGGCCTTGGTACCCTGTAACCATGTGGGAGACCTGGGAGAAGCACCTGACTCCCGATGGACTCAGCTCCAGCTGTTGTAGCTACTTGGGGAATGAGCTAGCAGATGGAAGATCTTTCTGTCTCTCCTTCACTCTTTAAACCTGACTTTCCAATAATAACAGCAACAACAAAATACTCATAAATCTTGATAAAAAGGAAGATTATGTATTTTTATTGGAATGTCAGATTTACAGAGATCTCTAGTTGGGACCTGCTAGTTGCATATGGTATGATTCCATTCTTTTCAGTGACTGAGTGAGAGTCCATGGAGTAGTAGATGTACCGCAGTTTCTTGAACCACTCATATTTGGGCGTCTGGATTGCTTCCATGTCTTTACTATTGTAGATTGTGCTGCTGTAAATATAGGATTACAGATCCCCTTCTCATAGACAGTTTTCGCCTCCTTTGGATGTATCTGTAGCAGCAGGATTGCTGGGTCATATGGCAGGTTCGTTTGCAGTTCTCTAAGCACTCTCCATACTGATTTCCATACTGGTTGTACTAACCTGCACTCCCACCAGCAGTGAAGGAGGGTGCCTTTCTCCCTACATCCATGTCAGCATTTGCTGTTAGCAGAGTTGTGAGTGTAAGCCAGTCTCACTGGAATTAGGTGGGACTTCAAGATAATTTTCATTTGTATCTCCCTGATGGCTAGGGAGCCTGAGTATCTTTTCATATGTGTATTAGTCATTTGAATCTATTCTTTTGAAAAATGTCTGTTCATTTCCTTTGCCTTACTAATTCATTCTATAGTGACATTAGCTTCATTGGCATTCACAATCTGCACTGTAACAATGTGCTATGATTTAATTAAAAACTAGAAAAAAATCAGTTTTTTGCCTAGTAAGCAACATATTTCTCATTATGTACATGTACTGTTAATATTTTTAAGAATTAATATATTTAAGCAGAAGCATAACATCTGATGAACCACTGTAAGGAGTGGGCTTTTTGCGTTGCTGAAATGCTAGAAGTGCATACTTTTTTTCAGGAACTCCTGGGCTCACAGTGTATGCTCTTTACTGATAAGGACATAGCTGTGCAATAGCAATTCCCATCTAAGAATCAGAAAAGCCCAAATGTTAGCCAACATTTCATAGAAACATAGATTGTTAGTGAATGGTATATTAGAATGAGATATATTAGAATGATGATGTTCCTAGAGTCTGTGCAACAGTGCTTTATCAATTTTTTACCCTCTCTGAGAGGCCACTACAAGCTTTTGTTAGAAAATAGCTGAAACATCAGAGAGGTACACAGTGTTCTGTGTTTGAATTTGCTCTGAGTGGTAGTCTTACATCCAGAAAAATGATGTGTTATTTGATAGTAGCATTGAGGCTTAATATTTAGTGAGTAAATGAATGATCAACTCTGTAGTCCAACAGAGAAGTTTATAGTATATGATTTTGTAGATGTTAAAGCTCTTGAACATTACTTAATGGAGGATTAAGCCTGTGGATTTAAGGTTGTGAATGGAAAATATGTCTTAAATGTTTTAGACAGATTGAACCTCTTGGCTCTAGGCTCCAGCAGTTTAGGAGATGAACCAACAGATTAATGATGTTGGTGTCTGTTCCTCTCTGACTTTCAAAGAAATAAATCTTTGAAAACAAAACAAAAAATTATGAATAGTAAAAGATAGAATGATTGTTTTTGCTGTTGGTTCACTTCTCAAACGACTGCAGCAGCTGAGCCTGGCCCATGCCGAAGCCAGAAGCCCGGGTTTTTGTTGTGGTTTTCCATATGGATGTTTGGGACACATGTATCCTTACCTACTACCTTGCCAGGCACATTAGCAGGGAGCAAGTTTGATAGTGGAGCAGTAGGAATTCAATTTTGCTGTTTACATTAAAAAAAAGACGCCATTGACAATATTTGAATGTACGTTCTAGTAAATTTTAAAAAGATTTATTCATTTTATTGAAAAGTCAGATACACAAAGAGGAGAACAGACAGAGAGGAAGATCTTCTGTCTGCTGGTTCACTCCCTAAGTTGCCACCATGGCTGGAGCTGAGCCAATCCAAAGCCAGTAGCCAGAAGCCACCTCTGGGTCTCCCTGTGGGTGTAGGTTCCCAAGGCTTAGGGCTGTCCTTGACTGCTTTCCCCGGGCACAAGCTGGAAGCTGGATGGGAAGTGGAGCAGGTGGGATTAGAACTGGTATCCATATGGGATCCCGGCACGTATGCAAAGCAAGGGCTTTGACTGCTAGGCTACCGTGCTGGTCCCTAAAAAATATTTTTATAAACTCAGTCAAATGGGTGGATTTTGCTTTTGAGCCGTAACAGTACTAATTACTAAAATTACTAATCCATACTCTGTGCGAAAGATTAGTTATTTCCTGAATAGACTTAATTTAAGTAGCTGTCATTTCAAAGAGTACTTCATTTATTTTTGTTCAGATTGTTTTAATTAATTTTTCTTATTAAATAGGAGCACCCAGGCTGAAATGTCAAGAACTTTTGAGTTATATCATGGAGACAGTGAAAGATTCATCTAATAGTTCTACCTATGGAGCTGACTGTAGCAATATACTTCTCAAAGACATTCTTTCGGTGAGAAAATACTGGTGTGAAATATCTCAGCAGCAGTGGCTAGGTATGTTTTGAATGTTGTGAATTTTTCCTTTTGAAATGAAATCCTGCCTAAAATGCAACCCAGATTACCTCACATTTTAATAGTGCTTTGTTAAAATTACATAATCTGACCATTAACTTTTTTTTATTATGTATATCTTGAACTATTAATATATCAGGTTCCCTTGTAGTTACTTGTGTGGAAAATTTAGAAGGTAGCATCCTTGGTCTTTGTGAAGTATCTGAATGTTGTGGTTACATAGAATACTGGTAGCTATACTCAACCATGCTTGAAATAGAAAGGAGAAAAATACAGAGAACAAATTCTCATGAAAGTGAAAGCAAGAGTTTGAAAGGAATAAGATTATTATTTGTTAGAGGAAGGAAGTGAAAGTATCTTAGATTAGGCCATTATCAGATTATTGATAAGGTAATGAAAAGTAAATATGTTAGAAGAGAGTACATAAGGCCCATTAGCCTTGTTGACTGTAGAATGAGTCCTGAGGGGCTAGTGTTTCCTGTTTGTAGTTGAGAGGTGAAGAGAACCAAGGGAGGAAGTTATGAAATGTTTCATTTTGTTGTTTCCAAAGATTGTGTAATTCAGAAGATCGCTTTAAAACAGATGTCAGAGTTGATTGATGTACCAGCTTTGAAAATGCTATAACCCTCTGATTGGAAAGTATTTAGACTAAATTTAATGAAAAGATGTATATCTATTCTTTATTACCAGTTTATCACTTGAAAGTGAGACAGATCTGAACCACAATTCTATGAACTAATCAATGCCCTTATTCCTGCATTATGTACTGTTGTTCTCATAGAAATGAAGTTTTGTAAGCTGTTGCACTCATTTTCTGGAGTTGTTTAGGGCCTTCACTTTGCTGTGAATATAGGGCAGGCTGTGTCCCAACAGGGGCCCCCAACAAGCCTGTTGGCAGTGTCTTTTTTTTTCCCCCCCATGATTTATTTATTTTGAAAGTCAAAATAAGAGATGGAAAAAGAGAGCTTCCATGCTGGTTCACATCCCAAATGTCTGTAACAATAGCAAGTGCTGGTCCAGGTCAAACCAATATCCTGATCTTCCATCTAGGTGCCAGAGGTATAAATCACCTGTCTCCAGCTGCTTTTTGGAGGTGGTTAATAGGGTGCTGGATGAGAAATTAACTGGGCCTCAAATTGACACCCACATAGGATGCTGGTATTGCAAATGGTAACTTTATGCACTATACAACAGCAGCAACTCCAAATAACAACCATTTGAAAATAGGATAGTGGTATCTGAAAATATTATAATATTGAGGATATTGGGTATTTTAGATTGTCTGTTATAACCATGGCTGTAACTAAAGCAGTTGGATGCAGATGCCTCAAGTAGCAACTTAAATGATTTGATCATTGGTTTGAAGAGTAAATGTTTTCCCTAATATGTACATTTTTGTGACATTTTTCTGTGAACACTGGGAGAGAGAGAGAGATGTCTTCTGGTTGCTAGTAAATTACCCAGTGGATTCAATGATTGAGATTGAGCCAGGATATGCGTTTCTTCCACGTCTCTCACTTGGGTTTAGGGACCCAAGTGCTTGACTCATCATATGTTTTTTCCCCTAACACATTAATGAGGAGCTGGATCAAAAGTGGAACAACCAGGTCTTTTTTTTTTTTTTTAAACATTTATTTATTGGAAAGCCAGATATACAGAGAGGAGGAGAGACAGAGAGGAAGATCTTCCATCTGCTGATTCACTCCCCAAGTGAACGCAACGGCCAATCCTATGCCAGTCCGAAGCCAGGATCCAGGAACTTCTTCTGGGTATCCCGCATGTGGGTGCAGGGTCCCAAAGCTTTGGGCCATCCTTGACTGCTTTCCCAGGCCACAAGCAGGGAGCTGGATGGGAAGTGGAGCTGCCGGGATTAGAACCGGCGCCCATATGGGATCCCGAAGCGTTCAAGGTGAGGACTTTAGCCACTAGGCCACACCACCGGGCCCTTGATCTTGTATTTTGCATGAAGGTTGCCTTATATCAGAGAGAACATATGTTATTTTTCCTTTTGTGATTGACTTATTTCAGTGTCTGTAGTTGGAACCATTTGGTTGCAAATGGTGGAATTTAATTCTTTTTAATGGCTGAGTGGTAGACCACGGAGTAGAGGTACCATAGTTTCTTTATCCTCTCTTCTTTTGATGGGCATCTGGCTTGTTCCCATGTGTTTGCTGTTGTAGATTGTGCTGCTGTAAATGTAGGGTTACAGACCCCTTTCTCATATGTACTTCATTTTCTTTGGGTATATTCCCAGAAATGGGTTAGCTGGGTCATGCGGCAGATCAGTTTTCCATTCTCTTAACATTCTCCAAACTGATTTCCATAGTGGTGCTAGCCTGCACTTCCACCAACAGTGAAGGAGGGTACCTTTCTCTCCACATCCCCACTAGCAATATGTTGTGATGTCAACTGTGTATGCCATGTGGGTTAGCACAAATTACTAAATTCTGATTTTTAAGTACAAAAAGAGTAAGGACAATGTTCAGTATCTCTGTTACTATCTTTGATATGATTTATTCTTTTCATCTGATCAGGAATCTCATGTTTCCTGCCTGCATCCTGACAGCTGTCTTCCTAATTTGTTAAATTCTAAATTGAGTGAAATTTCAGAACACTTTTTTTTCACACATTATTAAACAAACAAAAGACCCTTGGAGTATACATACCAGGTGAAGTGCTTTGTTAGGCCTCAATGAAGGAACGTGGGCTTAGAGAAGTAGCTTATCTGGAGTCGGGTTCTCACATTCCATTGTGTATAGGTTTTTCTGTCTTAAAGACATTCTTTTATACAATTTAATATTCAGAGTCCTTTTTTATGTTAAATATAAAGCCATTTGATTCTTATTTTTTATAGGCAAGCATAAGTATTCTTTTTGTAACTACAAATATGGATTCTGGATCCAGGAATATAATCAATGATAAATCTAATATACAAAACATCAACAACAGGGCCCGGCGCGGTGGCGCAAGTGGTTAAGGTCCTCACTTTGCATGCCCGGGATCCCATATGGGCGCCGGTTCTAATCCCGGCAGCCCCGCTTCCCTTCCAGCTCCCTGCCTGTGGCCCGGGAAAGCAGTTGAGGACGGCCCAAGGCTTTGGGACCCTGCACCCACATGTGGGATACCCAGAAGATGATCCTGGCTTCGAATTGGCTCAGCTCCAGCCATTGTGGCCACCTGGGGAGTGAATCATCGGACGGAAGATCTTCCTCTCTGTCTCTCCTCTCTGTATATCCGCCTTTCCAATGAGAAAATAATAAAAATAAATCTTTAAAAAAAAAAAATCAACAACAGTAGATTCAGAATGGTCATTAATAACTTTTCTATCTTTAACACCCAAAATCCTGAGTTGTTTAATAAAAGCTTAGTATGGCATATAAATAGCACAGGATACAGAGGAAGAATAAGGCAAAGTACAGAATGAAAATTAGCAAAAACAAGGCATTAAACTACAACCAAGAAGGAAATCACCAAGAAGGTTATCATTTCTGTTTTCTATTCTTAATTTAACCAATTCTCCTATAAGAATAGAATAAAATAGATTCTAGAACAAAATGTTATTATATAATAGGTCGTTTCTGAAATTACCATGCAAAGATAACTATTAAGCTATACATATCCCACATTCCATTTGGTAATTCTTAACCTTCTCTCTCTCTCTCTTTTTTTTATTGCATTGCCTTATATGACACCATTTTTTAGGCACTGGATTTACCCTCCCCTTCCCTTCCCCCTCCCCCCCATGGAAGATTCCTTCACCTTGCTGCATTGCCACAGTTCAAGTTCAGTTGAGGTTCTTTCATTGCAAGCATATGCCAAGCATAGAGTCCAGCATCTTATTGTCCGGATAAGTTCAACGAAAGCCATTTGATTCTAAATCTTTTCGTCTATAATTAACTATGGGATATTTAAAAGTTGTATTCTGACATTGATGTCAATATACTCTGAATTCTAAAAGTCGTAATAGCTTTTTTTTTTCTCTTGAAGAATTATTCTCTGTGTACTTCACGCTGTATCTCAAACCTTCCCAAGATATTAATAGAGTTTTAGTGGCAAGAATAATTCATGCTGTGACCAAAGGATGCTGTTTGCAAACTGATGGACTGAATTCTAAATATTTGGATTTTTTTTCCAAGGCTGTTCAGTATGCCAGGTAATCTATTCTTTTGTTTTGAATTGAAACCCAATTTGATCTTGTTAAAAATGTGTTTCAGATTCATTCACTAAAAATATTGCCTTCTAATTTTGTTTTTAGTTGTTTGCAAGGGTAGGAATATATCTATCTACTGGTTCACACCATGAATAGCATGACTGGGCTAGACTGAAGCCAGGAGCTTGGAATGCAGTCTTGGTCTCCTATGTGAATGTTGGGAATCACTTGAGCCAGCAGTTTCTAGGTCACAAGGTGTGCATTAGCAGGAAGCTGGAATTGGAAGCGGACCAGAACTCAAACTCAGCACTTGGATGTGGAATGTTGGCTTCTTCATGGCTAGGGAAAATGCCCACCCTAAGTTTTCTTTTTTAAAGAGTTATACATTCATTTTGTTTGAACAAAAGAGTTACACACTAGCACCGAGTCAGGCCAGTGTTAGGAGCTAAGAGCTTCATCTGGGTGTTCCACATGAGTGCAGGGTCCCAATCACTTCTGCTACTTTCTCAGGTTTTTTAGCTGGAAACTAGTTCTGAACTGCAGAGACTTGAACTGGCACTTACATGGGATGCCAGCGTAGAAGGCAAGAGCTTTGCACAGTATGCCACAGTGCTGGCCTGCCACACCAGTTTTTTAAATGGGAAAACTCCTGTTCTGAAAAGGAAAGTTATATATCCTCTAAGCAGTTTCATTTTACCTATTTTAAGAATAGATATGGGGCCAATGCCATGACTGAACATGCTATTCCTCTACCTCTAAGTTTGAGCATCCCATTTGAGTGCTGGTTTGTATCTTGGCTGCTCCACATCCCATCTGATTCCCTGGTTGTGACCTGGGAAAGCAGTTGACAATGGCCCAAAGCCTTGGGATCCTGCACCCACGTTGGAGATCTTAAAGAAGCTCCTGGCCCCTGGCTTTGGATCAGCTCAGCTCTGTCTATTCTGACTCATTGAGAAGTGAACCAGTAGATGAAGATCTTCCTGTCCCCTCTGTAAACCTGCATTTCTAATAAAAGTAGATAAGTCTTAAAAAAAAAAGAATAGCTATATTAAAAATAAAATAAAACTGTCTTCAAAGTAAGAATTAATATTGTGTATGTGGCTGACATGTCATAATATGAAACATTTTATGGTGACTTGTGCAAATCAACTTTGTAATTTTAGAAAGCAAAGCCATTTGAAGTAGTCTCAGCACAAATCAAGGATGAGTTTTTGCTGCTGTTGCTTTTGGTGCTGCTGTGAATTTTCTCTTGGAGTACTTTTGAATCTGGTAATTGGTTGAAAATAACCTTATTTTTCAATGTACAGCTTTGTTACTATTCAGTGTATGCAAATTTTACTCCTGTTAATGCTAAGTTGAATTTGTATGTTTTCTGTCACAGGCAGGAGAAGAGTTCTGCAGGTCTAAGTCACATCTTAGCAGCCCTCAATATCTTTCTCAAGACTTTGGCTGTGAATTTTCGAATTCGAGCTTGTGAATTAGGAGATGAAATTCTTCCTGTTTTGCTTTATATTTGGGCTCAACATAGACTTAATGATTCTTTAAAGGAAATAATTGTTGAATTGTTTCAACTGCAAATTTATATTCATCATCCAAAAGGAGCTAAAACCCAAGAAAAAGGTAAGAATTTTTTACTGTAGTTGAATCTGTTTCTTCAGTCGAGGTTTAAGCATGAAGTCACTGTCCTGTGGGAGTATAAGCCCTTCTCCATTGCTCTGTTTTCGTAATATATGCATGATGAAAATTTCACACATTTTTAGAATTTGAGGCAGTAGTGGTAAATTATACTATGCCTTTCCCTTTTTTTGCTAGGGTGCTAGGTGAAATACACACACTTCTGAGACACCAGCTGTTTGCTATAAAGCTGATTATGCCCTGATAATTAGTTACTTAGAAGTATGTTACAGACTTTTGAGAATAACTTTGAGAGGAAAGAGGATTTTATTGGTCTTCATAATGCTTTTATTTGGAAATGAATTAGGTTAGGGGGCCCAGTGCATGGGCTTAATTGGCTAATTACAAGCACAAGGATCTCAAATGGGCACGGATTTGTGTCCTGGCTGCTCCACTTCCCATCCAGCTCGCTGCTTGTGGTCTGGGACAGAAGCAGAGGATGGCTAAAGGTCTTGGATCCTGCACTCAAATGGGAGACCAGGAAACATCTGCTGGCTTCAGATCACCTCAGCTCTGGCTGTTGTGGTCATTTGGTGAGTGAACCAGCAGATGGAAGACCTTTTTCTGTAAAATCTGCCTTTCCATTACGAAGAAATAAGTACTTTAAAAATGCTAATAAATTGGACTGAAAACAGCTCATCAATTTATTCGATTCCCAAGTGACATACATGTTCATTATTTCAAAGGAATAAGAAATACAAAATGGAAATTGCTGTCTTAAGCATAATAGTTGCTCCAGGCCTCTTTACTGGGAAAACTAGCAATGAATCACTGTCCATTGCAGATTTCTTAATGTTTTTCTTTCACTAAGAGTATTGTTTGAATGGTTAGTCTTAATGAGTAACCAAGAACTTTATCAAGTGGGACTAGAGCTTTAATCAGCTCTTAAGCTTAGTCTACAGTTACTAGCTTTTGGACAAAATCAAAGGTAGTTTGGGATTTTATTAAAGCTACATGCCTCATTGTTTAGTAGCGAGTGAAATGGAAGGAAACTCATGTAACCTTTTTTTATTATTAAAATAGCAGTGTAGTAACTGTAATGGAGATTATCATATCCAGATGTGAGGACACTATGCAGTATGCATTTCTACTTCCAGACTAAAGATGGACTTCCAATGAAACTGTTTACTATATCATGACAATAGGATGTTGAACTCTCTGCCATTGTCCATGTCCGCAATGATGGACATATGACTGTGTATGAAGAACTATACTATAGTAATGATATAGGGGAATCCAGTGAGCAGAGGAAGGGGGGTCTTAGGGAGGGTAAAAGAAAAATCCCAGGACTGATGGAACTGTATCATAAAATGATGATAAAAAGTAAAATTAAAGAAAAAATTTATCATTCTCTAGTGTATATTGGTTTACATGTATAGGTAGTCCATGGAAACACTGTGTGTGAAGGTATGCTGACATTTGAAAGTTTTTTTGTCGTCTTTTTACTATTATGAAGATCAGGATCATACATATTTAGGGCTTTGGGTTAGCTGCCTATTTAGAATGAATTGAAAATTAACAGAATGATGTAGCAAATGTAGTTTCAGGCTACACTAATGGATTTCCTACTATGTTGCTGGTGGTAATTAATGGCCTTATTGTTCAGCATCCTGGACAAACTGCAGAAGCCATGTGTTTTTTTCTGAGTCTCCCATGTGGATGCAGGGGCCTAAGAGCTTGCACTATCTTCACCGGCTTTCCTCGGCTTTCCTCCACCTGCTGCATTGGAAGTGGAGCAATAGAAACATGAACTGATACCTATACAGGAAGCTATTGTTGCAGGAGGAAGCTTATACTGGACCAGTTGTGGCTTTTTGTTTTATTTCATTTTATTTTATTTATTTTTTAATTGGAAAGTCAGATATACAGAGAGATTTTCCATTCGCTGGTTCAGTCCCCAGGTGACTGCATCAGCCAGAGCTGAGCTGAGCTGATCCGAAGCCAGGAAACAGAGCGACTTCCTGGTCTCCCACACAGGTACAGGGTCCTAAGACCTTGGGCCATGCTTGACTGCTTTCCCAGGCTGTTAGCAGGGCCGTGGTTGGAAAGTGGAGCAGCTGAGATTAGCCACTGGGCTGTCACACTGTGGCCAGTTTATCTAAATCTTGTGGAAGAATTTTGCAAAATATATTGCACTGGGCCTAACCCTTTGTGTTTTAATGTTAATGATGTATGTTAGTAGCTGAGAGAGTTGTCCATGCAAATGGACTTTATGTATGAATTAATTTTTAACGTTTTGGATTTTAGGTGCTTACATATCAGCAAAATGGCAAAGTATCTTATATAATATATATGATCTGATAGTGAATGAAATAAGTCATATAGGGAGTAGAGGAAAATATACTTCAGGATCTCGAAATATTGCTGTTAAGGAAAACTTGATTGAATTGATGGCTGATATTTGTCACCAGGTAAGTAGAAGTCTTGTAAACATTATTATATTACATATTAATTTCCCTTTATTTGGCTTTTTAAACTTTATTTTTTTAAAAGATTTATTTATTTATTTTTGCAAAGTCAGATATACAGAGAGAAGGAGAGAGAGAGAGAAAGATCTTCAGTCCGATGATTCACTCTCAGGTGTCTGCAAAGGCCAGTACTGCTCCAATCCGAAGCTGGGAACCAGGAGCTCTTTCAGGTCTCCCCTGTGGGTGCAGGGTCCCAAGACCTTGGCTGTCCTCAACTGCTTTCCCAGGTCATAAGCAGGGAGCTGGATGGGAAGCGGGGCTGCCGGGATTAGAACTGGTGCCCATATGGGATCCTGGTGCGTTCAAGGCGAGGACTTTAGCCGCTAGGCCATGGCGCCAGGCCCTGGCTTTTTCAACTTACGTTCTAACAAAATGTCTATGAATGTGCTATGCACCTATTGCTTTCCAAAGAGCTTCTTTTCTTCTCTTCCTCTTTTCTTGTCCTTTTCTCTTTCTGCCTATATTTGGGCTTGGTGACTTAATCCTTACTTTTCAAGTACCTGGATCTCATATGGGTGCCAATTCATGTTTCTGCTGCACCAGTTCCCATCCAGTTCCCTGATTGTGGCCTGGGAAAGCTGTTGAAGATGGCCCAGACTGTCGGGACCCAGAACCCGTGTGGGAGACCCAGAAGAGGCTCCTGGCTTTGGATTAGTTCAGCTCCAGCCATTGCAACCATTTGGAGAGTGAACTAGAGGGTGGTAGATCTTTCTTTCTCCTTCTCTCCATTAAAAAATAATAATAGAAAATTTATTTTTATTGCAAAGGCAGATTTACTGAGTGAAGGAGAGGCAAAGAAAAAGATCTTCCATCTTACTGTACTATCATATGTTTCTATAGTTTAAATCTTGTTTGTGTTATTTTTATATCTTCTACTAAACTTTTTTCTGAAACAGGATTTGGAAGTAATCCTGACAAAAAGGCTAATGTTTATTTTACAGGTTTTTAATGAAGATACCAGGTCCTTGGAGATTTCTCAGTCTTACACTATTACGCCGAGAGTATCTAGTGATCACAGTGCACCTTGTAAAAGGAGAAAAATTGAATTAGGCTGGGAAGTGATAAAGGATCATCTTCAGAAGCCCCAGAATGATTACGATCTTGTGCCGTGGTAAAATGTTGTTTTAATCACTGACCCAAGAGTTTCTTTCTTTCTTTCTTTGTTTTTTTCAGAAAACCTGCAGTAGAATCCTTTCATATCATTGGTTTGGACTAAGTAATTTATCTTGTCCTAAACCAAGTATTACTAAAAGGAAATGTGATTGTCAGTTATCAAGGATGAGTCACAGTATGTGACCATGGCATGGAAAAAGGGTTGTGAATATCCAGTAGTAGCATTTTTCTTATGGTACTGAGTTGTGTATGTTGGCACTAGTATATTTTAGTATGTATATCACCTTGTAATCAGATTTAAAGATTAATTCCAAAAATCCCAGCCTCACGTCCAACACTGTTGGAGCATGATAAATCACCGCTTGTGACTTACATTCTGTATTGGAGCACTGGTTCAGTTCCAGCTGAGCTGCTTGCCATCCCCCTCCTGGCTGTCATGATTCTGGAAAAGCTGTTATCAGCCCAAGGAATTCGGCTCCTATCAACAACATAGTAGGTCTAGATCTAGGCTTCTGTCTTAGCCTGGGCCGACCCTGATCACTACAGTTATTTGGGGAGTGAATGTTATTTAACCTTTCAAATAAATGAGTGTATATATTTACGTAACAGATACCACAAGCAGTGTTGAGCTTATTTTATGAAAAAGGACTATTTTAATTCCTGATTTGTGTTTTGCTTACTCACATCTGACATTTAAAAACACGAAGAAATTGTGTAATTCTGTGGAATCTCCGTATACTTGTTAAGTCTTTGGAATTTCTACATTTCAACTTGTTTGCTTTACCAAAAATAAAACTGGAACCTAGAAAGCGTAACATCTTTCCCCGAACAGAATTGAAACAAACATTTATTATAGTTTTCCCCGAACAGAATTGAAACAAACATTTATTGTAGTCAACCTTTTGTCAGTAATCTTGATATTAACCATGTTAATGGAATGCTTAAATAGAATTGAGTTGAAAGAAAAGTGTAGTGATATGACGTATTGTTGAAGCTGAAATAAGCTCATGTTATAGTTGAGAGAGCCTGTTTGCACTTTTATAATTTTCCTAGTAAATTCGGTGTTACTTATGGAATAACTTGGTATATGTCAATTGTTAGGGGTTTAGAAATGTGTTTCTTAATTCTTGAGTCATACACATTGTAGAGAATTACTGGCAGATATTCCCTACGTAATGTCAGGAAAAAGCAGAGTTTAAGATAAATGTGGGTTACCCAATGAGGCAAGAGATTATCCGTCTTTCAGCCACTATAGGAAGTAGTTCATAGTAAATATTACATTGAATGTGATATTATTGCTGTTTTAATTAGGTTATTGCAGGCTACCTTGTCTCTCTATATTTGTTTTGTATGAGATTAATAGAAGAGAATTTTTTCAAATTATCTTTATTTTTTTTAGGCTGCAAATTACAACCCAATTAGTATCAAAGTACCCTGCAAGTTTACCTGACCATGATCTGTCTTCATTACTGATGATACTGTACCAGCTTCTCTCTCAACGACGACGTGGGGAACGCACACCATATGTGTTACGATGTCTCACGGAAGTTGCATTGTGTCAAGGCAAGAAATCAAATCTAGAAACCTCACAACAGTCAGATTTGTTGAAACTCTGGATCAAAATTTGTACTGCTACCTTCCGTGGTATAAGTTCTGAACAAACACAAGCTGAAAATTTTGGTTTATTGGGAGCCATTATTCAAGGTAGTTTAGTTGAAATCGACAGAGAATTCTGGAAATTATTTACTGGGTCTGCCTGCAGACCTTCTTGGTAAGTTGAATATTCATTGTATCAGATTTTACAGATAAATACACTCTAGTCATTTCCATGAATTGTTACGTAAGTTAAAAATACATTAAATTCTACTTAATTGTTTTGCTGTTTGGGAAAAGTTTATGCATGAATGTGAGTCTAAAAGGTGGAGAAATGGGCCTGGCATAATAGCTTGGTGGCTAAATTCTCATCTTGCACGCACTGAAATTCCATATGGGTGCTGGTTCATGTCCTGGCTGCTCCACTTCCCATCTAGCAGTAGAGCCTGTCCCAAACCTTTGGGACTCTGCACCCATGTGGGAGACCTGGAAGAGGCTCTTGGGTTCTTGGCTGTGGATCAGCTCATTTCCGGTTGTTGTGTCCACTTCAGGACTGAAGCAGCAGATGGAAGATCTATCTTTCTGTCTCTCTTTCTCTACAAATCTTCCTTTCCTACAAAAATAAATAACTTTTATAAAGTGGAGGAATTACAAAATAGCGTCTTAAAAATATCTTCTTTAAAGAATTATAAGGGGTTTAAATTTATCTGTAATTTATAACTGTCCAATATTTATAAATTTTTTTGGATATTAAAAACTATCACAAGAATTTATGTAGTGGGCCTGTGCAATGGCACATATGTTAGACCTGCAGCTCTGGCATCCTATATAAGCTTTGGTTTGAGTCCAGGTTGCTGGTCCCTTCTGGTCCATCTCCTGAAAGCAGTGGGACATGACCCAATTCTTGTACCCATGTGTGAGACCTGAAAGAAGATTCAAACTCCTGACTTTGGACCAGTCTAACTCTGGCTATTGCAGCTCTTTGTGGAGTAAACCAGCAGATGGAAGATCTCTCTCTTTCTGTTTCTACTTTTCTCTGCAAATCTGCCTTTCATATAAAAATAAAATAAATGTTTCTAAAGAAATTAAAAATGTTTGTATGGGCTCGAGCTATGGTATGGCCCCCTGCCAGTGAGTGCTGGCATCTCTTACGGGTAGCAGATCAAGTCCTAGCTGTTCCACTTCTGATCCAGCTCCCTTCTAAAGAGCCTGGGAAAGCAGTTTAAGGTGACCCTGCTGATCAGGCCCTTACAATCACATGGGAAAACTGGAAAAGGCCCTAGGCTGTTGGCTTTGGACCTGTGCAGTTTTGGCTATTGTTGCCACTGGGGAATCAATTAGCAGATAGAAGATTTTTCTCTTTCTCTTAATCTACTTTTCAAATGAATAAATAATTTAAAAAAAGATTTATTTTTATTGCAAAGTCAGATATACAGAGAGGAGGAGAGACAGAGAGGAAGAATTCCATGTGATGATTCACTCCTCAAGTTTCCGCTATGGCTAGAGCTGCACGGATCCAAAGCCAGGAGCCAGAAATTTCTTCCAGGTCTCCCGTGTGGGTGCAAGGTCCCAAGGTTTTGGGCCATAGGCAGGGAGCTGGATGGGAAGTAGAGCTACCGGGATTAGAATTGGCACCCATATGAGATCCTGGCACATTCAAGGCGAGGACTTTAGCCACTAGGCCATTGTGCCGGGCCCTAAATAATTTTTTAAAGGTAGTAGCAGAAAAGCAGAAATTCATTTATACCAAGGAGTCTTTGTAAATGCATTCAGAATCCATTGTTTTTCTTTTAGTCAGTACAACTTAAATTAATATATGTGCCTGGTACAATCCTTAGCTTTGATAAGGTGGTGAGAAATGAGTAGACAAGGTGTCTGCCTCTCCAAGAGCTTATGTTACAAGAAATAACTGTGTGTGTACGTATTTGCATATACACATACATACATTTTTAAAAGACGAACTTGTCAGATCTGTTGCTTCATTTCCTAAGTGCCTATCATAGTCAGGACTTTGCCATAGTCAGATGAGCCGTCAACGCATGTGGTTCAATATATGTGACAAAGACCTTATTACATGAACTTGCTACCTCCCACTGTGCGTTAACAGGAAAGTGAAAACAAAGCAGAGCTGTAATTTGATTCCAAGCACTTTGATAGGAGATTAGGGATTCCAAGTAGCATCTTAACTGCTGAACCAAATTCCTGATCCCAGAGAGCTTGTTGTTTTTTTTTTCTTTTTTAAATAATTTAAATATATTTATTATTTACCACAGTACAATTTTGTGACGTAAAGCGGGTCTTCTCCTCCCCTCTCACCATCCCCATTTTCCTCTTTTACCATTTCCACCCAAATGATCACTGCAGTATATAGTCCCTTAGTAAGTGTTACCAGGTAAACCTTCTATTTAAAGAATCATGACATGGTAAAGGTACAGCCAAAGGCAGAAAATCTGGGAAATTTATCATTCCGTTGTCTTTTGTTTTTCTGACAGTTCTTCAATATGCTGTTTGGCTTTGGCAATGAGAAGCTGCATCATTCCGGAAGCAATACATACAGGATTAGAGTTAAGTATTTGTGAAGTAAACGGAAGTTTCTCTTTGAAGGAATTGATAATGAGGTGGATCTTATGTTATAGACTAGAGGATGACTTAGAAGACAGAACAGAATTATCCCCAATTCTTCACAGGTAATTTCATTTTATTGGTATGCTGCTAATTTTTTGTTTGCTTGCTTGCTTTAAGATTGATTCATTTTTATTGGAAAGGCAGATTTACCAAGAGAAGAAAAGGCGGAGAAGGATCCTTCATGCACAGATTCACTCCCTAAATGACCAAAACGACTTGAGCTGAACTGATCTGAATGAGCCAGGATCCTCTTCTAGGTGTCCCGCATGAATAGAGGGTCCCAAGGACTTAGGTCATCCTCTACTGCTTTCACTGTCCCTGTGCAGTGAACTGGATAGAAATGGAGTGGCCAGGGCACAAACCTGCACCAATATGGATGCTGGCACTTGCAATTAGAGGATTAACCTGTTGAGCCACTTCACCTGCCCCCTGCTTTTTGTTTGTAAAGATTTGTTTATTTATTGGAAAGAGTTACAGAGAGGGAGAGATCAGACATCGTACTTTAACTGATTGATTTCCCAGATGGCCACATCAACCAGAGTTGGACCAAGGAACAGCAAGAGATTCATCTGGGTATCCCACATGGTAGTGGAGGTTCAAACAGTTGAGCCATCTTCCACTTCTTTCTTTCCTCAGGACTTTAGCAGGGAGCTGGATCAGAATTGGACCAGCTGGTGTTGTGGTTGATGATGCAGTTTCTCAGAGTTGGTCCTAATTATTGAATCTTTTTTTAAACTTTGTTCTATGTCTTTGTACCTAGATCATTTCCTTTCTTCTTCTTCTTTATTTTTTTAAAATATTTATTCTTATTGGACAATCAGATATACAGAGAGGAAGAGAGACAGATAAGAAGATCTTCCATCCACTGATTTACTAAGTGGCCGCAGTGGCTGCAGCTCTAATGTTCAGAAACCAGGAGCGTGGATCCTCTTCCAGGTCTTCCATGCGGGTGCAGGAACCCAAGGCTTTGGGCCATCCTTGACTGCTGCAAACAGGGAGATGGAGGGGAAACAGGGCCACCAGGATTAGAACCTATGCACTTATGCGATCCTAGTTTATTCAGGGCAAGGACTTTGTCCACTAGGCTAGTGCACCAGGCCCAGGGCCAGAGCTTTTTAACCACTTCACATATATATTTTTTTCTTAGGTCAGGAATCAAGAGAAGATTTATCTATCTATTTAAGATTATTTTATTTTTATTGGAAAGGCAGCTAAACAGAGATAGAGATCTTCCATCCAATGACTTGCTACCCAAGTGGCTGTGATAGCTGAAACTGAGCCAATCCAAAGCTCCAGAGCCTCTCCTGGGTCTCCCACACGGATGCAGGGTGTCAAGGCTTTGGGCCGTCCTTGACTGCTTTCCTAGGCCTCCAGCAGGGAGCTGGATGGGAAGTAGGGCTACTGGGACTCGAACTGGCATTCTTATGGGATCCCAGCTTATTGAAGGTGAGAACTTTAGCCTCTAGCCTACAATGCTGACCCCCTAGATCATTTCTAAAGTTAAGATTTTTCTTCCCGTGATATTATGGGAATGTTCATGACGAGTGTGCATACAATTTTTCAGCATTTGTTGTTATCTCTAATGCTGTGCGAATAGATCCGTGTATCTGATAGAGGTGAGTCCTGGATCCTCATGCACATGAGAGTATCATGAATGAAATATTTTAAACTGGACGGATGAAGAAACAATGGAAAGAAAATAGCAAAGGGAAAATAGCTGACCTTTCCACAGATGGGATTAGAACCAAATGATGACAGGAAACCTGTGAATACTGGTGATTTTAGCTTGATTTCACAATGATACTTAGAAATATACACTTGATGTGCTTGCAGAAATTGTTGGAAATGAGCATAATGTGATAAGTATTCTTACATTCTTTTCAAATGGTAAAAGGTACCTGAAAATAATTTTAACTTAGAATCCAAATTTTACAGGTCAAAATTCATAGCCAGGCATAAATGTTGAAATTTTGAGAATTATTTTTTTATATCTTTACATCCCTTAAATGAAGCTTTTGCTTTTCTTCATAGTAATTTTCCTCATTTTATACTGGAGAAAATTCTTGTGAGTCTCACCATGAAAGACTGTAAAGCTGCAATGAATTTTTTCCAAAGTGGACAAGAATGGTATGTTGTTATCTTAAAATATAACTTTAATTACAAAGATACTAATTGTACTGAAGTACCAGCTGTATTGTAATAATTATTAGCTAAATTGATTAGATAAAAATTGTAAGTGTGCTTAAGGGAAAAAGTTTAAAATCAGTGATTTAAAGGTGTGATCTATAACATTAGATCAAGCTTATTCTGTTTCAGTCTGTATGATATATTGTGATAGTTTATGGAAAATCGATTATCTAATGGAAAATTAAAAATTAAGTGAGTTTTTTGAAAATCAGGTAGAATTCAATTATTCATTTGAAAAGTAATATTACTTGGGTGGGCGTTTAGCCTAGTGGTTAAAATTTCAGTTGAGTTACCTGAGGACTGTATCTGAGTTCTTGGGCTTCATTATTGATTCTGGTTTTGCTCTAGCTTCCTGCCAGAGCAGATCCTGTAGGCCCTGGAAATGAGTCAAGTGTTTGGGTTTCTGTCACCCATGTGAGATATCGCCTGAGTTCTGATTGCTTCCTCCTGGCAGCTGGTCTCTTGTGGCCATTTTGTTAATGAGCCAACAGATAGGAGCATTTTTCTGTCTTCCTCTCTTTGATCCCCTGTTTCCTTCTCAAGAAATAATTATTGAAAACAAAAAATATAGAAACCTAGATTTTAATGGATTTATCTAAGAGGCTAATGTTTGCCGTTGTGACTGGAAAGAACTCACAGGCATGACTATATCCCCAAGATCATGCAAGATGAAAAAATCCTACCATTTGGAGAAATCAAAGATGAGAAAAGAGATTTGTTCATCAGTAACAATATGCTCAGTGTTTATATCCAGTGTTACAATATTTCTGAATTTGCTTTTGAAACTTTCCTCTTGTTTCCCTTTTTATCTTTTTTTTCCCCCAAAAGTTAACTTATTTTTAAATGCAGAGTGACAGAGAAATAGAGAGGTATCTGCTGGCTCAGTCTCCAAATCAGATCTAAACCAAGAGCCAGAAACTCTACCTTAGTCTTCCACATAGCCCCTCATCCTTTGGTTTCCCAAGTTCGTTAGCAGGAAGCTAGATCAGAAGAAGAGCAAGTAGAACTGAAGCACACCCAGCATTGCATTTGGCACCTACACTCTCACAGCCTCGGCCCTACTAAAATTTCTCTTGTGTTTCTTGCAGTAAAATTTGTTACTGAGTAATCAAATCGATTTGAATCAAATTTTAAGATTTATTTATTTTTTATTGGAAAGGCAGATACATAGAGAAGAGGACAGAAAGATCTTCTGTTCACTGTTTCACTCCCTGAGTGAGCACCATGCCTTGAGCTGAGCTGATCCAGAGCCCGGAGCTTCTTCCTGGTCTGCCACGTGGGTGCAGGGTATCAAGGCTTTGGGCCGTCCTCGACTGCTTTCCCAGGCCACAAACAGGGAGCTGGTTGGGAAGTGGAGTAGCCGAGATAAGAACTGGTGCTAATATGAGAATCCTGGGCATGCAAGGCGAGGATTTAGCCACTAGATTTTTGCACCAGTCCCAGTCCAAGTCAGTATAAAATTCAAGGAAGAGATTAATTTAAATGAGAAGCAATCCACTGGATAAGTATTATCTGATTGATGTTATCAGTGTATTAATGTTTTCCCTTATGGCATTATGTTAGTGTATGAAAGATGCAATATTAGATTATAAATCAGAAATCTTACTCTTTTGAAGTGAGCACCAAAAAGTTAAAGAAGAACCTTCATTCTCTGAGATTGAAGAACTGTTTCTTCAGACAACTTTTGACAAGATGGATTTTTTAACTTCTGTGAAAGATTGTGCTGTGGAAATGCATCATCCCCATATGGGGTTTTCAGTTCATCAGAATCTGAAGGATTCATTGAGCCGCTATCTTCTGGAGTTATCAGAACAGCTCCTAAGTAATTATTCATCTGAGGTGAGATTTTTGGAAAAAGCACTAACACTTAACATTCATTACTGCTTTAATAAACTGTTAAAGAAGTGGTGGCATAAAAGGGTTTTTTCCTTATTTTTGAAAAAAAAAAAAAAGAGTGAAGGAGAGACTTAGATCTCTCATCAAATGCTCACCACAGACAGACTGAAGCCAGGAGTCCTAAGCTCTGTCTGGATCTCCCATGTTAGTGGCAAGAACTGAATACTTCCTCTTCTTTTTTTTTAGTTTGGGAAGTAGAGCGATGGAGAGAGGAGAGCTCCTCCATCTTCTCATTCTCTTCAAATGGCCACAGTGCGTGGAGGGTTGGTCAGAAGCCAGGAGCTAGGAGTTTCTTTTGCTTCTCCCACATGGGTACAGGAGCCAAGGACTTGGGCAGCCTGTACTGATTTCCCAAGCCATAAGCAGGGAGCTGGATTAGAAATGAAGCAGCCGGGCCTCTAACTGGCACCCATATTGAATGCTAATTCTGTAGCAGGAGTCTTAGTGTATTTCACCACCCATTTCCATGACAGTGTATGGTTGTAACTATGGAAAGCTTACCATTTAATTAAAAAGCAGCAAAGAATGGTAATTTTGAAACCTTTTACCAGGAGTTCTCATAAAAGGGAAAAAAATTGGGTATGTTACTAGGGAGTAGTTCGAAGCTTGAACATAGGGATTTTTTTTAAAGATTTATTTTTATTATTTATTTATTGGAAAGGCAGATATACAGAGAGGAGAGACAGAGAGGAAGATCTTCCGTCCGATGATTCACTCCCTAAGTGAGCGCAACGGCCGATACTATGCCGATCCGAAGCCAGGAACCTCTTCCGGGTCTCCCATGCGGGTGCAGGTTCCCAAAGCTTTGGGCCGTCTTCGACTGCTTTCCCAGGTCACAGGCAGGGAGCTGGAAGGGAAGTGGGGATGCTGGGATGGAACCGACGCCCATAGAGCATAGGGATTTTAATATGAGACGAACCTCAGTATATGTGACGGAGATGTTACAGCAACAGAAAAGTACAAAATTTAAATAGGTCTATTAAATTTTGGTGGCATTTAAGAGGGGTGTGTAGTACTCTGGTATTGTTATGATTTCCTTTGTCATGTGTGTGTGTGTGTGTGTGTGTGTGTGTGTGTATATGTGTGTATAAGTGTAAGATCTCCCATCCACTTATTCATTCCCCAAGTGGCTGCAATGGCTGGAGCTGAGCCGATCCAAAGCCAGGAATCAGGAGTCTATTCCAGGTCTCCCACGTGGTTGAAGGGTCCCAAGGCTCTGGGCCAGTCTCTGTTGTTGTCCCAGATCACAAACAGAGAGCTGGATGGGAAGTGGGCCACCAGGACACAAACCAGCATCCGTATGGCATCCCAGCCCATGCAAGGCAAGGACTTTAGCTGCTAGGCTACCATGCTGGGCCCTGCTTCATGTATATTATCTCTTGCCAGAACTCATGCTTCCACATAAACTCATTTTCTACCCATTTCTGTGTATTCAGATTATCCACATGTTAAACGCTCTTAGTTATTTTCATGGTAGTTACTATTTCATATTTTTAAATCAAATTTTTGTGGCCTGCAGCATCTTCATTATATCGTTTTATGTATGGTTTGTGTTAAAATATCTTTTTAACTGTGCTATAAACGCCTTCAAAGTGTATGTATGTATTTATTTATTTATTTTTTACTCTGTGTGCATGACCTGGAAAATCATTCCCACTCCTGGCTTCACACTGGCTCAGCTCCAACGTGTGGGCTTAGTGGAGTGGCCCAGTGGGTGGAAGATCTGTTTTTGTCTCTGCTTCTCTCTCTGTCAATCTGCTTTTCAAACATAGACACACACACAACAAACCAAAATGGTTGAAGTTAAGGAAGGAGTGAGTTGAATAACCAGGCACGATGATCCAAGGAGCCTAGGGTGGGCAGTGCGTGCCTGTCTTATGTCTCTTAGCTTTGGGGACTGACATTCAGTTATGTCTCAGTTGTATCTGTTCTCACTTTAAAATAATCTATTATTTTCTTTTATGATGCTGTTTTATATAATGTAGAAGCAGGGAATATTAAAATCTTGTCTTACCATATAATACTATCTTACATATTTTGTGAAATTGTCTAAATCGTATCTATTAGGAATATATTTTGCGTCAGTCTGGAAGCTCAAAAACAATCAGTGCAGACACTCAGAATGCCTTGCTTGGAGTAGGTGTTCTGGTCCAGAGTAAGCCACTGCTTGTGCCATTTTCATCCCGCTTCAGGTGCCTGGCATTGAGTCCCACTCCACTTTCCATCCAGCTTCGTATTGATGGATCTGGGAGTTAGCAGATGTTGGCCAAGGTGCTGCCATACACTCTGGAGACCTGAAAGTAGTTTCTGGCTCATGACTATGATTTAGCCAGCCCTAGCTGTTGTGGGCATTTCCGGGCAGAGTGAATTTTTTGATGGAAGGTTTCTGTCTTTATTGTCAGTGTGTTTTTCAAATGAGTAAGCAAGTAATTTTTATATGCATTTAATTCTTAATCATGTTGTAAAACTTGGAAACATTAACTTTCCAGTAAAAACTTTCTTTTTGAAGATGTGTTTATAAGTTATAAATAATTACTGGGAGAGGGACCTCTGAGGACCCACCTCAGTTGGGGCTCAGCCAGTCAGATGCCTGGACCCAGGTCATGAATCTGGGTCTGCCACACTGACCATCCTTTGCTCTTTCCAGTGCACATAGGTGTGGTGCTGGGTCGGAAACAGAGCAACTGATAATTGAACTTGTGCCCATGTATGTAGTTTGCTGGCATCATAGGCTACTATTGAACTCAGTGTGTTATAAAACCAGTCTGTCAGAATTTTCATCTTTACTCATTACTACCTCAGATTTTGTTTTCGATATGTACATAAAATTTGCTCTTACAAAAAATAATTCTGAAGTACCCCAAATTACTACTAATATTTTAAATTTATGATTTCAGATTACAAATTCAGAAATACTCGTGCGGTGTTCAAGTCTTTTGGTGGGTGTCCTTGGCTGCTATTCTTACTTGGGCGTAATAGCTGAAGAAGAAGCATGTAAATCAGAATTGTTCCATAAGGCCAAGGTGGGAGAATTTGTGTTAATAAAGTTTTTGGTGTATTTGCATGAACTAGTTATTTGAGGAAATTGGTGTATTTGTTTAGGAAACTAAATTTTATATAGGTTGACCATTCCTAATTGAGACCAAAGATATTATTAAATCTGAAACTTTGCTAACATGACTCTACAAGTAGAAAATTCCCTTCCCAACTAATTTGATCATAGTTAAAATGGATATATGTAACACATAATTATGTATTGCCTTCAGAAGGTTGAGGGTATAAGGTATATATGAAATGAATTAATTTTGTGTTTGGTCTTGGGTTATAAGCAAATATTCTACCATGTGAGAAAAATCTGAAATGTTTCTTATCACTTTTTATAAGGGATACTCAGCCTGTATAGTTAACTCTTTTCTTAAAATTTACTTATTTTATTATTCTCATTTTTAAATATTTATTTTTATTGGAAAGGCAGATATACAGAGAGGAGAGACAGAGGATGATCTTCTGTCTGATGATTCACTCTAAGCCGCAGTGGTTGGAGTTGAGCTGATCCAAAGCCAGGAGCTTCTTCTGGGTCTCTCACATGGGTGTAGGGTCCCAAAGCTTTGAGCCGTCCTCGACTGCTTCCCCAGGCTACAAGCGGGGAGCTGGATCGGAAGTGGGGCCGCCTGGATTAGAACTGGTACCCACATGGGATCCTGGTGCATTCAAGGCGAGGACTTAGGCCATCACACAGAGCCCTAATTTATTTATTCGAAAGGCAAATTACAGAGAGGAGAGACAGAAGTATCCTTCATCCATGATTCATTCCCCAAATGGCCACAATAGCCAGAGCTGAGCCAACCTGAAGCCAGGAACCAGGAGATGCTTCTGCATCTCCCACATTGGAGTAGGGCACCAAGACTTCGTCCCATCCTCGACTGTCCTCCAAGGACGCAGGCTGGGAACTGGATGGGAATTATAGCAGCCAGGACACAAACTGACACCTATATGGGATCCTGGTGATTGCAAGGCGAGGATTTAGCCACTAAGCCATTGCATCATACCCGTTAGTTAACTGTTGTTTTTGGTGTCTGAGAAGAAATATATTGCATGTGCTTTTCTGTTGTTATTCTTTTTAATTTAAAAAAATCTGTTTACTTATTTGAAAGGCAGAGTTACAGAGGAAAGAGAGAGGGAGACCAGACAGTTTCCCTCCGCGGGTTTTACTTTCCCAGTCCCTGTGACGTGAACCTATGCTCATGTGTGATGCTAGGTGTTGCACGTGGGTGCTTAACTCTTGGCACTGTTCTGCAGTACAAGTGCCTTGATACTTTTGTTAGTGAGATGATTTGCAAAAAAAAAAATAAAGTTTCAGCTTTGCCATTTTCTAATTATGATCATATACTGGAACTTGCATAAGATGTTATCTGTAGAATAAAACTTTACAAAACAATCCTAAACTATACTATTAGTTACAATTTGATTTTTCCCTTCTTAGTCCCTAATGCAGTGTGCTGGAGAAAGTATCACTCTGTTTAAAAATAAGACAAATGAAGACTCTAGAATTGGTTCATTGAGAAGTATGATGCATCTATGTACAAGCTACTTGTGTAACTGTATCAAGGTAGGATATTCTTAGTAGGATAGCCTATAGATCTCTCATTGGTTTTGCTGTGTTTTTTTTATAACCTGAGTTAAACTGAACCATAAAGATAATAGTCTGATTTTATCATTAAAACTTTTGAGTTTTCCCAGCCTCTTTTATGTTATAGCAAGCTAGGTGATACTATAATTCCTGGCATGTTTCCATTTATTCAATAAAAAGGTGCTCACTATAAGCCATTGCAGGGCTAGTGTGCATCACAAAGGTAATTCTTGCACAAACATTACTTCTTTTCTCCACATGGTCTTAGTATAGCATTTGATGGAAATAGAAATGCTATTTGTAATCTGGTTTTGATTTGGAGGAGAACTGTGAAGTTCACCCAGCCATGCCTGAATGTAGCCAGTGCAGCTGTAAGTGCTTAACCTTGTATCAGTGTTATTAGTGTTTGTTTTTGGTTTTGCATTTTGGTTTTCTGCCATTTACAGATTGCTAAGAATAGGAGTGAAAAAGAAAATTGCTAACTCCAATTGCTACTTCTGTTTAGTATAATAAGCTCTTAAAGTTCTTTAGTCACATTTGTATTAAAACACATCCAGTTATCATTATTTTAAGAAGTTACTGCTTCTGAACAATTTATAGTTTGCCTTTATAGTAAATCTTTATATACATTTTGAAATAGAGTAAATAATATTTGCCAAGAGGAATTTTTAGTTTATTGCTTGTTTCTGTTTTAATTATAGCAAAATCCAAGTAAGACCATATCTGGCTTTTTCCTACGATTATTAACGTCAAAGCTAGTGAATGACATTGCAGATATTTGTAAAAATTTAGTAAGTATGATTATTATCTTACCATACTTAACGTTTATACAGTGTGTATTTTTTCTTGTTAAAACGTCTTAAATAGTGCTGCACCTCATAATGTATATCATCGTAAGTATATTTTTTATGTGAGAATATTATATAATATGGTCCAGAGAAAATGTATTTGATTCCTTCTTAATGTCATTACCTAATATAGTCTTAGTAAATAATAAACTAAAAGATTGTTAGCTTAACATCCAGGCTCATACCTATTTTGGTATAATTCTGGCCAACATTTAAAACAATTATTTTTCTTAAAGAAAAAATCATTGCCAGATAATCCACATATTATTGTAGTATTGATATTTTTACTGTATGCAAATGGGCTTGTGCCTAGTATTCCGCATTGTCTGGAACAATGGCTGGCACATAAATAATTCTGTCAACTGAGAAAATTCTATGTCAATTCGTTACTGACACTTTTCCCTTTAACTATACTTACTTATAAGCTGTGTATAGCTATGCTTTATTTAAGTCGTAGTGTATGGTTAATTCTTCCTTTTGTGGATTTTATGTGTGTTTATTAAAAGCTCAGTTTTAAGTGACTTTTTTAAATACAACTCTAGGATAAAGATTCTTGAACTCTTGTTTTCTTGCAACTGTGTGAATTGATGATTATTTTTAATGGATATTGTCATTATCCCCACAAAATAGTTACACTAGTTTATGCTTCTCCACATAGCCTCATTAATTTGGGGTAATGTAGAAAAAAATTCTGAAAAGCACATTTTTATTATATATTGACAAGTTACAGTTTTATAACTTTACAGAGTACAAAGTAGTAATTTTTTTAGATACAGTGTGGCATGATTATATAACTTTGTATTATAAAGAATGCTTTATAAGGTTTGCATTTTGTTGTATAGCTGTACTTCAGTTTATGTATCAGTTTTCCCATTGAACATAAAGTAAAAATAACACCATTGCATTCATGGATACATGAGTCTTGAATTCTTCAGATTATTTTAACTGCTTTCTTCTGAAAGAAGCCTACTTGAAAGTAATATGTTTGCGTCTCTTCCTTGAAGGCAACTTTAATCAAAAAACCATTTGACTGCAGAGAAATGGAGTCAGAAGAAGATGATCCTAGTGAATGTCTGATGGAGGTGGAAGGTCCGTCATCCATGAGCCTCTTCAGTGACCCTCCTGCTGATAGTGTTGGTGATGCCAGTGAATTGGGAGAGAATCAGAGTGCTATTGGTAAATAGTCGTTTGCTGTTGGGATGTCTTCTACCTACTGTTTTTGAAGATGTATATGTTTAGTTGAAAGGAGAAATCAAGAGAACTTTCAGTTGCTGAGCCTAGCCAAAGGCAGGAGCTTACCTGGATCTCCATGTGGGTTCAAGGGCCCTAGTAATTGGGCTAGCTTCTGCTGCTTTCCCAAGCCATAAACAGTGAGCTTGGTTGGAAGTGGAGCAGCTGGGACTTGAACCAGTACTGTTCATTCCAGCTTCTGATAATGCACATTCTGGAATCCAGCAGGTAATGGTTCAGGTAGTTGGTCTCCTGCTACTTATTTGGGAGCATCGCATGGACATTTAAGAAATGAGCTAGCAGATGAGAGCATGTGGCCTCTTTCTGCCTCTCAAATAAATATAATGTCTTAAAGGAAATAAAACCATGTGATAGACTGGGCATTAGGAAACAGGAAGGAGAGTGAAAAATCATCCCTAATACTGTAGCTTGTGACTGTTTCTGTTACTTCTCCACAGAGCCCTTTATAATAACCAGAATCTTCCTTCATAAACTGTTTTGGGGAAGGGGCTGCCTGCAAAGGATGCACCCATCCGCAGTGCTTGCAGTGACTGGGACTCAGAACTCAATGCACATCACATCTCCCACATGCATGGCAGAAACCCCATTACTTGAGATGTTTGCTGCCTCCCAGGGTCTACATCCCTAAGTTGGATGCCACAACACTGACATGGAATGCAGCCATCTTACCCAGTAAACCAAGTGCCTGCTCTCATATATTTCTCACATCTTCTTTAAGAATAAATAAGTATTTTCCCCATGTAGATTTTATAATGCTGTTTTTTAAAAAGAAAAAAAAAATATCTGACAAAGTTAATAGAGGGAGAGCTGTATCTTTAGTCTCCTAGTTTGCTTCCCAGATGGCTGCAATGACGATGGCCAGGCCAGATTGAAACCAGAAGCTTCTTCCAGGTTCACTGTCAGGGTCCCAGACACTTGGGCCTTCTTCCACAGCTTTTCCAAGGCCATTTATAGGGATCAGGATTGGAAATGGAGCAGCCAGGACACAAAACATTGGCCATATGGAATGCTGTTTTTATGGGCAGTTTATATCTTATGCCACAACAGCTGCCTCTACTTTTTTTTTAAAGATTTATTTATTTTCATTGGAAAGTCAGGTATACAGAGAGGAAGATCGTCCGTCCGATGATTCATTCCCCAAGTGAGCACAACGGCTGATACTATGCTGATCCGAAGCCAGGATCCAGGAACCTCTTCCGGGTATCCCACATGGGTGCAGGGTCCCAAGGCTTTGGGCCACTCTCAACTGCTTTCCCAGGCCACAAGCAGGGAGCTGGCTGGGAAGTGGAGCTGCCGGGATTAGAACCGGCGCCCATATGGGATCCTGGCACGTTCAAGGCGAGGACTTTAGTCACTAGGCCATGCTGCCAGGCCCTGCCTCTACTTTTTAATGACTACTGTAATTTGGCCATGTTTTGGACCAATTTTTATTATCAGAAATTTGGGTTACTTTCTGTTTCCCTGTGATGAAGTATTATTGCAGTATATATTAATCTAAATAAATTTTTCCATATTTCAAGTATTTTTCAATGGCAGAATCCTTTTCATGGAGAATCTTTTGCATAATTAATTTCACTATAGTTTTGTTTTCCATATACATTTATTGGAATAGTGGATCAGGAAGATATTAAATACTGAGTTTAAAGAACCAAGACATCGCTGTTACTAAGTTCTTTTCATTTTTAGGTGCCATGAATCCATTAGCTGAAGAGTATCTGTCAAAGCAAGATCTCCTTCTTTTAGACATGCTCAAGTTCTTATGTATGTGTCTAACTGCTTCTCAAACCAATACTATGTCATTTAGAGCAGCTGATATTCGGAGAAAATTGTTAACACTAGTTGATTCTAGCATATTAGACCTTACGAAGTCTGTCCACCTACACATGGTGAGTTAAGTGAAATGAAAAACTCATTGATCTTGTCTCGTTATACTGACTAATGATGATAGCTTGACATGTGCCTTCGAAGATTTGAAACTACTTGCTTGAGAAATGAATGTGGTGCTAGTTATAAAACATACCTTTTAGTGTACTGTCAAAAAAGTTGAAAGGGCATGCTGAAATTTGGTAGATTATTCCCTTGATACGTAATTGTCAAGTTATTTTAGAATAGGTCAAGAAACATAGATATTAAATGTAAGAACATAATACATAGCTGTGTTTAAAAGCTTACTCCTACCTTTGACTTGATACTGTTGATGTATTTTTATTTTCAGTTCGTTATGATAGCATGTATTTTATTTTTCACTTTTCAAATATGTATCTCACTTTTCTAGCAGTAAAAAACTTAGCTTCCTATTTGACCTTAATATATTTACTTCAGCACTCAATTACTTTATTAATCTCCTAACCAGGGGGGCCAACTCCTTTACCCCAGCCCCAGTGCGTAATGGGATAAGAGCCCTAGGTTCAGTAAGAAGCTGAGTGGGTCCCTCACATGTTTCTGTTTCCAGAAAAGTGACACGTTTGCTAGTCCCTATTTAAGAGAAAATCGCTTGTCAGTCACTGGTAGATGACCTGGTTGTGTACCTAGCATGGGTGGGAGTGCATGCTGATCTTCCAGATCCAGCAAAATTTTTATGTATTCTGTTTGAGCCCCTGGTTTTAGCACTGCCAATTAGTCAGATTTCTAGCCCGAAGGGAAAATGTTGCATGTTTTTCTTGAAACTTTGATATTTAAAGGTATTTTAAAATACTCAGTAACATAAGGCTGATATCAAATATTGAACACATAATTTAATTTTTTTGTTAATGTCAAAGATGAAATAAGAAATAATGTATAGATGGTAGTATGTGTGTGAGGGGGAAGGTCCCCTTAGTTTATTAATACAGTTCAAAAATGGCATTTTCAAAAGTACCATTTAACTATTCCATTATACATGGCAGTTGCCAATCTACACTTGCTATTTGTAGTCCTGTATCAGATATTGTGAAGTCAGCACAATGGAAATAATTCATTGTGTTTGACTTGTTTCCGGCCTTCTGTTTTTTCTGCTTTCCAAAATTCATTAGTAGATAGATTTCAACTATTGAATTCTTTTATCCAAGCATTATCTGGGTTGTCGAGGTGGGAAGTAAACCTACTGTGCTTTCAGGTTCTTGTTGAATACTTAGCTACTATGATCATTTGTTGAATTTCCATAATAGCCAGATTGACATTTATTTACTCTAATACTTAATTTCCTAACCATATCAGATTAAGGTTGTTGGTAGTAGGATTAAAATCCAGCTGTTAGACTTGATAACTTTTCTTTAAATCATTTATCTTCTTGAATATTTATAGGTATGTGTGTATGTATACGGATATATACACTCAGTTGTATATGATATATGAAACAAACTGATTTTTTCTCCCTATTGTCTTAGTATTTAGTGCTTTTAAAGGAACTTCCCAGAGGAGAGTATCCCTTGCCAATGGAAGATGTTGTTGAACTTCTGAAACCACTATCGTAAGAAATTAAAGCCATGTTATGTTCACTTTAAATTTCTAAACTAACTGATGAGTTCTGTGAAGCTTACACAGGTAAACTTTTTCCACCACAGCAATGTGTGCTCTTTGTATCGCCGTGATCAAGATGTTTGTAAAACAATTTTAAACCATGTCCTTCCAGTAGTGACAAACCTAGGTCAAGGCAGTTCGGATACTGAAACCACAAGGGATGCTCAAGGACAGTTCCTGACAGTGATTGGGGCATTTTGGTGGGTACAAGCTGTTTTATTCAGTATTTGGTTTTCTTCTATCTCTTTGTACAAATGCATACTTTGCATTTCTGCATTAATGCAGAAGTAATCTAATCTGGATTAAATTTCTTCTGATTCCCCTATGTAGCTATTTATATCTTTTAATAATAGCAAAATGTAATTGACTTGGTGAAGTACTTTGTTTTGCCTAAAATGTGGCTAGCTAAATTTACATAATACATTTACCTTCAAATTTTGAGTCATTTGAGATTATTCAAAAACACTAGGAAATTGAATTAAAATGCAAATTTACTTGCTAAACAAAAAAAAAGTTTGACCTGTATGGTGAATGAAGAAATGCAACGGAACTAAATTGGATTATTCTTTCCAGAGTGACAAGGTTGTCATTATAGCTATCTGTTTAATTCATGCTTTATTGTCGTAGTCTCAGTTGAAATAATGCTGTTTAAAGAGGAATACATTTAGGTAATTAGAGACACAAGTATACATGAAGCTTCATACATGTATAAATCAGTATAGAATATGGCATTAAAATCTTGATATAATTAAAACATTTCTAAAATATGCAGTGGCATATCAGGCTTGTCCTCTGCCTGCAGTGCTAGCACCATTTGTGAGTGTCATTTCATGTCCTGGCTGCTCCATTTCCAATCCAGCTCCCTGCCTAGGAACTGGGAAAGCACTGCAAGATGGCTGATGACCTTGGGCCCCTGCACCCACTTGCAAAAAGTGGAAATGGAACAGCTAGGATTTGAACTGGCACTCATGTGGGATGCCAACTCCACAGTGATGGCTTTACTTGTTGTGCCACAGTGCTGACCCCTACTAAGATGGTTTAAAGTTTTTCATTTTAAAGCAGTTTACCAGATCGTGGTTAGCTGACATATGATAGCCTCAAACTGAGGCATAATTTTATGAAAAATGATAGTACACATTATAGTGAGCTCATTTTGAAACAAAATTCTTTTAACTTGGATTTTTGGGAGGGTGAATAATGATAATTAAATTTAGCAAAGAAAATTTTAAAGCTGCCTGTGTATTATTGTAAAAATCCAGTGATGTTTGTGTTTTTATTTGAGTGATTAATTGACATTGAAACACTTATTGATTTCAGGCATCTAGCGAGGGAGAAGAAATGCACATTTTCTGTAAGAGTGGCACTAGTAAAATGCCTTAAAACATTGCTGGAGGTAAGTTATTCCATGTCAGTAGGATCTCCACTAAAACCTGTAAGTCAGCTTTTATTTCTGTTCGTTAGTGAATGATTTTTCCCTTGGTATTTTGTATTCAGTGCTGGTTGTTCTTTTCCCACAGGCTGATCCTTACTCAAAATGGGCTATTCTTAATGTCATGGGTAAAGATTTTCCTGTAAATGAAGTATTTCCACAGTTTCTTGCTGATAATCATCACCAAGTTCGCATGTTGGCTGCAGAATCCATCAATAGGTAACTGATCAAGTATTAGTGACGTGTGTTTGTAATGATGCAATATGTAACAGTGCAATATGTAACAGTCACAGATTTCTAGTTGATGTATGAAAAATAACACTGACAGCAATTACTTATACCTGGCATTTATGTTTTCTGTTAATTTTGAAAATTTTCTCACTTAAATACTATTGTTTTCTCACATATGTAGATAAAAATGTGGACTTGGGTAAAATAACTTATTTGGTGGTAGAGAAATTGTGTGATTTGAATGAGGCATATCTCATGCTAAAGGGAGGTACAGAATATTGGATTGTCCCATGATTATATATGATTTAACACACTTCATATTGGGCTCATTGTAATTATGTTTATTGGGGTGAACATGCAGTTGGGCACTACGGTTATTCTGTCATGAGGATTTCTTTTATGCTTGAGTACCTAAATAAACACTATTTTTTCTTTTAAAATGATTTATTTTTTTATTGGAAAGGCAGATGTACAGAAAAAGATCTTCCCTCTGCTGATTTGCTCCCCATGTGACCACAACTGCTGGAGCTGAGCCAAAGCCAGTAGCTTCTTATGAGTCCCCCAAGCGGGTACAGGTTCCTAAGGTTTGGGACGATCCTATACTGCTTTGCCAGGCTAAAGGCAGGGAGCTGGATGGGAAGTAGAACAGCCAGGGCATGAACTGGTGCCCATTTGGTATCCCAGTTCGCAAGGTGAGGATTTAGCCACTAGCCTATTGCGCTGGGCCCTGAATTACTATTTTTTACCACATTCAGCTATTTGTATTCCAAAAGAATATAAATACAAAACACGTTAGCTTTTTTCTACTCACTCATATGTATCTTTACCATTTAAAACAATATTTGTCATGTGCTAGGTGTTCCATAACTAATTATAAAGTAAATGAATATACTTGCCAAAAGAAATTCTATGATGCTTCGAAAACATTGAAGCAAGGTCCAGCATCATTGTGTAGCTAGTTAAGCCTACAACACTAGCATGCCATGTGGTTGTAGTTTGTGTTCTTGCTGCTCCACTTCCCATCCAGCTCCTTGCTAATGACCTGAGAAAGCACCGAAAGATAGCCCAAGTGCTTGAGTCCTGTCTTGTACATGGGCCCGTGGGTGAAGCTCCTGGCTTTGGCCTGTCCCAGACCTCTTTGTTGAGATCATGTGTATAGTGAACCAGGAGGTCAAAGATACTTTGCACCCTGTATTTCTTTGTTTTCCTCTCTGTAACTCTGCCTTTAAAATAAATATTTTTTTTTCAACTGGAGCAAACATTTGATTAACTTTACTGAGCAAATTTAAGTGACCCATAATAGGAGCTCACTGTAAAGAAATTATCCAGGCCCAGAGCCATAGCTCAGTGGCTTAAGTCCTCACCTTCCAAGGGCTAGAATCCCATACGGGCACCAGTGTGTGTTTGGCTGCTTCAGTTCCTACCCAGCTCCCTGCATGTGGTCTGGGAAAGCAGTAGAGGATGGCCCAAAACCTGCAACCATGTGGGAGACCTGGAAGCAGATCTGGGCTCTTGGCTTAAGAGTGACTCAGTTCCAGCTGTTGTGGCCTCTTGGGGAGTGAAGCAGCAGATAAGAAATCTTTCTGTTTCTGCTTGTCTCTGTAAATTTGATTTGCCTTTCCAATTAAAAAAAATAAATATTTAAAAAATGTATCTGATCATTAACATAAATGTTAGAAATAACGTGTCCAAAATTTCAATATGTTGAGAGTGGTATATTCCTCTAGTGTAGGGCTCTTTTCAGTAAGATCATGCTGTGTTTGCTAGACCTTAATAAGTTTCACAGATAAACTATATGCTGATGTTAAAGGTTTTGGGTTATTTAAGACCATATTTTGAAGGTAATAAAATACTGTGTCTGTGACAGTGAAGGTTCACAACAGTACAAATCAAAGATTGATATGTTTTTAAAACTTTTAAAGAAAATTTGAGAGGTAGAAAGAAAGGGTTGAGAGGAGCCAGCAGACAGAGAACTCTCATTGGTGGTTTATTCATCAAATACTTGGAGTGGCTGAGACAGTAACAGGGCAGAACCACGAGATAGGAACCCAGTCTGTGTCTGCCTGTGCGGGTGGCAGGAGTCCAGATTATATCAGCCATCACTGTTGCTGCCCTGGGTCTTCATTGTCAGGTACCTGGAGTAATTCACTGTAATAGGGAATCAGGTCGAAATGAAGCCATCTTTACCATATGACTAACTACTCTCTGTTGTTTTTGAATGAGAAATTAGCAGTTGATTTTTTTTCCATTTTATTTGTTATCTACCTTGTTGCCGTCTTTATATAGAAATTATAGTAATGGGCCTGGTATGGTAGCCTAGTGGCTAAAGTTCTTGCCTTGCATGCACCAGGATCCTATATGGGCAGTGGTTCTAATCTCAGCAGTTCTACTTCCCATCAAGCCCATGGCCTGGGAAAGCAGTTGAGGACGACCCATAGCCTTGGGACTCTGCACCCGTATGGAAGACCCAGAAGAGGCTATGGACTCATGACTTTGGGTCAGCTCAGCTCCAGCTGTTTCAACCACTTGAGGAGTGAATCAGCAGATGGAAGATCTTTTTGCCTCTCCTCCCCTCTGTATACCTGGCTTTCCAATGAAAATAAATAAATCTTTAAAAAAAATTATAATGAAAAATCATGAACAAAAAAATAAAACTTTTCCTCATGTATATGAGAGACAGAAGTGTTGTCCTTAACTACATGGGCATTGTGTAAAAGATACTGCTCACTTTTTCTTCTATCACATGTGATTCAAATGGAACATCAAGATATTAAATTGATCACTTAAGAGTGATGAAATAAGATGGTACTTAAAATGCTTGGCAATTGCGGTGCATGGGTTTCAAAATGGCCTGAATTTTGACCTCCCCTATTTGTGTTAGAAAAGGCTGACAGTGCTGACTGTGGACTCTATGGTTAGTGTTTCAACAGAGAAGACTTTATCTCTTAGTGCCAGTCAGCTGCTGCTCAGCTTGAAATAGCACTGAACTCCAATATCTTTTGAAACCTCAGTTGAGTTTAAAGGAAGTGACATGTTAGTATGTCTCATGAAACGAAATTTTGCTATGATGTTAGAAATGTGTTTAAAATAAACTTTTTTTTTTCCAAAAGACTATTCCAAGATATGAAACAAGGAGATTCACCTAGATTGTTGAAAGCACTTCCGTTGAAGCTCCAACAGACAGCTTTTGAAAATGCATATTTGAAAGCTCAGGAAGGAATGAGAGAATTGGTAATTTGTTAATGAATATTCCTTATCTTAAGATTCCTGTAACTATCTTCTGTTAATTGATTATATTTGGCATAAGACAGTTTTAATTCATTCTTTCACAGTATATAATTTGTCTACAACTGCTGTATGAATTGAATGAACTTATGTTACTTAAGAAACATTGGAATGACGAGACAGACACTGGTGTAGCTGATAAAACTGCCCCCTGTGATGCCATCATCCCCATATGGGACTAATTTTATTTCTGGCTGTTCCAGTTCTGACCCAGGTCGCTGCTAATATGCCTGAGAAGGCAGTGGAAGATGGCTCAAGTCCTTAGACCCCTGCACTCATGTGGGAGACCCAGAAATTGTTACTGGCATCAGAATCAGCCTAACTCTAGGCACCATGACCATTTTGGGAGTGAACTAGAAGATGGCAGATCTCTCTAACTCTGACTTTCAAATGAATAAATAAATTGTTAAAAAAAAAAAGAATGAATCAGGTAGAAGTTCTTTTGGTTTATCTTAGTTGTTAAATAGGGGAAGAAAAATCCTACCATCTTTTTGTGAATACAAATGGCTTCCATTTACATTTAAAATATTCCATGTAATATATAACTAAGTTAAAACATGGCAGTAGAACTGAATAGATTACACCTTGTGGTTTTCGCTTGTCTCTGTAGAATAATAATTTTCTTAGTGTTCAGTTACATGTATTTGTGCCTTCAGTTATTTCTAAATATGAGATAGTTAAATAGTTATCTAAAAAAAAATGGTTATCTGTATTAATGGGAAACTACAAATGACATTTGCATGACCAAATCTGAATTTAGAAAAGGATTTTCACAGATTGGAAAGAAGGGTGTAAATGCTATAGGATTTAATAGAGGTGATATATATTATCCGTTTTATGTCAGCCTATCTATAAATAGAATCTTTTCTGACAAGTCATTTGTAAGACAATCCACTTGTTTATGTCCAAGATCCTATTATGAATTAACATTGTTAATTCATGACAGAGTAAGTGAGTTCTGTTACATGTCATCCTTGTCAACATTTTAACAAACAGTGCTGATAAAAAAAAACTTGAGTCTGCTATGTTTTTACTTTTTTTAGTACATTATTTCTTATGTTTACATAGTTGAAAAGGAAAATATGCCATGTTTATTAAAAGTATTTGAAGTGTATTTGCTTTCAACCAAAAGTAGATTTGAATGAAGATTCCTAAGGTATATTTAGTTCTGTATTTTAGAAGGAATGTGAAGGAGCTAACACAATGGAAAGCTCATATCTGTTTTCAAAGATGCCAATGATTTGTCATTCAGTAAGAGATTTGGTACTTAACTTTATTATTTTTTTTCCTAATTTTATTTTTTATTAAAAATAAATAAAACAAATAAAAATAAATAAATAAATAAATAAAAATAAATCTTCCATCTGCTGGTTCACTTTCCCAAATGGCTGCAATGGCCAGAGCTGAGCCAATCTGAAGGCAGGAGCCAGAAGGTTCTTCTGGGTCTCCATGCAGGTACAGGGTCCCAAGGCTTTGGGCCGTCCTCGACTACTTTCCCAGGACACAGGCAGGGAGCTGGATGGGAAATGGAGCAGCCAGGATACAAACTGGTGTTCATATAGGATCCCAGTGCTTACCAGGTGAGGATTTAGTCTTTGCCCTGTCAAGTTATTTATTTCTCTTTATCATCCCTTTCCGTAGGATCTTAGGAAGAGCAGTGCTTCCTAATTTAGGAAACTGATTTTCTCAAAATCTCTAATCTTAGTTTCATCACTGTAGGATATAAAACTTCCCAGTCCACTTAGAAGTTGTTATGAATTCTCTGATTTTTGTTTAATGAACTCATTTATAATGTTCAGATATTTACATCATTGTTTTTAAAATTCTTTTAAAGTCCCACAGTGCTGCGAACTCTGAAGTTTTGGATGAGATTCATAATAGAAAATCTGTTCTATTGATGGTAATTGCTGTGGTTTTATGCTGTAGCCCTGTTTGTGAAAAGCAGGCTTTGTTTGCCCTGTGCAAATCTGTGAAAGAGAATGGATTGGAGACTCACCTTGTGAAAAAGGTACATGTGAATGACTGTTTATTATTACTGTTGTGTTTATTATTAATCATAATCCTCCTTGGTTAGCTGCTTTTTTTAAAAATTTTTTTTATTGGAAAGGCAGATATACAGAGAGGAGAGACAGAGAGGAAGATCTTTCGTCCGATGATTGACTCCCCAAGTGAGCACAACGGCCGATGCTATGCTGATCCAAAGCCAGGAGCCTCTTCCAGGTCTCCACGCGGGTGCAGGGTCCCAAAGCTTTGGGCCGTTCTCGACTGCTTTCCCGGGTCACAGGCAGGGAGCTGGAAGGGAAGTGGGGCAGCCAAGATAGAACCGGCGCCCATATGGGATCCCGGGCGTGCAAGGCGAGGACCTTAACCACTGCACCACCGTGCCGGGCCCCTGTTAGCTTTTTTTAAAATTGTTTTAGTTACAAAGTCAGATATACACAGAGGAAGATCTTCCATCCGATGATTCACTCCCCAAGTGACCACAACGGCCTGAGCTGTGCTGATCTGAAGCCAGGATCCCGGAGCCTCCTCCAAGTTTCCCATTCAGATGCAGCGTCTCAAGGCTTTGGACCATCTTTGATGGCTTTCCCAGGCCACAGGCAGGGAGCTGGATGGGCAGAGTGGCCCCTGACCCCAAACTGGCATCCATATGGGATTCGGTGGGGTGAAAGCAAAAACTTTAGCCAGGCTATCGCTCTGAGCCCCTGCGTAAGGTTTTTACCAGAATGGTTAAAGATGTATTTTTTTAAATGACTCCTGCTTAAGAGTTAGAAATTATGTTTGAAGTTGTAAATGCTGACAGGAAAGCAGTTACTAAATGGTTACAGGAAAGCAACTTACTAAATGGTTTGCTTATTGGTATGTGTTTTTGACATTCCATTTAAGAGCGTTTTACAGGTATTCATTAAACTAAGTTAGGTAAATGACCACATGTACTAGCTCTAGAATAGCCTTTATTTAGGAGAAGTGTGTGGAGACAAGAACAATATCAGTGGTATTGCCCAGCCGACTCTGTAGCTCAGTGGGATCTATTAGGGTCAGAGGTTAGTTTTAGGGCCGTGAGGCTTATATTAGGGGAGAATTGAGGTCCAATCTTTTTACGTTTATATTAGCAAGGTGTTATAGTTTGTCAGACTACCTACTGTTATAGCACCTCAGCTTTGATAGCTTGAGGAGTTCCAGGTTTTTCTATTGTAGATTTTTATATGATGGGTTATTGGATGATAAACTGTTTAGCATTGTATCAGTATGATTTCCATGGAACTTTATACTACACCATAGACTAATATTTAGGTGATTGTTCTTAAATAAATTCACATTTTACTTTTTAGAATTAAGGAGAGTGGGCCCTATGTGATAGCCTAGTGACTAAAGTCATAGCCTTGCACACGCCAGGGTCCCAACTGAGTGCCAGCTAATGTCCAGGCTGCTCCACTTCCCATTCAGCTCTCTGCCTGAGGCCTAGGAAAACAGTAGAGGATGGCTCAAAACCTTGTGACTCTGCCTCAATGTGGGAGACTTGGAAGAAGCTCTTGGCTCCTGCCTTCAGATTGGCTGAGCTCCAGCTGTTGCGGCCCCTTGGGTAGTGAACCAGCAGATGGAAGATCTTCCTCTCTGTCTCTCCTCTCTCTGAATCTATTCAGCTGTCTAGTGTCTGTTTTCATTCTTGTATCTTATAGTATTCAAGCACGATTTTTACTGCACTTGGCAGATTTTAGGCTCAGTGCAAAGTGCCTTATAACTCTAACATGCCATATGTTAACAATTGAAGTGCAGAACAGTTTTAGTGGGGGTGTGCAGAGAAATCTTCAATGCCTTAGTGAGGAGTAACTAATCTTTGTGTCTTACCTAGTAAGGTATACGTGAGACAAAGCTTACTGTTTCCTGTCCAGTTCTAAGCTTTCCTTGTTCTCTGTCTATCTAATTTGAGGGGGAGGGAGTCCTCCAGAGTGACCCTGATGGTCCTTGCAAGAGAGGGTGGAGATCCAAAGTTTGAACTAAGTAAGGATCAGAGAAAGCTTCCTTACCGAGTTCTAAAGAAAGTTTACTGTTCTGTTTCTGAGGTCCGCTCAGGGCTCCCGGCTAGTGTTCCAAGGACATTAGATCCTGTGAGGAAAGATCTGGGCAACTTCCATCCCATGTGGGAGATTCGAGAGGGAGTAGATGACCTCAGAGTTTTTGGCCTCTGAGGGCACGCCAATTCCCCATGGTCTCCTTGGCAGTTGGAATATAGTCCTTGGTGCCCATACTGCTATTCCTTGGTGAGGATCCGGGAGTCTCCAGGGTTGGGATACAAGCCTCCTCCTGTCTTGCTCCACTCTGGGGTCCCGCCCTGCTCTGTGCATATGACCTCTTGTTAAGAGGTTGTCAGAATCGCTCTTGATTCTTTATAGTTTGTCTTTATAGTTTAACTAATGTATAATGCTGATTCAGGTCTGCTGTCTGTAAGTTATCTGTTATATTCTTGATAGGTTAGACTGAACATCTTCCTCACATACTCTGAAAAGGTAGAATATTTCTCTAACTTTGATATAATGTTTCTATTTATTTGAGAACTTTTTCCCGTAGACCTTCCTTTTAGATTTAATCAGATAATGAAATCTGTAAAATTTTTTTTTATGTAACATTTCTTAAGAGTTTACTATGCCCCATATACAATGCCAGTTATATAAAATGTGGGTTTTAATTTTTTCTTTTATTCTGCATCTTGCTGATTAAAAACAGTATAGACAAGCCAAGCACATGTTTATTAAGGAAGACTTAAATTACTTCATTTTCTAAAAGTGCCAACTTTTGATTTTTGTAGGTTTTGGAGAAAGTTTCTGAAACTTTTGGATATAGAAATTTAGAAGACTTTATGGCTTCTCATTTAGATTATTTGATTTTGGAATGGCTAAATTGTCAAAATGCTGAATATAGCTTATCTTCTTTTCCTTATATTTTATTAAACTACAGAAATGTTGAAGACTTCTATAGGTAGGTTTATATATGGCATATGTGAAATGTGTAGTTTAAAATTAGGTTATCATGTTTGACTGTTCCCACTGCATACAGATGAGAGGCTGCGCGGTGTGAGAAGCGGGATGACTTAATGTAATAGTTGATGAAAATAGTTGCTGGACTTTGGATTTGATCCTAGCTGTGGAAATATCCAGCTGTGGGAGTTGGGCAACTCATGCAACACTCAGTGAAGTATGAGAGTTTTACAGAATCTTTAGTGTTGCCTTTAGCATTAATACTTGACAAACTCCTCTTTGAAAAAGTAAAAGATAAGTTACTCATGGCAGATTATTTTTGTCCTATTCTTCATTTGAGTTCCTGGACTCTATGGATATTTAGTATTTCTGTTCAAATTAGAAGTTTAAGGAGAAGTATTCATTTTGCTTATTGTGTAAAAGAGATTTTTGGGAAGAATGAGAGGTTTGAAACATTTGACAAGTCATATTTAGGGGCCGGTATTAATGGCCCATCAAGTTAAGTTCGTACCCACAAGTGAATGAGTTCAGGCTGCTCCACTTCTCATTAAGTCAGATGCCCTCAGTGATGCCTGGTTGGGACTGACCCTGGGGACCAGCACTCAGTCCAGGTCTCCAAAGTGGGTAGCATGGATCTAGTTGCTTGAGCTATCGCTAGACACCTCCCAGGTTGTACAAGGAGTTGGAATTGCAAACTCAGCCAGGACTGAACCCAAAGCTCTCTGATGTGAGATATAAGGATCCCAGCTAACAATATGAGTTGTCAGGCCAAGTTTCCAATTCCATTTTCCACACTTTTTTTTGTTTTTGTTTAAATCACAGAATTAAGGTGAACAGCTCCAGCTGTGTTTTTAAGGTATAATTATTTAGAATTTGTTTAGCTTTATTTCTTCATTCATACGTTAGAGTAGAACTGATACCAATAAAGTTCTTCTCTAAGATTGAGTGTAAGAAAGTTTTATGTTTAAGTATTGTCTTATAATATTTTACTTTGAAAAATTACATATGGCCAAATTTTAATTTTTTTTTGTATTTTTAGATCTTGTTACAAAATACTAATTCCACATCTGGTGATTAGAAGTCATTTTGATGAGGTGAAAGCCATTGCTAACCAAATTCAAGAGGATTGGAAAAGTCTTCTGATAGACTGCTTTCCCAAGATTCTTGTGAATATCCTTCCTTATTTTGCGTATGAGGGCACAGCAGATGGTGGGATGGCACAGCAAAGAGAGACTGCTGCTGTGGTTTATGATACACTGAAAAGTGAAAGCTTCCTGGGAAAGCAGGTATGCTTCAATGTCACTTATTTTTTATTTTCCAATACATGGTTTAAGTTTTACATTTTTAGGTTTTTAGTCATCATATATATAACTGAAGTTAGCTTATGGTAGTTCCAAATAAAGCCAACCCATGCATTTTTTGTTACTGTATGATATTTTCTCCCTTTTAAGTAAAAGTGGAAATGCTTTTCATTTGAAATACCCAAGAAGAAACAGCAGGAAAAAAAAAAACTTTTAGGAAAATTTATTTGTGCTTTGTGCTTATTTATATTTTGTCTTAGTTACCAGTAGTAAACAACTTTAAGCTAGTTAAGTTCAAGAGATCCTGAACACTGTATATGGAAGACCTTCATCACTCTCTTCAAATATCAGTGTGCTTTCCATCTTCCCAGGAAAAATCCCATGCCAAATTCCCAGTTGCTGTTTGCTCTTTTTTTTTTCAATCAATATCCTCAATCACAGAGGTTGACATTGTGGTGTAGCACATGAATCTTCTACCTGTGGTGCTGGCTTTCCGTGTCTGCCCTCGTTTGAGTCCTGGGTACTCCACTTGCAATCTAGTTCCCTGCCCTTGGCCTGGGAAGCAGCATAAGATAGCCATAGGTTGGGCCCGGCGCGGTGGCGCAAGTGGTTAAAGGTCCTCGCCTTGCACGCCCGGGATCCCATATGGGCGCCGGTTCTAATCCCGGCAGCCCTGCTTCCCTTCCAGCTCCCTGCCTGTGGCCTGGGAAGGCAGTCGAGGACGGCCCAAAGCTTTGGGAACCTGCACCCTCGTGGTGTGGGAGACCCGGAAAAGGCTCCTGGCTTCAGATCGGCATAGTATCGGCCCGTTGCGCTCACTTGGGGAGTGAATCATCGGATGGAAGATCTTCCTCTCTGTCTCTCCTCTCTGTATATCTGCCTTTCCAATAAAAAAATAATAAAAATAAATCTTTTAAAAAAAAAATAGCCATAGGTCTCTGTGCCCATGTGGGAAACCTGGAAGAACCTTCTGGCTCCTGCCTTCAGACTGGCCCATCCCTGAGCATTGCAGCCATTAGAGGAGTCAGCCAGCCAATAGAACATCTGTTTGTCTTTCTTTCTCTGTAACCCTGACTTAAAATAAAACTTAAATAATTTTTCAACGTTAAATAATAATTTTGAAAGGCACTGTGACGAAAGAGCATCTATCTACTGCTTGACCGCCCCCCCCCAATGGCCATAATAGCCAGAATTTGTTCAAGCTGAAGCCAAGAGCCAGGAACTTTGTAATTCTATTTGAGTTTCCCATATGGGTATTAGAGCCCAAGTACTTGGACCATTTTATGCTGCTTTCCCAGGCCTTGTTAGGAAGGAGGTGAATCCAAAGCAGAGCGGCCAGAGCTTGAATCATTACTCTGATATGAGACATTAGCATGTGGTGGCTTAATGCAGTGCACCACAATGCAGGCCCCATAATTCAGTTTTAATTTCAGTTTGTTGCTTACTATTAGCCTTATCTATCATGCAAACATTGTAAAGATAGGACTCTTGTCTTTTTTTTTTTTTAAAGATTTATTTTTATTATTTTTTCATTGGAAAGGCAGATATACAGAGAGGAGAGACAGAGAGGAAGATCTTCCGTCCGATGATTCACTCCCCAAGTGAGCGCAACGGGCCGATACTATGCCGATCCGAAGCCAGGAGCCTCTTCCGGGTCTCCCACGTGGGTGCAGGTTCCCAAAGCTTTGGGCTGTCCTCGACTGCTTTCCCAGGCCACAGGCAGGGAGCTGGAAGGGAAGCAGGGCTGCCGGGATTAGAACCGGCGCCCATATGGGATCCCGGGCGTGCAAGGCGAGGACCTTTAACCACTTGCGCCACCGCACCGGGCCCGGACTCTTGTCTTTTTGTGGTGGGGAGGGCAGAGGGCTGAATTTCTCCAACTACTTATTTATTGGGTGCTCATTGAACTTTTTTTGTGATTTTTTAAAATTTTTTTTTTTTTTTCAAGAGAAAAAATATCTTTATTTGACTTTTCAGCTTTCAGTGATTGTTGCTGTCAGAGTTTAAATTTTCTTTTTTTTTTTTTTTTTTTATTGTTGCTTACACTGTATTATGTAGTACAGTTTTATAGGCGCTGGGGATTCCCCCACCCCTCCCCATACCCCTCCCCCCATGGTGGATTCCTCCACCTTGCTGCATAACCATAGTTCAAGTTCAGTTGAGATTCATTGCTTGCAAACACATGCCTAGCATAAAGTTCAGCGTCTTATTGTCCAGATAAGTTCAGTGGCCTCCTGGGGAGACCTTCTATGGTCTGAAGATAGGTCTAACAGAGTAAAGATCCGGTCGGTTAAAAGCCCCAACAAGGCCTCAGTATCAATATACAACATTATGGAATTAATTGACATAGTATTGGGTAAACAATATGTTAAAAATAATGCAAGTTCCATTCTTCGAAACATCTGGGTTGAGACAGCATCAATGACACGTTCAAAAAATAACAAACAACCAAACAATAAATTACAGGTTAAATCAAGGCAAACATGTGGTATCTAATCTTTTGGGATTCACTCATTTCCCTTAGCATTATAGTTTCCAGTTGTGCCCATTTAGCCACAAAGAACTGCATTTTGTTTTTTTTAATAGCTGAGTAGTATTCCATGGAGTAGATGAACCAAAGCTTTCTTATCCAATCTTCTATTGATGGGCATTTCGGTTGCTTCCATGTTTTTGCAATTACTGATTGTGCTGCAATGAACATAGGGATGCATGTTGGTTTGTCGTAAAACAGGTGTTTTGGATATATTCCTAGGAGTGCTATTGCTGGGTCATATGGCATGCAGATTTTGAGTTGTTTGAGTGTTCTCCAGACTGATTTCCATAAAGGCTGTACCAATTTGCAGCTCCACCAGCAGTGGAGTAGGGTTCCCTTTTCCCCGCATCCTCGCCAGCAAGCGTCGTTGGTGTTCTTGTTTATGTGGGCCAATCTTACTGGTGTTAGGTGGTACCTCATCGATGTTTTAATTTGGATTTCCCTTATTGCTAGGGAGCTGGAACATTTTTTCATATGTTTGTTTGCCATTTGGACTTGTTCCTTTGTGAAATGTTTGCCCATTTCCCGTGCCCATTTCTTGAGTGGCTTGTTTGTTTTGGTTTTTTGGTTGTTTTGAAGTTCTTTGTATATCCTGGAAATTAGCCCCCTATCGCCTATATCGTGTGCAAAGATCTTCTCCCACTCTGTGGGTTGCTTTTTTACTTTGTTGATTGTTTCCCTTGCTGTACAGAAGCTTCTTAGTTTGATGAGGTCCCATTTGTTTATTCTGTTCTCAACTGCTATTGCTTTTGGTGTCCTTCTTAGAAAGTCGGAACCTACTCCTAGGTCTTGCAGTGTATTTCCTACATTTTCTTGCAAGAGTTTGAAGGTTTCTGGATGTAGGTTTAGGTCTTTTATCCATGTAGATTGGATCTTAGTGTAAGGGGATAGATGTGGGTCTATCCTTTTGTTTCTACAGGCTATCAGCCAGTTGTCCCAACAACATTTACTAAAGAGGCCTTCCCACTTGCTTGAGCTATCATTGGTCTTTTTGTCAAAGATTAATTGGCTGTATTTGTGTGGGTTCCCTTTTGGTGCTTCTGTTCTATTCCATTGATCTTCCTTTCTGTCTTTGTGCCAGTACCAGGCTGTTTTGATAACCACTGCTCTATAGTATGTCCAGAGGTCCGGGATTGTGATTCCCCCTGCTAACCTCTTATTTTTCAGGATGGTTCTAGCTATTCGTGGTTTTTTGTGTTTCCAGATGAACTTTTGAATCATTGTATCCAGTTCCGTGAAGAATGTTTTGGGCAATTTGATTGGAATTGCGTTGAAAATGTATATTGCTTGTGGTAGTATAGACATTTTAATGATATTGATTTTGCCTATCCAGGAGCACGGGATGTTATTCCATCTTTTGAGGTCTTGTTCAATTTCCTTTTTAAATAGTTTGTAGTTTTCTTCGAATAGGTCTCCTACGCTTTTGGTTAGATTTATTCCCAAATACTTCATACTTCTCTCTGCTATTTTGAATGGTATCCTGTTGGTTAGATCTTCTTCCATCTTGGTGTTATTTGCGTACACTATGGCTGTTGATTTTCGTTCGTTAATTTTGTACCCTGCTACTCTGCCAAACTCTCGTATAAGTTCTAGCAGTTTCTGTATTGAGTCTCCTGGTTTTTCTATGTATAGGATTATGTCATCTGCATATAGTGAAAGCTTGACTTCTTCGTTTCCTATACGTATGCCTTTGATTTCTTTTTCTTGTCTTATGGCCTCTGCAAGTACCTCTAGGACTATGTTGAATAGCAGTGGTGATAGCGGGCGCCCTTGTCTTGTTCCAGATCTCAGTGGGAAGGGTTCTAGCTTTTCTCCATTCAGTATGATACTGGCGTTGGGTTTTTCATAAATTGCTTTAATTATGTTGTGGATTTTCCCATCTATGCCTACTTTGGCTAGAGTTTTTAGCATGAAGAGGTGTTGGATTTTGTCGAAAGCTTTTTCTGCATCTATTGAAACTATTATGTGGTTCTTGTTTTGCAGTTTTTGGATATGGTTTATAACATTTATGGATTTCCGAATGTTGAACCATCCCTGCATTCCAGGGATGAATCCTACTTGATCCGGATGAATGATCTGTCTGATGATTTTTTGAATTCTATTGGCTAGGATTTTGTTGAGAATTTTAGCATCAATGTTCATCAGAGAGATAGGTCTGTAGTTTTCCTTCTCTGATGGTTCTCTGTCCGGTTTTGGGATTAAGGTGATGTTGGCTTCATAGAATGAGTTTGGGAGGGTTGCTTCCTCCTCTATTGTTTTGAAGAGCTTGTAGAGGATTGGGGTTAGTTCTGTTCGGAATGTTTTGTAGAATTCTGTAGTGAAGCCGTCTGGGCCTGGGCTTTTTTTCGTTGGGAGATCCTTGATGACTGTTTCAATCTCTACCTCGGTTATGGGTTTATTTAATTCTGCAGTTGCCTCCGGACTGAGTTTTGGTAAGTGGTGGGAGTCCAAGAACTTTTCTATTTCTTGGTGGTCCTCAAATTTGTGGGAGTACAGTTCTTTGTAGTAATTTCTAATTATTTTCTTAATGATTGCAGTGTCTGTTGTTATGTTGCCTTTTTCATCTTTAATGCTATTGATTCTCACTTTCTCTTGTTTTTTTCTGGTCAATCGGGCCAGTGGAGTGTCTATTTTGTTTATTTTCTCAAAAAACCAACTTTTTGATTTGTTGATTTTATGTATAGTTTTTTTGATTTCTATTTGGTTTATCTCCTCCCTTGTTTTGATGATTTCTTGTTTCCTATTGTGCGTGGGACTCTTCTGCTGCTGTTTTTCCAGATCCTGGAGGTGTGTGGTTAGTTCCTGTATTTGGCGTCTTTCTTGGGCCTTGACATGCGCTCCGATTGCAATGAATCTACCTCTTAGCACTGCTTTGGCGGTGTCCCACAAGTTTTGGAATGTTGTATCAGAGTTTTCATTGGTTTCCATGAATTTTTTGATCTCATCTTTAATTTCTTCTCTGACCCATTGTTCGTTTAATAGCATATTGTTCAATTTCCAAGAGTGCCTATACTTCCTGGGGAGTTTTGAGTTGTTGATTTCCAGTTTCATCCCATGGTGGTCTGAGAGGGTACATGGTATGATACTAATGTTTTGGAAGTTGTTTAGATTCGCTTTATGTCCTATCATGTGATCGATTCTGGAGAAGGTGCCATGCACCGCTGAGAAGAATGTATAGTCTGTGGCCTTAGGATAAAAAGTTCTATATATGTCTACTAAGTCTAGTTGTTCTATTGTTTGTGTGAGCTCTGTTGTTTCTTTGTTGAGTTTTTGTTTCGTAGACCGGTCCATTGTTGTTAGAGGTGTGTTGAGATCGCCTACAAGAATTGTGCGGGTGTCTATGTCTTCCTTTAAGTCTGTAAGTAATTGCTTTACGTAACTAGGTGCATTAAGATTCGGTGCATAAACATTAATGATGGTGATTGCTTCTTGATGGATCATTCCTTTCACCAGTATAAAATGGCCTTCCCTGTCTCTTTTGATATTGGTTAGAATGAAATCTATTTCGTCTGAAATTAGGATAGCTACCCCAGCTTTTTTGTCTCGTCTATTGGCGTGAAATATCTTTTTCCATCCCTTCACTTTCAGTTTCTTTGCATCCTTTCTGGTTAGATGCGTTTCTTGTAGGCAACAGATGGTTGGGTCTTGTTTGATGATCCATTCTATTAATCTCTGTCTTTTGATTGGTGAATTTAGACCATTTGTGTTGAGAGTTAAAATTGAGATGTTGCAATTTTGCCCTGCCGTGTGATTGTGTTGTGTGTGTGTTGTTGCCTATGTAGTTGTCTTGTTTGTGCAGCTTTTAGTTTGGAGACCTTCTTATTTGCCAGCTTTGTTTGTGATTTGCCTCCTTTTTGTCCGGGACTAGTGCATTTCTAAGGAGACTTTGCAGAGCTGGTTTTGTGTAGACATATTCTTCTAGTTTTTCTTTGCTATTGAAGTATCTGATTTCGTTCTCATATACAAATGAGATCTTTGCTGGGTAGATTATTTTTGGTTGACAGTTGTTTTGTTTCAGGACTTGGAAGATCTTTGTCCATTCTCTCCTTGCTTGTAGGGTCTCTTCGGAGAAGTCAGCAGTGATTCTGATGGGTTTTCCCCTGTATGTGATCTTTTCTCTACTTCGTACTTGTCTCAGGATTCCTTCTTTGTCTTCATTGGAGTAGAACCTGAGCACCGTGTGTCTGGGTGAAGATCTCTTTGGATCATGTCTGTTGGGAGTTCTCTGTCCATCCTGTATGCGGGGTGGATTCGTGTTCCAAGTGTTTTGGAAGTTTTCCTGTATAATTTCATCAAGCACTGCTTGCATCCCAGATTCTCTTTCTACTCCCTCAGGGAGGCCGATGATCCGAATATTCAGTTTTCTAAGGTAATCCTTCATCTCTTGCATCATTTTATTAGTTTTGCTGAGGTTTGTCTCCAGCTGTTTAATTCGCTGGGCACTTTCATTTTGTGTGTCTTCTGTTTCAGAGATCCTTTCCTCTGCCGCATTTATTCTGTTGATGAGGCTTTCAATTTTATTCTCTTGGGCATCCAGTTTGGTTTTGATTTGTTGTATTTCGGTGATTATGCGGTTCTGGTAGTCTTCCAGCTTTGTGTCCACGTCTCAAACGTCCGGCCGCTGCAGTCTGCCTCCGCCTCCCGCCGGCGACGATCCGCCCGATCTCCCCGCCTCCGGGCTGTCCGCGTCTCCCGTCAGGCCGTTTTCAAAAGTGACTCAGCAGGTCTGGAGTGGGATGTCGGTTTCTCTACCTTTGCCCTGCTCCGTTCTCGCTGTTCTTCCGAGTTGTGTGGATCTTTTTTGGCTCCACACTGTCCCAGGGAGCCTCACGGACCTCTCCCTGCGAATCCCTGCTGTTCCTCTTTGCTGCTTCTGTAACTTTCTATCCCTCTTTCACTGGACGCTCCCTCACAGCCTTCCTCCTACGTCGGCCATCTTCCAGAGTTTTTTTCGATTTTTTAAAATTTTTTAAAAGAAAGTGGGATAGAGAGAAAGGAAAATAGAAATCTCTGGTTCACTGGTTGACTCTTCGCATGAAACGGTACCCATGTGCAATGCTGACACCACAAGGTGGAAGATTAGTCAGTTGAGTTATTAAGCTGGCACCCTAAATTAGAGTTCTAATATTCTTTTTGTGTGTAAGGAGATTAATAAAAATATTATCAGCTTTTAATCTTCTAAGACTTATAAATTGAATTCCTAAAATGTTTAAGTTGTAAGATTGCTTGGCTATATCTGATCTTCTGAACAGTTTATGTATATTGCTTCTAAATATTGCAAATCTGGCCCATTAGACAATCCTATAAAACTAGTGAAGTTATTTTTGTGCACTAGAACACATTAATTATTATTCTGACATTAAAAAAATCTTTAGTTTGCCTTACTTATTCCAGATAAACTTTGTAAAAACTCGATTTTAAAAATTCATTTTAATTTGCATTATTTTTCATGAAATAGTTTTATAGGTATAGATTCCCCCTTTACCTTCTTTGCCCCCCCCGTATCTCTCCATGTTATTGCAATAGTATAGTCCTTCAGCAATTGTCACAAGTCCAATATTCTGCTGTTTAACTGTGTGAAGGCATTGTAGATGTAGACAGTGGTAGAAAGTCTAGTATCCTGTTGTCTGGATTTTAACAAGACTAAAACTGGAGATGATAAAATGGAAAGCTGATGTATAAACTAGAAGGGAAATTAAAATCTTAACATTAGATTTATTTTATGTTTTGGTCTATACTTTTTTATTATCAGGAAGAGTGTTTTGAACCTCCTTACACATCAGTTAAATTGCTTTGGAGTACTGTAATTCCTTAATTGGAGAATTAAAGCTATCAACTTTACAGTTCACACTTAACTTGACTGAGGTGTAACATTGCTGACTAATTTTTTAGAGCATGTATGCTCTTTGTGTAGACATAAGTTACCCATGCTGTGAAGTGAAGTGCTAAATATTGTACTCTCATAAGGGGAAGGTGTTAGTTGAATTATCAGTAGGTAAAAGAGGGTGTTGGTAGCAGTTAGTCTGAAAATTTGGGATGGCACCAGAGTAGAGGTTGGGAGAAGCAATGTAGTACACATGACAATTGTTCACAGTCACGGAGAATTCTCAAGTTCTTCAAATGATAGAGCTTTCCAATCGAAAGCAGAATACTGATTGAGAAGTGGTGTTGGTTAGTATGGCCTTTGTTGGAAGGAGAATTGCTATGTTGAGTCATTTATTGCTAGACCCAAAGCTTTAGTTAAAATGATTCTTCAAGATGAATAGGAGAGAATGGTGTTGTCACACAGTGGGTTAAATTGCCACGTCTAGTAACAACATGCCGTGTCTGAGTGCCAGTTGCAGTCTCCTAGCCAGTTTCCTGCAGGGAAAGCAGTGGATGATGCTCCAAGTGACTGGGCCCCAGCTAGTCATGTGGGACAATGCAGGTAGAGTTCCAGTCTCCTGGTTTTAGTAGAACTGGCTGTTGAGTCCATTTGGGGAATGACCCAGCAAACAGAAGATCTCCCTCTTTGCTACCATTATGCCATTCTGACTTTTAAATAGTTTTTAAAAATCACTTATTTTAGTTTCAGAAAGATCTTCCATCTGCAGATTTGCTCTCCAGATGACTATAGTGGCTAGGGCTCGACCATGCCAAAGCCAGGTGCTTCATCCAGGTCTCCCAAGTGAGTGGCAGAGGGCTAAACACTTGGGCGGTCTTGTGCTGCTTTTTCGAGGTCATTAGGATGCTGAATCAACAGTGAAGTAGGGCCCGGCGCGGTGGCCTAGTGATTAAAGTCCTCATCTTTAACATGCCAGGATCCCATATAGGCACTGGTTCTAATCCTGGCAGCCCCCTTTACCATCCATCTGCCTGCTTGTGGCCTGGAAGAGCAGTTGAGGATGGCCTGGAAGAGCAGTTGAGGATAGCCCAGAGCCTTGGGATCCTGTACCAGTATGGGAGACCTGAAGGAAGTTTCTGGCTCTTGGTTTTGGATCAGCACAGCTCCGGCCGTTGTGGTCACTTGGGGAGTGAATCATTGGACAGAAGATCCTCCTCTGTCTCTTCCTCTTTGCATATCTGACTTTGCAATAAAAATAAATAAATCTTTTTTAAAAAAAAGAGTGAAGGAGCTGGGACATGAACTAGTACACATACAGAATGTTGGTCTCACAGATAATAAGTGACATTACCCAGTATGCCACACAGCTGCCCTCAAATAAAGTTAAGTTCTAGAGTTTAAGAGAGCATTATTAATATGATTTCTACTTGTAGTATGCAGATGGGCTCCATAGAAGAAAAATGTGGGGTTAGCTAAGTATGTTACAGGTCTTTTGGTCATGTCTTTCTGTTGCAGTCACTAAATTTGTAGACAAGAAAATGACATAGGCCCTTTTAGTTATCTTAAAAGTTAGAGATAACAATTTATAAATATTAAATGTATTTTAACCCTTTTTCCTTGTAGATCGATCATCTGTTCATTAGCAGTTTGCCTGAGATTGTGGTAGAGTTATTAATGACATTACATGAACCAGCAAATTCTGATACCACGCAAAGCATTGACCCCTGTGACTTCTCAGAGTACGTACATTTTAGTCTGCGAGAATAACTGCGGCTTGATTTCCTAGGGCAGTTACTCATCAGCACTTTCAATTTTCAGATGTTCACTTTCTTTGTAAAGGTTGTTTTTTTAAATATTGTCATGTATGAATTAAAGCAGTTAGCTAACCAGGTGAACTGCAGCGTCCTGACAGGAAACTGCCATGTCTGGATGAGCACTTGGTTAGGGTAACAGTGACCTTTTCCTCCTAATGCTTCTGTAATATTTCAGCATTTTGTTGTCTGCAAACTTTTTTTCCCTTTGATTGCTGCTCCTGTTTGTCTACACGTTTTATCATGACTTGCTTTTCTAGATTACCTTTTCTTTTGTCCTGGGTGTCAGAATTGTACTTCTTCGCTCTGCAGCTTAATTTGAATGTTTACAGGATACTGTCAAAAAAATTCATGGAAAAATGTATTCAGAAAAAAATTTGTGGTTGAATTTCTTGAACCAAAATGTTTGGCTTTTAATTTTGCTTTCCACAAACTGATGTAAAAGTTGTTTTCCTAACTTTAATTTGCTCCTTTGAAATTTCTCTCTGTTCTGCATGTCTTGCTGTTGTGCATATAAAATAATATCTAACAAGGCACTTTGAAACATGTAATTTCATTGTCTCTGAATTATATTTGATTGATATATCTTAAAATATTATTGGTTTCATAAATAGTAGAGCCTAAGTCAGATCCAGTGTGAAGTTTTACAAAGCTGCATTTGTGGAGCTGCCATTGCTTTATAAAAGATTACTTAAAGCAGATCATCTAAGGTTATTTAAATGATTGAGGATGTTTTGATACTTGGATTGATGTATATGTAGACAGTAACATTTGTGATATTGTTGGAAGTACAGTTTTCTAGTTTAAAATTATGCGTATTTTCCTTTTGAAAGTTCACTGGTACATCAGCAGAACCTTTTTTTCTTGGTAATTTTCTTCTGAAAATAATGACTGTATTTGTTGCTATTTTTTAGGGATTTGGATCCTCCTCCTAACCCACCTCATTTTCCATCCCATGTGATAAAAGCAACATTTGCCTATATCAGCAATTGTCATAAAACTAAACTTAAAAGCATTTTAGAAATTCTCTCTAAGAGCCCTGTGAGTATACATTTAAAGTATAATAATTGAGAAGAGAATTTATTCTGTTTTCAGTGAAAAATCCATGTAACTATATTTTAAAGAGAAAATAAATGGAACACTTTCTTGAATAATTGAGAAGGAAATCACTCAATTATAAATGTTTTGAAAATTAATTGATTTTTTTCATTTGAAAAGCGAATCAAGTTAGCAGGACACAGAGTCCCCATGCCAGTGAATGTGTTCCACTCTCCCACTGCCTGGTGTTTCAAATCAGGATTATGTCAAGTCAGCAGTTGAAAACCCAGTTGAGTTCTCTAAACCCCATCGAGATCTGCATTTAGAGTTATAAAATCTAAGCATGATCTCTCCCCTGCTGCTTCCTAGAGTGCACATTACTAAGACTGTAGAATTGGGAATGCTATTGGACCCATGCTAAGCACTGTGATATGCATGTGACATCCCAAATGGCATGTTTACCACCACACCACACACACTCCCCTTGTACCAGTCTTTGTCATGATGATTTACTTTTCTGCATTAATTGAAATATGTTAATTATGAGACTAGAATTGGTAAAGCTTTCTTCAGGCATTAGTTCAAAGGATAGTCTCCTTGTAACTAAATATATGTGATTAGACAAGTTTGTACTAAGTACATGTTTATTTTCTAGGACTCCTACCAGAAAATTCTACTAGCTATATGTGAGCAAGCAGCAGAGACAAATAATATGTATAAAAAGCACAGAATTCTTAAAATATACCATCTCTTCGTTAGTTTACTACTAAAAGATATAAAAAGTGGATTAGGAGGAGCTTGGGCCTTTGTTCTACGAGATGTCATTTATACATTGATTCACTATATTAACAAACGGTAAGTGATAGGTAAGCGATACATTTGCAACAATATCCCAGTCTATCCTTATTGGAGGACTTTGTATGTGTGTGTTTTTAAAATAAGTGTGCTAGTTACAAATGATCTTATAAAAATTAGTTACTATAGAATTGTGACTAAATTCAGCTTTGCAAGTCTGATATTCTCCATTGAGACTTCTGTTGTGTTTTATTTATTTATTTATTTTATTACAAAGTCAGATATACAGAGAGGAGGAGAGACAGAGAGGAATATCTTCCGTCCGATGATTCACTCTCCAAGTGAGCGCAACAGCTGATGCTAAGCTGATCCGAAGCCGGGATATAGGAACTTCTTCCAGGTATCCCACATGGGTGCAGGGTCCCAAAGCTTTGGGCCATCCTCAATTGCTTTCCCAGGCCACAAGCAGGGAGCTGGCTGGGAAGTGGAGCTGCCAGGATTAGAACCAGCACCCATATGGGATCCTGGTGCATTCAAGGCGAGGACTTTAGCTGCTAGGCCACGCCGCTGTCGGGCCCCTATTGTGTTCTTATTGCAGTATTATATGCAGCTTAACTTTGTCATTTTACCATCAAAGATACAATTTAGTGACACGTATGTTTACAATGTTGTGCAACTGTCACTATTTCCACAGTTTTCATTATCTGATCAGAGTCTCTGGCTTATTAAGCATTTTATTAAGCATCTGTGTTGCATTTTCTTCCGGTTCTTACTAACCTCTGATCTACTTTCTGTAGGGAATTTATACATTTTAGATATTTCATATCATTAGTGTAATAAGTGTCCTTTTGTTTCTGGCATATTTCACTTTAATGTATTCAAAGTTCACTCATGCTATAGTATGTGTTAAAACTTTATTTATTTAAATGATTTATTTATTTACTTAAAAGGCTAATTTATTCAGGGAGTGGTAGAAGCAGAGAGAGAGAGGAAGTCTTTCATCTACTCATTTACTCCCCAGATGACTATACTGGCCCAGGCTGGGCCAGACTTAAATCAGGCGCCAAGAACTTCTGCTTCTCCAACATGGATGCAGGCACCCAGCATGTGCATGACTTTCCATTGCTTACTCAGGCCATTAGCGGGGAGCTGAATCAGAAGTGGAGAGCTAAAACTCAAATCAGCACCCATATGTAATGCTGTCATTGCAGATGGCGGCTTAACCCACTAATGCCACTTCACTTTTTTGGGATGAATAATATTCCATTGGTGCTTCTATTCATCAGTTGGTGAAAGCACCTCAGTTGAATTTTAAATAGTGGTGCCATACCAGTTCGTGTGCAGGTCTCTGTTTTTAATTCTTTTGTTTATGTACTTACCAGGGACATTGGGAGCTCTTGTGATACTTTTATATTTTGCTAGCTGCACCATGTTACATTTCTTTTATAGTGTACAATGCTTCCATTTTGTTCACACCATTGCCTAAGCATTTCCTGTTGATTCACTCATCGTGTTCGATGTGAAGCAGCACCTCATGGTTTTAATATTGTGTTTCTTCAATGGCTAATAATGTTAAGTTTTTTTTATGTGCTTATTGACCATTTGTGTATCTTTGGAAAAACATGTGTTCAAGTTCTTTTTCCATTTAGAAAATCTTATTTTGTTAAGCTTTGGGAGTTACTGATATATTCTATATATCAAACTCTTAATAAATTGATTTCAGATATCTTCTACCATTGTCTTTTGCTGCTCCCTCTAATGACTTCTGATGTCCCCAGATTTTAGCTTTTGATGACATTAGTTAATCTGCTTTTTCTTTTGTTTTGTTGTTGTTGTTATTGTTGCTGTTTGATTTTTTTGGGGTGATTCTTTTTGTGTCATATGTAAGAATCCATTGTCAAATCCATCTTCATGAAGACAATATTATGTTTAGTTTTAAGGTTGTAGCTGTCATGTGAAGATACTTTGAAAATCACAGGATTTTTAGAATTGGGAGATGACTTTTTTTAGTGATTTATTGTTTTGAAGCTCATATATAAGTTTGTCATGATACGCCTTTTCTATGAATTTTGTTTGAATCTTTGCTGTTTATGTCATTGATCCATTTTTAGTTGGTATTTTTCTATTTTGGTTTCGTTTTCTTTGGGAGGGAGAGAACAAAACAAGAGCTCTTTTAACTTTCTCAACTGGCTTATCCCCTCTAACACTTGCAAATTCCGGTGCCAGGCCAGGCGTAGGCACAGAATCAGAACTGCATCTCAATCTTCCACACAGGTAACAGCAATTCAGATTTTTAATCCACCATCTGCTGCTCCCAGTGGTGCACATTAGCAGCAAGTTAAAATAAGCAGAGGTGGAACTCACACTCAGGCTCTCTGATACGGGGACATGAGAGCATGTTAACTGTTGTACCCAATTCCTGCCTGTTGAGGTAATTGTATGGAGTAAAAGTGTAGCACCCCAACTTGATCTTTTTCGTTGCTTCCTATTTTTTTCCTCCCAGAGGCACACAGGCAGAGGGAGAGACAGAGAACTTTGGCTTAGTGATTCACCTAATGCTTGCAATAGCTGGGCCCAGACCTTGGTCAACCTGAAGCCAGACACTTCTTCCAGGTCTCTCACTTGGGCGGCAAAGTCTCAACCACTTAAATCATCATGTGTTTCTCAAGCACATTTTCAGAGAGATGGATTAGAAGCAGAACAACCAGGCCTAACGCCGTAGCCTAGTGGCAAAAGTCCTCACTTTCATGTGCCAAGATCCATTATGGGCACATTTTAGTATCCCAGTTGCTTTACTTCCCATCCAGCTTCCTGCTTGTGGCCTGCGAAAGCAGTTGAGGACAGCCCAAAGCCTTGGGACCATGTATTGTGTGGGAGACCTGGAAGAAGCTCCTGACTTGTGGTGTCAGATCAGCTCAGCTCTGGCTATTGTAGCCATTTGGGGAGTGAACCAAGCTATTTTGGGCCTCTAATGATTTTATATGAATTTGAGGATCAACTTTTCCATTTGTACAAATACTCTTGGTATTTTGATCAGGGTTTCATCACATCCACAGATAATTTGATATCAAATCTTAACGTTACAGTACATGAACATGGAATGTTTCCATTTACTTGGATCTTCTGTAATTTAAGTGTTTTGTAGTTTTCAGTGTAAAAATCTTGCATGTTCTTGATTAAGTTTATTCCTAGCTATTTCCTTCAAGTAGTATTGCCTTTTCTATTTTATTTTTGGGTTGTAATTTTTATTGCATAGTAACAACCAATTTTTTTTTTTTGGTAGTGATCTGTTGACTTGGAGCTTTGCTGAGTTTATTAGTCCTAGTCATTTTTAAATTGTTCTGAGTTTCTCTATTTCCAGAATCAGGTACTCTGTGAGTAACGATGGCCTTACACCTTCCTTTGCGATTTCATTGTCTTTTCATACAGTGTTAAGTAGTGCCGGTCAGAGTAGGCATTGCTTATCTTCCGGATTTTATGGGAAACCTTTCATCCTTTCTCCGTTGAAATGATGCTTTCTGTGGGTTTCTTATGAATTCCTTTTATTTTATTGAAAAAATTGGTTACTATTCCTGTTTTCCTGAGTGTTTTATTATAATGAAGGGATATGGGTTTTGTCAAGTAGCTGCTCTGTGTGTTTTAAAATAGTTTTTTTTTTTTAGTCTGTTAATATGGTATAATACCTGGATTTTTCTTTTCTATCTAATCATTCTTACATTTCTAACTTAAATCTCAGTTGGCTTTGTTAATATAATTCTTTTTAATATACCATTAGATTCAGTTTGGGTTTTATTTCTGTATTCCCAATGAGTTTTGGCATCTTTGTCTCATTTGGTTTCAGGGAAATGCTAACCTCACAAAGAATAAAGTGTTCTCTCCCATTACAAGTTTTCGAAGGACTAGGAAGAGTTTGGTATTAATTCTTTAAATATTTGGTGGGTTTCACCAGTGACAGTTTAGCATCCTGAATTTTGTTTTTTGATGTGTTCTTTTTTACTGACTCAGTGTGTTTGGTTTTCTTTCTTCTTGAGATGGTATTTGTAATTCCTGTGTCTCCTTTTTGCACAGGAATTTGTGTATTTCAGCTACATTATCTAAGTTTTTGTATACAGTTTATGGCATTCTCTTAAAATCTTTTGTTTCTACCTTCTGGTTTTTTTTCTTTGTAACTAATCAGACTTTTTTACCTTTATCTTTTAAAATAACAATATTTTGTTGCTTTTTGTTTTCTATTCTGTTCACCTCTACTTTGTTTTGTGGGGTTTTTTTTTAAAATTTGGTTTGAAAGGTTGTGAAAGAGTTAAATATGGAGCGAGATCTGCCAGTTACTGGAAACCTCCCCTGCAACAGCCAGCACTGGGCCAGGCTGGAGCAAGTGACAGTAGATTCATCCAGGCTTTGCACATGTGTGGCAAGGGCCCAAACATCTGGCCCATTTTTGCTTCTCTCTCAGGCCTTTAACAGAGAGTTGGATCAGAAGTGGTGGAGCCAGGACCTGAACTGGTACCTGCATGGGATGCCACTGTTCACAGGTTGCTGCCGTACCCGTTATACCACAACACTGGCCTTTTTTTGTTTTTTTGTTTGCTTGTTTGTGTTTTGAGAGGAGTTGTTGTTGCAGGAAAGACAGATATACAGAGAGAAGGGTCTTCCATCTGCTAGTTTACTCTCTAAGTGGTTGCAATAGCTGGAGCTGAGCTGATCCAAAGCCAGGAGCTTGGGTCTCCCATGTGGGTGCAGGGTCCCAAAGCTTTGGGTCATCCTATACTGCTTTCCCAGGCCTCAAGCAGGGAACTAGATGGGAAGTGGATTTTTCTGAGACATAAACCAGTGCCCATATGGGATCCCGACATGTACTAGTGAGGATTTAGACACTGAGCCATTGTGGCAGACCTTTCTTTAAATATATTATTTCATTCCTGCTGCTGGATTGGAGTTTACTCTTTCTTATAGTTTCATAGGATGTAAAGTTACATTACTAAATTGTTACCTTTTTTTAATTAAGGCAGGTACTATTACACATTTTTCTCGAACTTCTGCTTTAATGTATCTCACAACTTTGGTATATTTGGTAGATTTGAGTTTTTTCTTTTTTTTTTTTTTAGTGTCTCCCGAGTTCTTTTAGTATATTTAACAGTATTAATTTGAAAACTTAGTATAGTTTTTCTAGTATCCCAGTTTACTCAGCAACCATGTTTGTATTCATAAGAATGAACCAAACTCAATGTTTCTTTGGATGACTTAAATTTTTTTTTGTTTTGTTCAAGACTGGATAGTTTGAGCCAGTGCTGTGACTTAGCGTGAAAGGCACTGCCTGCAATGCCAGCTTCCACAGGGATGTTGGTTCAAGTCACAGCTGCTCTTCTTCCAGTCTAGCTCTCTGCTAGTGTGCTTAGGAAGTCGTTAGAGGATGGCCTAAGTATTTGATATCCTTGAATAGTCAAGGTCATAAAAGAGGAACAGCTTATAGCTTCACCTGGTTACCCCAGTTTTCCTCTGGGATTCTTAGGCTTGCACTGAGTTTGAGATTGGTCTTATTTAAAAGCACGGGGTCTATTCTGCTCTTTTCCAATTTGGGACATGCATATGGGTATAAATTTTCCCAAATTTGATAATGCTTTCAATTGCTTTAATTTACCAAGGAAACTCTGTTTAGGTAACCTGAAAAAAAAAAGTTCATGGAAAATTGTGTATTATGAGAAAAGTGGATTTCAAAATGTTTTTGCTCCAAAATAAACTTACCTTTTAATTCCATTTTCCAAGAATTTTATGAATACCTGTGTATGTGTTAACATCATTTGTTCTCTGTACCCAATTCATTGCTGGTCAGTCTTAAATTTCAAGCAGTGTGTATCAGCCTGGGTGAGGTCTGTTAAGTAAAAAGGTCATGGAGTTGACATCAGTCCCACAAGTAGCTCTCAGACAGGCTAGTTAGCAAGCAGGGAAGTGCTGTCCTCCCTCAGGAATTGCTTGAACTGGTGCCCCACATTGGAGTTGCAAGCTGCCTTTGTTGTAACTGCTGAGGTGATAGAGACTTGAACGAGTGACATTACCATACAGCTATCCTGCAGTTGTCTTTTGTCTGTGAATCAGTTTCTTGGTTGCTGTAAAGACTGACTGTTTTACAGGGTTTCAGTGACGTTTATTTTGACAACTTTACTTGTTTTTCAGTATTTTTGTCAGGGTGTGTAAGCTTAGAGCTTATTCTGCATTTTGCTGATGTTACTTTGGCTTAAAAGCCATGTGTCAGATAAAGTAGCATTACATCAAGCCATGTCAAAATTAGAGATGTTGAGGAACAGTGACCTTTAAATGGATTTACATATTTTTTTCTGTAACTCTTTTTTTTTCTTTTTTTTTCCCCAACATAGGTCTTCTTGTTTCATGGATGTGTCATTACGTAGCTTCTCGCTCTGTTGTGACCTATTAAATCAGGTTTGCCAGACAGCAGTGACTTACTGTAGGGATGCTTTAGAAAATCATCTCCATGTTATTGTTGGTACTCTTACACCACTTGTGCATGATCAGGTGGCAGTTCAGGAACAGGTAACTTCCCAAATCATCTTTATCATATTGGACGAGTATTGATAAAATATTGTTAGAAGGAGCTAACTATTTCAAAGGTACTTATTATTAATTTTAGTGAAAAGATTTTCAAAGAATAGTTCAGTAACCACTCAGTGAATTATTATTTGTAATCATTTGCAGGGTACTTGGTAATTTTGGTCTATTAACCTCGTAGTTTTTTCTACTTTTTATACTGAATTGTAGAAGGGATCAAAACCAGTGTCTCATAAAGATGGTACATGATCAGTATTACATATATAAAATATTTCATTATTATTAACATTTTTGAGCCTCAGGTCTCACTTAATTGTTACTGCTTTTATGTTAAAACTGCAAGTTGTGTTTGCTGAAAGGTATGAATAATTATAGCATTTTATTAGAATTAGGTTAGTTCATCATTTGTTATTGAAAGCTTTAGTTGTCCTGTTTTAAAATACAGTTAATTATTTCTTCTCTCTAATCTTTACTTTTGGATTATATTTAGGTACTGAACTTGTTGAAATACTTAGTAATTGATAACAAGGATAATGAAAACCTCTATCTCACGATTAAGCTTCTGGACCCTTTTCCTGACCATGTTCTTTTTAAAGATTTGCGTGTTACCCAGCAAAAAATCAAATACAGTAGAGGACCCTTTTCACTCTCGGAGGTAACAAAAATTCCGTCATATGTATTTTCTGTGTTAGAATATGACAGTCTTTTAAAAATTTTTTGTATACTAGAATAGCAAAATGTTCAATTCTTAAGTCTTTCTAAGGCAGTATGCTACTGGAATAATATGGGGGAAAGTGGTGAGAGAGGGTAATGGGGAGGGAGGAAGGTGAGGAGGAAGGAGGAATCCCTATATCATGGGAAATAATAATAATTTTAAAAAGTTTAACAATCTTGAATACTCTAGCCAATGAGAAACATTCTTGCTTAAAGAAAAACCTAAGGTGAGATACGCCCTCGTAACAAAAAAATATTTCTCCTTGCTTTGTAACAGAAACGTTAATATCAAAGATTTCTGGTAAAGAGCTCAATTTCATTTTTTAAATGGTGTGATACAAGGGTGTCTTACTGTTTCTGTACTTAAAATCCTATGAATCATATGAAGGTCAACATAACATTTGCACTAAAAGTTACATTTCACTTTTTCAAGAGTTTGAGAAGACAGAATGCATGTGTTTCCGTGTACTGGGTCAATCCCCAGAACCTTACAGTAGTTGGGGTTTGGCTAGGCACAGTCCAGGACTCTAGAACCAAATCTGGGTCTGTGACGTGGATGACAGACCCAAGTACTGAGCCACCGGGTGCTGCTCACTGGTGAGCATTATCAGGGACCTGGAATTGGAAGCAGAGTTTGGTCTTGAACCCAAGAACTCCACTACAGAATGGAGGCTTAATGCATACCCTGATCCTGATAGATAACTTTTTAAAGAGTATTTCAAGTTTTAATCTCATTTTAATCGTTTTATGCTTCAAAATTATATTCATGTGCATCTATTCTTAAGGATCTTCTTATGATGTTTAAACCTTAGTGAATATTTTGAAGAATGAATTTAAATAAAATGGAAACAAGTTGAAATTTAAGCTTAAGCTACTGCAGTGATTTTGAAATCTATTTTATCCTGAAGGTGTCTTTTAGAATCTGCAGGTTTAAAACATTGTAGAGTTTAATGTGCGAAAGTTATTTATACTTTGTTAGTGATAGCAAATAAAGTATAAATAGATAGTGCCTATAAAAGGTATTTCTAATTTTTTTTTTACTTTTACCAAGCTTAATTTCACAGCCTTAATTAACAAATGTTGAAATCAAATTAAAATTTGAAACTGTTTTTCACTTCTAGGAAATTAATCACTTTCTGTCAGTTAGTGTTTATGATGCACTTCCACTGACAAGGCTTGAAGGATTGAAAGATCTTCAGAGACAGCTTGCACAACATAAAGATCAGATGATGGACCTTGTGAGAGCCTCGCAAGGTACTAATTTAAACATGTGGTCCTAAGTGCTTTTTGAAAAAATCTGTTATAAATTTTTGCTCACATGCTTGTCTTTTTAGTTGAGATGCTCACCATTTAGGTCATCATTTCTCATCTAACCATAAACTGGTCTTAGCTGGTTTTCTCTTCTTAAACTGTTTTCATTTTATCCATCTTCTGCCAGAGGGATTTCTCTAAACTCAGATAATCTTACGTGATTCTTCTGTTTAAAAATTTGTCATAACTTCCTGCTGCCTAAAAGAAAAATTTTAAGTCCTTAAAGCCAGGCATACAAACTAGTGTCTGTCATCTGCTGCAATGTGTGTTATATGTATGTGTGTATATATATCTATTATGCACTTATATTTGTTTCTAGTTTTTTTTCTCTAAGAAAGCATTTTATATTGATTAAGTTTGAGTTTACATCATCCATTATTGCATTTGAATTAGACTTTTTCCCTCTTATTTTTTGTCTTCCTCTACTATTTAATTTCATTTTTCTCAGTACTTTTAGAAACTGGTTTTGACCATCTGTGTTTAGTTTCTAGAGTCTTTTTCTTAGATAGATAAAATATAAAATCACTCTGCAAAGATTTATTATGTGAGAAGCAATTTGGCAGAGGAAGAGGGAGAGAGAGCAAGACAGACCTCTCATCCATGTGCTGGTTCACTCCAAGTGCCTGCTGCTATGAGGACTGAGCCAGGCCTAGGGCAAGAGCTAGAAGCTATTTGGGTGTACTCTGTGGATGACAGGAGCCCAAGTCCTTGTACCATAATCTGTTATACACCCTGCAAGTTAGGAGAAAATTAGAACAGAAGCACGGAGTAGCCAGACTCACACTGGCGGTCTGTTATGGAAATTGGGTGTCCTAAGCAGTGGTTAAATCAACTGGGCCAAAATGTCCACCCAACCATGGTCTCTTGTTCTTGAATGTTTTGTTGACTAGCTCTGTCTTCTGGATACACTAACAAGTCTATGGGAAATGGAATTATCTACAGATTTTTTTTGGTGCGAAACATTTTTTTTAACTCATGCAAAAAACTTTTTCCATTATGTACATATTATGAACTTCTTGACTCCTGGTATCTGTGTATTTCAGATTTTTTTTTATATTAAAATTAAAAAGGCAATTAAAAATTTTAAACAACATTTTAAAAAACATTTTAAAATTAGAGTTACAAAGAGACAGATCTTCCATCCAAAGATTTAGTCCCCAAGTGGCCAGAACTGCTGAAGTTAGCTCTAGCAGAAACCACAAGCTTCCTTTTGGTCTCCCGCATGGGTGCAGAGTTCCAACAATTTGGGCTCTCTTCTGCTGCTTTCCCAGCACATTAGCCAGGGATCTGGATTGGAAATGGAGTAGCTGGGGCTTTAGATGGTAGCCAAATGCGATGCTGGCATTGCAGCCAGTGGGCTTATCCATTATGCCACAATCCTGGATCATGTTTTGTGTTTTGAAGAGAGAAACAGATCCTCCATCTGTTGGTTTATTCCACAAATGTCTGTGATATTTTATATGGATCAGATTGAAGCTAAGAATTCAGAACTCAAATGGGTGACAGGAATTCAGCTAATTGAGTCATAACCTGTTACTCCCAAGAGTGTAGGAGGCTAAGAGTAAAAGTGGATGCAGGGGGGCAAGCCAAGGGAGCGGGGTGTGTCGGTGGGGAAAAAGAAAAAAAGTGGATGCAGGACACAAATACAGACACTTGGATATGGGACAAGGAATCCCAACCATTACTGTAACTTAATGAAAAGCATAAACTTTCATTCCAACTTTCATTTTTCAAGTACCCCCTACAAGCATTAGTCATATTTGGTTAATTATGTTTTAGTTAATTAAAATTTAAATTTGAGCGGTAGGATATTTGGCTGCTATAATTCACTGTCAGATTATAGACATTTTCATCATTGCAAAGTTCTATTTGATATTGCTGGTCTAGACTCTGAATTCTAGATAACAAAAAGTCAAGTGGGCTCACATGCTCTTTGTAAGCTTTCATGTTGAATGATTTTTGTGTTTCTAATTATGATTTAGCTAAGTTTGTTGGCTTCTCTGGACAATTTATTGATGGTATTTTTCTCTGTCAAATGTTGGCTGTTTCTATTGTTTCTTAAGGAAATTCACTGTATTTTTTGGACTACTAGTGACCTACAGCTCTTTCTAAACTTTATATAAAATTTTTGTTAATTTATAGATTAAAATATGCACATGCAATAAATTAACAGAAGAGTATTCCTAATAAACTTTTCTTTTTTTTCAAAATTACTGCTAGAGAACCCAAAAGATGGTATAATGGTAAAGCTGATTGTCAACTTGTTGCAGTTGTCCAAGATGGCAGTAAACCACACTGGTGAAAGACAAGTTTTAGGTAAACTATTTGGCTTAATAATTTCAGTTTTTGGGGTAGTTGCTTTTATCTTAAAAAAGGAAAAAGTGTGTCATTGAGTATTGGGGAAATAAAAGATTCTGAGTTCTATTTCTTTTTATTTGAAACATCTGTAATTACCCTCTCATGTTTTCTTAGATTTCTGTAAGGTGAAAAGTTTGATTGTATACATGCAGAAGTAGTTATTTGGGTAATTTAGGGAAGGCAGAAATATGTTAGATTAAGATGCAAAAAAGTTGGCTTTTGATGTATTTTATTGTGGAAGTGATACTTAATGTCTTTAAGCCACATGTAAGAATGAAGACTTGGAGGATTAGATTCAACTCATATTTTTTATTTTATATTTTTCTGCTTTTTTATAGTTATTATTTTTCCATAATACATTTTTATAGATATAATGATCTCTTCCTCTATCTCTTTTAAAGCATTCAAGTAATTTTACAGTTGAGGCAAAACCTAATGCAAGATGAACAGCCAACTTACGTCTAGTGTAGGCATTTAGATGTGGAAAAAATCACAAAGGCAACTTGAAGTTGTTCTGACAGCATTGCTTAAAATTAGAAAATTGGCGGTTATAACATACTTTGCAGATTCTGCTTTCTTTGGCTAGCATCCTCTTTTGCCTCTCAGTAGGAGCCCAGTATTTTCATACTTTGTTTCTGTAGGTTTTTTGAGATTCATATATAGAAACAACAATGATAAGTATATAGCTTAGAGAATGTGTACAAGCAAAAACTCTACATGTTTCCCTTGATGGGATAAAGCACTCCTTTGTTAGTAGTAGTACCACTTCTGCAGATAAACCCGACTTGTTTTGGGAATCCTCAGTCACTTTCCTGTGTGGTATAAAGTCATGGTTGTTTTTTATGTATATGCAAATCAGACCAATATTGAAAGACTGAAAGCCTTCTTTGTGACATCAGCAATGAGACAAGGTGGCCTGCTTTCATAACTGTTACTTATTACACTGGATATTCTAACAAAGGCATTTAGACAAGAAAAAGAAATTGAAAGGATCCAAGTTAGAAAGGAAGTGAAACTCTCCTTTCATAGTTGACATTATTCTCTGTAGAAGATTGTAGATAATCTCCAAGAAAATTGTGAAACGAATTATTTCACCCAGGTTGTGGCCTTAATAGATCACACATGAAAATCAGTTGTCTTTTTTTAATTATTAACAAAGAATAATTTTAAAAGGAAATTTAAAAAGTAACTTTTTTTTTTAGAATTGTATCTAGAAAATAGTAACTGGGAATAAGTTTAAGTCAGAAAGTAGACTTTCATGCATTTGTTCATTAGAAGTGAATCTGTAAGTACAACCCCAGCTCAAGGAGAAGGGAGTTTATACTTCATCTTCTAGTGGGAGACTATCAGAGGATTTGTGAAGATATTTTAGCACATATCACAGTGACTGGGAATGAATATAAGGAGTCCTCTGGTATGCTAAAAACATGGTATCTTCTTTTGAGTAGAGATAGCAAAGATGGAAAAACAACATGTATGCCTGGATATGCTTCTATTAAGTTGCATGTTTAAGACTTAACAACTTTATATGGTAACACTCAGATTTCAGTTTTGAGGTTGTAACGCTCATAAAATCCTGTTTAGGCCTTTATCCTAATTTCCATTACTGGTTAATCTGTCTCCTATGTCTGATTCTGTACAGGGAAATATCTGTTGCCTTCATGGATGTTATTTAAAGGAAATGATAAAATATCATGCGCTTTTGTTTATATTCACAACATTTTTGACAACATTTTTGAAAAGACAATTGAAGCATGACAGTAATTATTTTTTCAAATCAGAAATGACTGTTTCATGTATAATTTTGTATCTGTGACTTTACTAAAGTGTAATTTGTGTTATGCAGAGGCTGTTGGAAGCTGCTTAGGAGAACTGGGTCCCATAAATTTCTCTACCATTGCTATACAACACAATAAAGATGCATCTTACACGAAGGCCTTTGAATTGCTTGAAGATAAAGACCTTCGTTGGACTTTAATAATGGTGACCCACCTAAATAATACCCTGGTGGAAGACTGGTACGTATTGATGGTTGAATGTTGGATCACCCTTTATTTGCCCTTCATGGAGAGTAATAGTTCACATGAGTTTATATTTCTTATAGTTAAAACTGTCTTTTGTATACTTTTTAAAAATCTCAAGTATTTCAATAAAAATGTATATTATTATTATTACCACATAATCATCACTCCTAGCATGTTCTGGCAAGGTCCTAATTAATTTATATTGAGAATGAACTAGCAAGGTAAATAGTAAATAAGGAAGTTCAAGCTGATTCTATAGAAAATGGAGGTGGACTATAAATACTAATAATGTTTTAGGCACTTGTCCAAATCAGAGATGTATCCTTTTGTAAGCCAGCTTTTATTTTGGTTCTTTTAAAATAAGCTGTGGTGGCTAATTGTGAAAATATTAAGCTAGTTGGTTTCATATTGCTGATTTTTATTCTGTGCAGAACAAAATTGCAATATATGTTACTGGAAATTCAGCTTGTTGGTTGTCAGATTACTTTGGTTTGCTTTTTTTCTCCTATTGGTTGATTTGCTGATTTATTGACATATTTTTATATTCTGACAACAGTCATTTTTAAGGTGATAGGTCCAAAAGTTTTTGTTGCAACTAGGCATCTTTCTCTAAGATAAAAATGTTTTTACTAGTTTATTCACACCAAATCACTGCCATCTTCCTTCTTTTCCTGAGAAATAAAGAATTGGTAATAATTCCTACCTGCCATGTTATCCTTATGGATTTATTAGGTTTGTATTTTTCTCCTTTGTTTTTGTTCTTATTGCCTTAAAGTGTTGGCATGGTTTCTTTCCCAATCTTTTATTATATAGAGATCGAGAATCAGCTGTGAGATGATTAGGGGTAAAGCATTGTAGACAGTAAGTAGGTAGAGTGGAAATAACTCGGTGTGTTGTTTGAGGAGCTAAAAGAAGCCTGGTGTTAAGGAAGATAGTAGGAGATGAATTAGAAAGGAAGGATCTGATTCTAAGAAATTTGAATTTTTAATTGAAACTCAGTGAAACTATGGGATTTTAAATCGAGCATAGTCATGGTATAGCTAGTGGACTTTGCTCTGGATTTTATAGAGCAAATGGGTAAAAATGGGAACCAAGCATGAAGGGGCAAAAGCGGGAACCAAAAGACTGATTATGAAGCTTATAGTTCAAAGTAGAGATGACACAGTGATGGTGGCTTGAATTAGGTTGTCAGTTGTAAGGTAAGACAGTAGACGGAAATTTATATATTTGATGGGCAGAGTGACAGAAAAAGTGATAGCTTCTGTCCACTGATTTATTTCCTAAATAGCTCCAGCAGCTGGTGCTGCTCTCGACTGAAGCCAGAAACCCAGAGCTCCATCTCCGTATCCTGCATGGGTGGCAGGGGCCCAAGCACTTGGGCCGTCTTCGGCTATTTTCCTAGCTAATTAACAGGAAGCTAGATCGGAAGTAGAGCACCTGAAACTAACCAATAGGGCATGCTGACACTGCAGACAGAAGCATAGCTCATTGAATCAGGATGGAAGCCTCCCACTATATGTCCTTAGAACACAACCCACAGGACTTGCTGATGAATTGCATCTGGAGGCATAAAGGATGAATTAGGTTTACTGTGCATGGTTGGCATTTCTGGTCAGCTGTTGTGTTTTCATTATGCTTGTATTATAGTTTCTTACTGCTTTTTTTTTTTTTTATAAAAGAGAAGGCCCTTAAAATTTTTAATAGATATTTTAGACGTTACAAGTTCTTTGAATCTACAAGTCTTTATGTTAGCTTTGTTGTGCGAAATGAAGGGAATTGCTGATATTAGTAACTCACATTTCCTGAAGAAATAATAAAAATCTTTAGGTAATTTTCACTTTGATTTTATAGGATTTTACAAAAGTAAAATTTACCAATTTTCACTTTCAGTTTTAAATTTTTTTTCAGGTGGAGGTTGCTTAATTTTTCATCAAAATTAATAACTGATAGTCTTGACAAACATTTGAATTGTCTGTATGTGTTTTTCAGTGTTAGAGTTCGATCAGCTGCTGCTACCTGTTTGAAAAATATCTTGGCTACAAAAACTGGGCACAGTTTCTGGGAGGTGTATAAAACAACAACTGATCCCATGCTGGCCTATATACAACCTTTCAGAACATCAAGAAAAAAGGTCTGTTTAGTGATAAGCATTTTTTGAATATTCATTATGTCTAGCATGATTTTGTTTGTGGGTTATGAGTATCAAACTGCTTAAAATATTGTATTAATATTTAGCCTTTCCTAGAAATAATTTAAAGCATAGTTATTGAATCTATAGGATTCACTATTGTTAATATGGCGGTACAGAAAAGCTGCGATAGATAAATTAGAGAAGTGATGGTTGTTTTTAGGAGAGGGGATACTCTTAAAGATGAGTTATCTTTCCTTTGGGACAGAAAACCTTCCTTTGATTGCAGGAAAACTGTCGATCCCGGGATGGTTTACAAATTTTGTCATCAACCATTATTTTATTGGCACATTAATGTGTCACAATATACTGTTAAACTAGGTGACCTACAGAGTTTTTCTATTTTCCATGAACATATTCTGTGAAGAATGTTTAGGAGCCCTTGTTCCTTGTCAATATAAGCATTCCACTTTAGTATTTCATGAATTAAGAGATTATGGTTTTTGTAGATATATGTTAGTAAAAATGACAGATGTGAAAGTAAAAGCCAAGTTTCTGGACCAGTAATTTATCATTCTACTGTTCTGGTCTTCTAAACCTAAATGCCCTAATTTCAGAAGGTGATTATTTCTTACAGATTTCAATTTAAATTATTTGTATTTAGAAACAAGTTTCTTTGTTTATATATGTATATATTTTAATATTTATTTCTATTGGAAAGGTAGATTTACAGAGAGAGTAATGTACAGAAAGATCTTTTGTCCAGTGGTTCATGCTCCAAATGGCCTCAATGGCCAGAGCTGAACCTAAGAACCAGCAGCCTCTTTCCAGGTATCCCATTGGATGCTGGGTTCAAAGACTTTGGGTCATCCTTTACTGCTTTCCCAGGCCACACACAGAGAACTGGATGGGAGGAGCAGCAGCCAGGAAATAAATTAGCACCCCTATAGGATTTCAGCACTTGCAGGTGGAGGAGTAGCTAGTTGAGCCATTGTACCAGTCCCATGTCTGTTTTTGTTTTAGAGAGGAAAAGTTAAATGATTTCCTTATTCTCTTACTGATAAATTTTTTATCCTTTCTTTATAGTTTTTAGAGGTTCCCAGACCTGAAAGAGAAAGCCCTTTAGAAGGCTTGGATGATACCAGTCTCTGGATTCCTCAAAATGAAAATCATGATATTTGGATAAAAACTCTAACTTGTGCTCTTTTGGACAGTGGAGGCACAAAAAGTGAAATTCTCCAATTATTAAAACCGATGTGTGAAGTAAGATGAATTTGTTCAATTCCTTTCTTGCTTGTTTTCCTCATCCCATAAGGCTCCTGCGTACATGTGTATGACCTATCTAGCTGATGAGTGCATATCATCTTAATGCATTAAGACCAAGTTTTTTTTAGGTGTTAGAAATCCAGCAAACTTACCATGTTTTTTTATTTAAGAAAGATGCATTTTTATTGTAAACTCAGATATAAAGAGAGGAGGAGAGACGAAGATCTTCCAGCCAATGATTCACCCCCCCATGTGGCCACAACGGATGCAGCTGAGTCTGTTCTGAAGCCAGGAGCTACTTTCAGGTCTCCCAAATGGGTGCAGGGTCCCAAGGCTTTGGGCCTTTGTCTACTGCTTTCCCAGGCCACAAGCAGAGAGCTTGATGGGAATTGGGGCCGCTAAGACATGAGCTGACACCATGTGGGATCCCAGCCAGTAGGCTACTGTGCCAGGCTCCAGCCATCTTTTGTAACTGTAACTATACAGTAGATTTTTGCTTTGAGGTAACAACATGCTGTTTGGTTGCACTAACCATAAGCCTGCTCTAATTTTATTTTTTCTAATAAGGTCACTAATTTTCATATATATATTATATATTAGTTATATATTATATATAATTATATATAAATTAGTAATTTTCATAATTACTCAACTAATATATATTACTAATTACATATATTTATAATATAATTATATGTTACTAATATATAAAAATTACTAATTTATATATATACAACTATATAATATATGGTTTATATATTATATATAGTTTTTATATTATCGTTTATATATTATATATAATTATATATAGAAATTAGTAACATATATAAATTAGTTTTAGCATAGAAAAAAATCATTTATGTATTTGGTAGACCTAGAGCTGCTAACTCATGGTTTCACCACCAAATGCCAAGTCTTCATGTTGCTGACAGGAACCTACCTACTTGAACTATCATCACTGCCTTCCAGGGCCAGCTGAAGTTCAGGAGCCAGAAATGAGTGACATACCTGGGTACTGTGATATAATATGGAATGCAGGCATCCTAGCTGGCATTTGAACTGCTAGATCACTCACCCTTCCCTTATAATAGTATTTTAACTCTGAAGGTACAATGCATTCCATTTTAATGAAGAATAAAGGGACATACCAAATAAACAAAAACTTTTATACTTTATATGTTACATTTTTTAATAACATTGTTACATGTGACTCAGCAAAAATGTGAAAACACAATTAAAAATGCCTGAAAAGCATTTTAGTGAAGCACACATATTGAAGACAGTTTTTAAAGACTGTATTTTCTGCAAGTAAAGTAGCGATGGTGACCAAATTACCACATTCTCTAATACTGCACTGCACTCATATCAGTAAGGCAGTGTGGTACCTTAAACATACACACCTAAGACTTAGACGGTAAAATGTTCTAAATGTACAAATATATGTGCTCTAGTTCTTACTGCTATAAATCCTTTATCTCTCAAATTGACTTTTTGATTTGTCTTTAAAGAGAAAAATCCTGCAAATAGTATTCTGTAATGTCATATTGGTGTGGAGTATGCTCATTTATCCATTTGTAGAGTGTGATAAATTAAGGTTGAGGACTGTTTTAATATACCACATGTATTAAAGCATTTGTCTGTTGTTTCACATATACTAGAAATAATTACTCAAATTCTATATCCAGAAGTTAAGCTTTGTTGAAAATAAAATTTGGTAGCCATCATTTGGCCTGGTAGTTGACAAGTTAAACTCTTGTGTCCCACATCAGAGTACCTGGCTCAGTTCTGGCTCCAGCTCCTGATTTCAGCATGTAAGCAGTGAGAAGCATTAGCTAATGGTTCAAGCATTTGGGTGCCTGCCACCAACGTAAAAGGTCTACGTTATGTTCCTAGCTCCTGACTTGATCTTTGGCCTGACTCCAGCCACTGTGACCGTTCAGTGACTGAGCCAGCAAATGATATCCTCTCTCTTTCGCTCTGACGGCCCCTTGTCGTTGAAATAAATGGCAAGGAAAAGCAAGCATCTTTACGCAGTTATTGTTGCTGTTTGCTAAATGTAGAAAATGTACAAAAAACAGATTTTAGCTTCCCTAGTAAATTTTTGATAGCTTTTATCTCTTAAATCTGGTTTTCTTAATAGTGTTCAGCTCTACACTTGAGGTGTGACTTGTGGCTAAACATTAGGCTACTGAGTTTTATATCAGTGACAGGAATTTTTAAGTAAATGTCGTGCTTCACTTAGGGTATTGAGTTTTGCTATTTTTACATATTCTAGGTGAAAGCTGACTTTTGTCAGACTCTGCTTCCTTACTTGATTCATGATTTTTTACTGCAAGATACAAATGAGTCATGGAGAAATCTGCTTTCTGCACATGTTCAGGGATTTTTTACCAGCTGCTTGAAACACCTCTCACAAAACAGCCGATCTACAACCCCTGCAAATTTGGATTCAGGTATTCTAATATATATTTCTGACATTACTTTTAACTTTGTATTACTGTAGAAAGGTAAGATTTAAGTTTGAATACCATCAAATACAAGCTTATTTCCATAATCTCTGAATTTATATTGCATTTTTATGGACTGGAGATAAGTTTTGACAAATTTTAATGAAAAAAATTTTTGAAAATTTATTTAGATGATTTTTACATAGTTACGGTGATAAGGGTCAGGGGTTACAGGAAGATGGGCGAGAGCATTATTTCCACATTACTTTTTTTACTTGCTGTATCTGAGGGGAGGGGAGCCAGCTTCCCAAATACCTCTGTACCCTGGGGTTGAGGATGGTTACCCCATAGCACCCCAGGGTCCCCAATATGGGGTATGCTCTGGGGGTCTTGTTCAAGAGGATTTGATAGTTCAACAATTCTGAATTACTGCCAATCTCACCACTCCAAGCTTGGTGAAATCTCTCCAGAATGTGCTGGTTGACGTAGTCCACCTTATAGTCTCTGTTTGCCCAGATATTCACTGTTAACATTTGGCTGGGGTAGTTGTTCGATTTGTTCTGTCCTCCATCCTGTTATAGTACCAGGTGTTCTCTGCAGAGTCCAAATTACTGCCATATTCTCCATGTGCACCTGGATATGCTGTCCACAGTGCTAAGCCACTGAGGAGGCCCAGCTCTGACATATACATTCTGCTGTCAGACCATGGAACCTGCAGTTCTCTCCATGGTTGGGGTTCTCTCCATGGTTGGGGTTCTTAGTCCAGCAGTTCAGCTGGGGGGATCCCAAAGGAAACCTCATCTGAAGTGATTTCAGACCGGATCTTGTGTGTGCTTGCTAATACAGGGTCCAGCACGTATGTCACCCCAATCAGTTTATGTACGTGCTAATGGTTGGAATTGCTGGGTCAGTTCTGTCTCCAGCCCTGTCTTCTACACAAACCAATGGGTGTTGCATGCTAAACTGGGCCACAGCATGTGAGACCAGAGGGGAGAGGGTGAACCCAGAAAGGGGCTGTGTGGGGCTCCCCTGCTGAACCAACTATCTTAATACAAAAATTCTCTGTTTAGCTTTTAATTCTGCATAATTGAAATTCTCTTCTTCAAGCCCACAAGTTCTTTCTTGCTTCAAATGATCTCTGCTAAAGTTACTGTCCTTTGCTTCTCTTGAGTATCCTTACTGTTCCTTAGAATGTTCTTTTTCTTCTATGGAACTCTCCTTGGCCAGGTAGGTTCCCTGCTGTATTCTTCTACAGCACTTTGGGCTTCACCTGTCATCACACTTAACTGTTTTGGATGAGAGACTCCCACACTAGCAGTGCGTTCTGTGATCAGAAACATTCTCTTTTACTCCTGATAGTCTACTGACCAGTGTCTTGTGAAAGATCCTAGTTTGTTGAATAAATGTGTTAGTTCACCTCAGAAATAAGTGTGTCTCATAGTATAGAGTCTGTTTTAACAAGTGCAGTTCCTTTCACATGTATGAGACATGCCATTATATGTCGCTCCTGGAACGATATATAACCTATAACGTTAGGTTATAGAGTGAGACTGATAGGTCAACAAGAAGCAAGAATGTGCTTTAGGTGAGTCTGCCTGAACTAAAATGATATTTTTTTATCTGTTAGATCCAGAACATTTTTTTCGGTGTTGTTTGGATAGAAAATCCCAAAGAACAATGCTTGCTGTTGTAGACCATATGAGAAGACAAAAGAGGTATTGTAATGAATATTGTTTCTTGAATTTGGGGGTTTAGAAGTGCAACTTGTTGCCTACTGCTGGCTGAAATTTAATGTGATTAGGTGAAGCTGTTGTGGCATGTTATGTTTGATTTGTGTTATACATAAATTTCCTTTTAATAAACCATATTCAGAGTGTAGCCTTGGTTCAAATTGGTGTCAGGAACTCTCAGTTCCAGGTTCAGCTGTCCTAGTAACAGTGTTACCTTAACCAAATAATACATACTTTGGTGCTTTAGTTTATTTCTTCTATAAAATGTTAGGAAAGGAACAAGCGAAGTTTGAAGTTATCCTTAGGTGTGTTACCTCTTGAAAATAACAATATTTGTTTTTAAAGAGGTACAGAAAGAGGAGAAGTGGAGATGGTCAGTCTGCTGAGTCACACCTCAGGTGCTTCATCTGGATCTCTGAGTGGGTGGTGGGGGCCCAAACACTTGATCTGCCTTCTGCTACTTTTCCCAGCCCATTGGCAGGGAACTGGATCAGAAATACAACCAGATCACCAACTGGTGCCTATATTAATGCAAAATCTGTGGATAGATTTTTCATAATACTTGTTTCCCGTAAACCTTTTGAAAATCATTCTAATGTATAGTTTTCAAAAATATTTTTGCAACATATTAAGCTTAACTTTTAATTACATTTCCCCACAAACTTTAGAAGTATCCTCATGATGCTAATGTGCTTTTCTTTAGATGTTGAGGTCGATAAAATGGAATGACATCGTGTTTATTATATATATATTTTTTAGACCATCTAGAGGAACAGTTTTTGATGATGCTTTCTGGCTGGATTTGAACTATCTAGAGGTTGCCAAGGTAGCTCAGTCTTGTGCTGCTCACTTTACAGCACTACTCTACGCAGAAATCTACGCAGATAAGAAAAGTGTGGATGATCAAGAGAAAAGGTAATGGAATTTCGAGCTTTAGTTTTTTAAAATTCATGTTGACGTTGTTTCAGTAAAGGTATATAATAAAGATTTTTTTACCTTGGTCTTCCATTGAAAGAAACATTTTAGAAAGTTCCCATTTTTTAAAAAAAGATTTACTTATTTTTATTGGAAAGTCAGATATACAGAGAAGAGGAGAGACAGGAAGATCTTCCATCCACTGATTTCACTCCCCAAACGGCTGCGATGGCCAGAGGTGCCTGATAAGGAGCCAGGAGCTTCTTCTGGGTCTTCCACGCAGGTGCAGGGTTCCAAGGCTTTGGGCCGTTCTTGACTGCTTTGCCAGGCCACAAGCGGGAAGCTGGATAGGAACTGGGGCCACGAGGATTAGAATCCGCTCTCATATAGGATCCTGGTGCGTGCAAGTCGAGGACTTTAGCCACTAAGCCACTGCATCAGGCCCTTGAAAGTTTGTTTTAAAGTGAAATGATAATTTCTTGAAATAAGTAGGAATGTTTTTAAACTAATGTGTTACAAAAATTATATACAGGTAGCAAGCTTCTAGAGGGCAGAAATCAGACCTGTTCATCTCTGAAGTTCCCTCAACTATTGTTAAGTATTTTTAAAATTTCAGTCATGCTAGGTTTCCTCTAATCCCTCAAACATTCAAGATCCATTTTACTTGTTGACCATGATATTATATTACTAATTTATTTTTGTGATTAGTTAACTTTCCTTTCTGTTACCTCCATTTCTAAGTACTTTTCTTTTATCAATTGAATCTTGATAATGGTGAAAAGCAGGAAAAAAAACGTTATTTCTGTGGCTAAACCAGTGAGGTTTATAGGGTGTAGGAAATGTTTCTTCCCAGTGGCTCAGAAAGGTCAGCTCAGGCGTTTTGAATCTAAAGAGATCAAAATGAATATATTTGTAGGCTAAATAAACATCAGTGGCTCACCAACCATGTCAGTTAGGTCCAGCAAATGAACTGTTCTCTTAAAATTGTCATTCATGCTCTTTAATAACAAGTTCTTCATGATATACTACAGAGTGTGTGTGCAGTGTATTTTATTTATATATTTCTTGGGGAAAATATGAGACTTCCGTGTTGGTGTCTGTAATTTTTAAATTCCAACTTTTCCAAACAGGGCTTGGAAAACAAATGTTAATTTTCAATCTTAAATATCTTAGTGTTCTCAAGAGTGTCACTGCCATGTGCTGTGCCAGTGTGCGATGCTATAATTTATTCTTACCCATGCTCTTACTAATGAATTATGTATCTCAAGTGTAGATACATATGCCGTTGGGTTGCAGACTATGCAAATTTTTTAGCCTTATAAGATAATATGAGATTTAAAAAAAAAGGTTGAACAGTTTGTATATTTATCGCAATCTAGTTAGTAAGGAAGTATGTCAGTGGGGAAAGTCATTGGAAGAAGGAAGCAAAGGCATAACTGTAGTTTGCATAAATAAAGAAACAAATGTGCAGGTAAATAATAGGGTCGTACCATTTATGATAGTGTGTACTTTATATATTGTGTTTTTATTGTCAGATTCTAGAGTCATGATTTTAGAATTAGAATTAAAGAACTGAGTAAGTTTTTAAAAATACATAGTTTAAAGCTAAAGCCTTGGAATAGCTAACCTGAGTTTTGATTTATTCACTTAGTGTATTTGATAATCCCTGGTTTAAATGGATCCTACTGATGTACTTCATTCTCAGTTTTTAATATTACTAGATTTCCTAATTTGTGCCAACTTACCAGACATGAAGTGGTGTCTTATGCTATGTCTCTTCATTAATTAGGTTGTACTACAAATAAACCACTGACAGTATATATAGGAGCTATGTTAGAGATGGGCACATCTGCTCAGTTTTTAAACAGGCCTCTCTCCATAAATAAGCCATTTTGTTACCTATATCGGAGATTTTCATTAAAATGAAAGTTTTATTCACAGATGTAACTGAAACATTTCTTCTTCATCCTAGGTATGTGGTATTATGTTTCAAAGCGTAAATTATTCATTCTGTTATAATTCTAACCTTCATTAGTTTTTCCATATAAATCTATTCTATACATATTCATACACTTGCAAAAAACATGTTCTGAATTAGAGTTGTGTTCTTAGGACAAGTACAACTATTACATTTGAAGAAGGAAGCCAAAACACAACTATTTCTAGTTTGAGTGAAAAAAGTAGAGAAGAAACTGGAATCAGTTTACAGGTAAATATTAGTTTTTCTATTATTTATGATGGTGCTTATACTTTTAATTATTATAAAGACTAAGGAACTGAAGTTAAAGTATATTGTAGGTAAATTCATGGCTTTAGGCTTAGTTGTGCAACTAAAAAATGAGTTCTGTGTTTTGTATAGAAAGTTGCAATGTTTGTTCAGGTAGACTTGCTTTATGTAGGCATTTGTTTAAAGTGCCTTTTTTTTTTTCAAAGATTTTTTAAAAAGCGAAAGTGTGTTTAAAAATGCAAAGATTTACACTTTGTTTTCTTTCAGAGCAACAAAGTAATCATCTAGGAATAAGGATTCCTATTTGAGACCTTCTGGCATTAAACAAATATAGAGGAATTAAAGCTCTTACATTCTGATACTAACATAGAGTAGCTTCTTTCTTCTCTACATCCTCTCCAATGCCTTAACACTTCCCTTGCTTCCCTTTGTAGTCAACGCTTTGTGAAAAAGTTCTCAGTATTTTCTGTATCAGTTTCATCTCTTCATTCATTCCATTGAAATTGTGCTTGCTTACTGTCGCCCATAAACTTAGTGTTTGGCCACAGTGCTGATGTTTCTACTTACTTATTTAGCTTCCTTATAGACTTCTATTCCTTTACTTTCATTTTTGGAATAGCTTCTGTGTACCAAACCACTATATTTGGCTTAGATACTGAACATTCCAACTCTTGAGGCTGGCTTTCATACTTGTTGGTAGAAATAGTTGAATTAAAATTATAGAATTATACCAATATCAATATTTGTTTAGAAAATATTTCCTGAAATGGTACAATCAAGTTACTTGAGTGTCTTGATTGGCTTTCTAGGCTATGTAGTGTTTTTTTTCTACTTTCATTTTATTTTTTATTTTGCAGAGATTGTTTTATAGGAGTGGAGAGTGTCTAGCACACAATTAATGCACAGGTCATATAAGGCCCTGTGAAGGCAGCCACGGTGAGACTAGAAAATGAAGAGATCTGTAATTGGTTCAGTTTTCCAGTTGATGATTTTATATAACCTACAAAAGACATTACCAGTATCCTACTGGTTTCTGACAGTAAAAAGATTACCCATCCTGTATCCATCTTTGCTTTTATTTTGTTTTTATTGGAAAGCCAGATTTACAGAGAAGAAAAACGGAAAGATCTTCAATCCACTGGTTCATTCCCGAAGTGGCTGCAATGGCTGGAGCTGAGCTGATCCAAAGCTAGCAGCCAGGAGCTTCTTTCAGGTCTCCCACGTGGGTGCACGGTCCCAAGCCTCCTGGCCATCTTGGACTACGGTCCTAGGCAGGGAGCTGGATGGGAAGTAAAACAGTTGGGACATGAACCAGTGCTCATATGGGATCCTGGCATGTGAAAAGTGAGGGATTTTACTACTAGGCTACTGTGCCAGGTCTGCTTTGTAAATTTTTTTGTGTGTAATTTTTTTTTTAACAAGATTCATGTATTTGGGAAGAAGTTAGATGTAGAGAGGGAGAGAGAGCGGAAGATCTTTCATCCTGCTGTTGAATCCGAAAATGGTCTAAATGGCTGGAGCTGGGTTGGTCTGAAGCCAAGGGCCCTGTCTCCTGTGTGGATGCAAGGGCCTAATAAGCACTAGGGCTATCCTCTACTGCCTTCCCAGACTGCTTTAGACAACTGTATTAGTAGTAGCGCCCTATTTTCAAGAGTCAGACTTACTGGAAGAACTCCATTTCTTATGTAGTTTTAGCTATTGATTACTGATTTTGCCATGTGATTATTTTTGTGTATAATTGGTATTTATTTCTAATGACTTCTTGAAATTGTGAGTGATTCTCAGGTAGACCATAATCTTTTTTTGGGGAGCAGTCTGCTGTGTTGCTGATTCACATCTTTGACATATATTTCCATATCACTGTATGCTACTTTTTGTGTAGCAACATTGAGAGTTGTGGAGTTGTATGTTGATTCTGAATTTAGAATTTGCTGAATTTCTTAAAGTGGTATTTTCCTTTGGTTTTTGTTTTCATGTTTTCAGGATCTTCTCTTAGAAATCTACAGAAGTATAGGGGAGCCGGATAGTCTTTATGGCTGTGGTGGTGGGAAAATGTTACAACCCCTTACCAGGTAAACAGCATTTTTTCAGGTAGTGGTATAACAGTTCTATAAATGGAACCCAAAATTTTTATTATGTCTTCTGCTAGACTGAGAACTTACGAACATGAAGCCATGTGGGGGAAAGCCCTGGTGACATACGATCTTGAAACAGCAATCTGCCCTTCGACGCGCCAGGCAGGAATAATTCAGGTACATTGCTTTTCTGGTTTGTTAAAGCCATCGTTAGTTAATGCCTGAGATTATTTCACTAAATTGGTTGAATATTTCATATCTAGATAGACAAAACTCTTAAAAAACAGTTGCAATTTAGCTGTGTTCCAGGCATTAGCTAAAAATGCAGAGGCACAGGTTAGTCAGATACATTATTGACCTGAAAGATGGTACAAATTTGTTAATTGTAATGTTGTAACAGGTGAAGACCTTTCTAGAATGTAGTCATGCAGTGTAATAGGTTGTATATGGGGAGGCTGCGAGAAGTTTATGAAAAATGTAATTAATGCACGTTTTACGTGGAAAGTTTCCACGTGGAGGTACTTCATATACGATGTACACTGTTTGTTTTGCAAACTATCATTTCTGTTACTTTTGAAATGTTTTTCCATTAAGAAGTAGTCTTTGAGCTCTGTTTTAGTGGGTTTGTTTTTTGTTTTTGGAAACATATACTAATTTGGGAAGTTTTTATTTTTGTTTTTGAGTGATAGGGCAAGATAAAGATCATCCGTCAGCCTTGCTTCTCACACACCCACACTGGCTTAGGTTAGGCCAGGTGAAAACAGGGAGCCAGGAACTACATCTGGCTTTCCCACTAGGGTAGCAAAAACCCAATTATGTGGGCCATGCCATGATGCCTGCTTGGATTAGCAGGAGATTACATCCTAAGCACAGGGAGAACTTGCTCCTAAGAGTTCTTACATGTGGTACAGACAGCTCAAGTGACAACTTCATGTGCTGTACCTCAATACCCAAATTTGGGGGATTTTAAATTATGTCAGGAACCAAAGTATATGTATGTGTGTGTATTTGTTAAGTTTTATGGTGACTATTTTTTTTTTTCCTCTACTTTTCCTGGGATAACTTAAATTACTTTTTTTTTTTTTTTGTAACAATTCCTACTTAGGCCTTGCAGAACTTGGGACTGTGCCATATTCTTTCCATCTACCTAAAAGGTTTAGATCATGAAAATAAGGAAAGCTGTGCTGAACTACAGGAACTTCATTACCAGGCAGCATGGAGGAATATGCAGTGGGACCTGAGCACTTCTGTTAGGTATGAAGAAATGGCCCCTGCCTTGTTTTATTTTCTGGTTCTATACATGCAATAGTTCCATCTTTTATATTCTGTAGATGCTACAAGTTATGTGACTAGATTCTAAAATAAAATAACAGTTGGTAGTTAGTATCAGTGTTTGATTTTAATTTTTCTTGAGTTTGGACAGCTGTACTCCAAAAATACTTTTGAAATTAAAAATGGAGACTCTTCTCACTTAATGTTGCTGGGATTGAGGAATACAATGAGAAGTGAAAGCATCATGCTGGTAATGTTTTACTCAGTGCTTTTCCTGTCTGGATTGGTGGACGGGACTGCTCTTCTTTCCTTAGGAAGGCTTTTTGTGTTGTGTTTTAATTAAAAACTTTTCCAAATTGGTTACCCAGGAAGATAAAGATTTCTAATTTGTATGTAAGGTCACTGTACTTTCTGAATGAAAAGCCAGATACCTAATCCAGTAAAAAATTCCATATTTCTGTAAAATCTTTGATAAAAGCATTAAAAATTAAAATATTCTTGATATTATGCTTAATTTCCTTTACATATTTTAAAAATTTTGTTCGTTTACTTGAATGACAGAAAAGGAAGCAGGGAGAGAATCTTTATCCACTTCCTCGTTCTCCAAATGTTCTCAAAGTTTGGGGCTGACTCAGGCAACTCTAAAACTGCTGTGTAAGCATGCCTGTTGTCTCAAATTACTTGAAAGGCAGAAACAGAGAGAGACAGATCTTCTGCCACTTTTTTTTTTCTTCTACTTTTCAAATGCCTGCACCAGGACAAGGCCAATGCAGGAGCCTGGGACTCAGTCTGGGTCTTGATTCAGATGAGCTGTAAGGACCCAAGTGTTCATCCTCTCCTGCTGCGTCCCAAAGTGTGTGGAATCAAAAATGGAATCAGAGGGGCAGGTGTTGAGTGCTGCAGCTTCTCAGTGCTTGAGATATCCACATCCCATTGTGGGATGCCTGGTTTTAGTTCCAGCCACCCTGCTGCCAGCCCAGATTCCTGCTCATACATATGTTGAGGGACAGCAGGTAACAGCTCAAACCCACAAGAAAGATTCAGTTGGCGTTTTAGACTCCTAGCTTTGTTCTGGAGCAAGTGAGTCAGAGATAGAAGATCTCAGAATCTTTCTCAATCTTTCTGTCTCTCTCAAAATTAAATGAAAATAAATAGAAATTGTGAAGGAAAAGGACCTGGAAATGAACCCATGTACACTGATGTGAGAAATGGTGTCCCAACTCCCAACTTGTCTCTGCTAGTTAAAATGTACTGTTTCAGTACTTACTGCTGTATTTTCAGTCTCTCAGGCACACTCTGTGTTTTGTTTTGTTTTGATCAAATCAAGCTGTTCATAACTAAAGGCCATAGATAGGTAGGTCTGCTTGTTTTCCAGTTATCATATGGATGATTTCTTTAGCTTCCAGTTTAAAGGTGTCCTGTCTTCAAACTTTTCTTGAATGCACATTCGAAAGTAGCCACCTAGTCACTATGTCATTATTTCAGTTATCCTTGTTATTATTGATATTTGCTTTAGTGTCCATCTTGTCTAAGTCAGAGTATAAACCTAGGAGACTTAAGGATCTAATCTGACTTTTCCAGCAGTATATCCCCTATTTCTGGAATCTGATCCTTAGTGCCTGTACATGAATACATGAAACAGGCAAAGTATCTAAGAAATTTCCTTCTTGTCTGCTTGAATAATTTAAATGACTCATGAAATTCTTTGTATTTCCTTCTCAAATTTCTAAAAGTACATTTAAAAAATTAATTTTAGAGCCCTGGTAAATATTTTGTACCCTACTGAAATTTGCTGCAAGTGTATATCATAAAGTTCTTTTCTTTTTAATGTATTTTCTTCTTGATTTTCAAAAATTACCTCAGCAGTGGAATGGAAGGAACCAGTTACCATGAATCATTGTACAATGCTCTGCAGTCTCTGAGAGACAAAGAATTCTCTACATTTTATGAAAGTCTAAAATGTGCCAGGTATTATAAAATTGTTGTATTTTAACTCTGTAACATTGCATTTTAACAAAGTCATGGCTTCTGAAAATTTTAGGAATGATTGGCCCAATAACAGGCTTTGAGATTCAAGGATAAAGGATTGGGGTTATGGTTAGGTGTTTGTCATCTATCCTCTCCTCCCTCCAAAACCATTCTCTTTGGGACCTCGGGTAAATTTTTTTTTTAACCTGAAACTCAAGGAACTCTTGGTAATGACCTAAAAATTTTTAATTCAACCCCTCTAGTAGCTGTTTGTTTTACTTCTGTTAGCATTAATGTTTAAAGTGGTGATTAATGGTAAATTCTTACAGACTTGCTCTGAGTCACAAATATAATGATGTATGAGGAAGTCGACTAGAAAGGGTTAGTTGTGACATGTTTTTTATCAGTGGTGACCTGTTTACAGAGATCACCTTTGCTACTGTACGAGTGCTCGTTACCTGCTGAACACTTTGTTAAAATCTTTCCATATGGACTCTCTAACCTTTGAGCTAACTAGACGAGTTATAGTGCCATAAGAGGGATACAGATCTGGATCGGTATGATTCCAAGGGCTTGTTTCTTTCCATTGCTGTTTGGTGTTCACTGTTTCGTGTGAATATTCTATTGTTAAATCAACAGGAGGGCCTATGAAGAGAACTCTTGAAGAATAAATTTGAACTTTTGTCCGTCTCCTTAAAAGCCTCTTTCTGCTTTTCAGAGTGGCTTTATGTTTTTTTCCCCACCACTAGAGTGAAAGAAGTAGAAGAACTGTGTAAGGGCAGCCTCGAGTCTGTGTATTCCGTCTACCCCACACTGAGCAGATTGCAGGCCCTTGGAGAACTAGAAAATATTGGGGAGCTTTTCTCCAGGTATGTAACTCACAGGACTTCATCATCGGCAAATGCAGATTTTTTTGTTAGCAAGAGTGACTTGTGATAGATATATTTTTATTTTTAAATACAAGATTTTAGGTTTTACTGAATTTCATTTTTTTTATTGTTATTAACATTGTATTATGTGATACAGTTTTATAGGCACTGGGATTCCCCCCACCCATCCCACAACCCTCCTGAATTTCATTGTTTAATGTGGTAAATTATCAGTAGCTGCTATGACAAATTAAAAGGTCTTTGGAATATTAAATAATTTGTGAGCACATAAACAGGATTCTGGGAACTAAAAAGTTTTCAGACCTATTGCAACAGACATTTGGGATGAAATTGAAATTCTAATTCCAGTAGATTTGTGTTAAGATTTTCTGTGAGGCAGCTGGGGTCTGGTGCTATAGTGGAGAGGTTGAAGTCCTTGCCTTGAATGCACCGGGATCTCATATGGTCATCGGTTCTAATCCCAGAGGCCCTGCTTCCCATCCAACTCCCTCCCTGTGGCCTGGGAAAGCAGTCGAGGATGGCCCAAAGCTTTGGGACTCTGCACCCGCGTGGGAGACCTGGAAGTGCTCCTGACTCCTGGCTTTGGACTGGCTTGGCTCTGGCCATTGCAGCCGCTTGGGGGAGTGAACCATTGGACGGAAAATCTTCCTCCATCTCTCCATGTATCTGTCTTTCCAATAAAAATAAATAAATCTTAAAAAAAAAAAAAAAAAGATTTTCTGTGAGGCAGCTTGAAAATAGTTCAAAAGGCTTCAATATCTTTGTCACTACTTCATCATCTTTATTAATCTCTGTGACCTTTTGTCTCAACACTATAGGCCTAGAAGATTGATTGGATAGTATTGTATTGCTCAGTCTTGTCATCTGAGTATACTATTCATTTAAACTACACAGTATGCATTTTTTATTGATTTAATAAATATCATTGGTAGATGGTGCTTTACGGATTTGAGCTTTTCCTTCCCCTGTTATTTCTTTGTTAGCAAGAGTCATTCTTATTAAATTCTCAATAGATTCATGAATGAATTTATTTATTTCCTTGCTGACTTTGCCTTGTTTTACTGCAGGGAACATTGAAGATGTGAGCATGCTTTGTGATAGGCCTGAGGAATCAGTTCTTGTTTAGGAAGGATGCCTGTTTACAAGGACTAGTGTGTGTGTGTGAGATAGTGTTTTCTAGAAAAAAAAAGGTTCATTATTTATAAGCTCCTCTGTTGACCTATTAGAGGTCTTACTACATAGCATTTTTGCACTTTGCAAAACTTTGGTTCATATTTAAGATAATATATTCATTTTAAAAATCACATACTTATAAGCTTCAGACTTGCTATTCTTAACTAAAAATTCTTTTATATTTTAACTTGAATTTTAGAAATCTAATTATTTTCCCTCCACCTTTTTCCTTGTATAAACTCATTGACTTGATTTTCAGATCTGTCATGGAGAGACAGTTCTCTGAAGTGTATGTAAAGTGGCAGAAACACTCCCAGCTGCTCAAGGACAGTGATTTCAGCTTTCAGGAGCCTATCATGGCACTACGCACAGTCATTCTGGAAATCCTGATGGAAAAAGAAATGGAGAACTCCAAACGAGAATGTCTTAAGGACATTCTTACCAAGCACCTTGTAGAGTTTTCTGTCCTAGCCAGGACTTTTAAAAACACTCAGGTAAATAAGATTTAAAACATCATCTCTTCTCCTGGACCTTTCCTTTTATATTCAGAAAGCGTGTATGATAAGGAATTTTCACTGAGAAATAGACATTGTTATTAAGATGTTACAGTCAAGTTTAAGATTTCCCTTTTTAGAGTTAGACCTCAGTGTAAACCTTGGATAAGTTACTGTCTTCTGTCAACATTAATCCTATAATTAAATGAGAAGAACCTAACTTGAGATTTTTATGTGCGGTGTATACATACATACACAGGTACATAAATACATAGACAGTACAGATGGATTGGGGGAGGGAGGAGTAAAAGGCTGTCAGATATTTAAGGCAATCCCTGGCAAATGGTCAAATCCACAATGAATGGTATTGCTGCTTTTGTTGTTATTAGTTATGGTGGTAGTAATAAGGAGAATACTTATTCCCTTGTGTCATTTCAGCTCCCTGAAAAGGCAGTATTTCAAATTAAACAATATAATTCAGTGAGCCATGAAGTCTCTGGATGGCAACTAGAGGAAGCACAAGTGTTCTGGGCCAAAAAGGAGCAGAGTCTTGCCCTGAATATTCTCAAGCAAATGATCAAGAAGTTGGATGCCAGCTGTAGCGAGGTTTCTTTATTTTTATTGTCTGAATTAGTGTTTTACTATTTGTTAAGAAAACATGATTGTGTTTTTGAACATTTTTAATATTCAAAATGAAAGTACTAACTAATGAATAAAATGTAAAAGAGAATATTGGAAATTAATATTTGTGTGGCTGGCTGGTGCTGTGGTGTAGCTGATTAAGCCGCCACCTACATCTCATGGGAAGTGGATCATGTCCTGGCTGCTCCACTTCCTGTGCAGCTTCCTGCTAAAGCATCCAGGAAAGCAGTGGTGATGGCCCAAGTACTTGAGCTGCTGCCACCCATGTAGGAAACCCAGAAGTTGTTCCTGGCTTTAGTCCCTACCCTGGTCTTTGTGACTATTTGGAGAACAAAGTGCTGTATGGAGCATAACTTTCTTTCCCTGTCTTTGTCTCTCTCTCTCCTCTTGGCAGTTCTACCTTTCAGATAAACAAATATTATTTAAAATTCAAAAGAAAATATTTGTTAACAATTTACTTTTCTTAAAAAGATTTTACTTGTTTATTTAAAGTAAGAGTTGCAGAAAGCAAAAAGGAGAGAGACATCTTCCATCTGCCGTTGCACTTCCCACATGGCTGCAATGGCCGGAGCTGGGCCAGGTCAAAGCCAGGAGCTTCTTCCAGTTCTCCCACGAGGGTGGCAGGGACCCAGGCCATCTTCTGCTTTTCCCCGGGTCTTCAGTGAGCTGTATTTGGAAGTTGGACAGCCAGGATACAAAACGGTGCCTATGTGTAATGACTGCATTGCAAGCAATGGCTTTGGCTGTGCCCCAGTGTCAGCCCTTAGAAAGTTGTAAAATCTGTTCTTTCTACATGGAGGACATTTTTTTTTTACAGTCATAATGAGTTACTTTTTAATATTTTTCATTTCCTACACAGAATGATCCCAGCCTAAGGCTTATACATACGGAATGTCTGAGGGTTTGTGGTAACTGGTTAGCAGAAACTTGCTTAGAAAATCCTACAGTAATCATGCAAACCTATCTAGAAAAGGTAAGCTTTTAGAATAACCTTTAAGGTAATTGTCTAGCAAGAACACGCCTGGTTTTATTTTGTTTTCCTTGTAACCGGATGTATTTCAAAAGGAAATACACAGTTCTGTTTTTTGATATGTTATCACTGTTACACCTTTGTATAATGTTTGGGGCAACAATGAAGTGAAATTTTACAAAATAAGGAGCATATGTTCAAAGTAAGCCCAAGCAAGGCCTCCTCTTCCTCAGTCTTGCCATCACTAACTACTTTGTCATAAGTTGGTTGTGATGCTTTATTCGTCTCCAGAAACGCCTGATTAAGGAACACACAAACTGGCTCTTTAATGTTCACGTGCACAAGTGAGCTAGGACGTCAGTACTCCAGCCCCGTTGAGCTTCATTTTTCTCCTCCTCATTCCTTTAGTTAGCTTATTTTAGAAACATTTACCTTACTAAAATACATACAGATTGAAAAGCACAATATAATTATGCAAAGTTCTTCTCCCACCCCCAATTTATGTTTCATAAATACTATCTGTTTTATTTATTTCTGTTTTGTCAAAGTTGTTTTGAAAATATTAGACTTCATGTGAGCTAGCTTTTACAAAAAATATGTGTAAACTTTAAGGTGGGATTACTTTGGTGTGAGTAATTCAGATGTATTTAATATTTGTAAATTAAAAGGCTTTGTGTGTTCTTAAAGGCAGTAGAAGTTGCTGGAAGTTGTGATGGAGAAAGCAGTGATGAGCTCAGAAATGGGAAAATGAAGGCATTTCTCTCATTAGCACGTTTCTCAGATAATCAGTATCAGAGAATTGAAAATTATATGAAATCATCAGAATTTGAAAATAAGCAAGCCCTCCTAAAAAGGGCCAAAGAGGAAGTGGGCCTCCTAAGGGAACATAGAATTCAAACCACCAGGTAAGTAAATGTACAAGAGATAATTTTGTATTGTCCATGTAACTGATTGAATGTGTTTATGTAAGTAGTGTGATGTGATATTTTTATTTGATTTACCATTTCCATCACTAAAGCTTGGCTTAAGTAGTCACACATACAGATTGTCTTGTCCCCATAATGATTAATTTCAGATTAGCATCTCAGGCACTGACATGTTTCTTTAAAGTATTCATGATCTGGTTGTAAACTCACATGGTGTTTAAGTGTGAGCTTTTTTGGTTTTGCTTTTTGCTTTATTAGTTGATATCATAGTTGAAGAAAAGATATAGAAATTAAATATGACAGAGTTGGGGCAGGAATTGTGGCTCTATCCATGTCCCACAGCAGAGTGCCTGGTGTAAGGCCAGCTGCTCTACTTTTGATCCAGTTTCCTGCTAATGCACAGAAGAGGCAGCAGATAACCATTCATAACTGTCACCCACAAGGGAGATGCTGGCTTCTGGTGTTAGACTGTCCCAGCCCTGACTGGCTGTTGCAGGAGAGTCATAGAAAATCTCTTTCTGTATCTATGTATATATATCTGCATGTGTGTGATGTTCTGGTCTGTTTGTCTTTCAAATAAACAAAGATAGACATAGAAAATTCAGAAGAGGTACTATTTTGTTATATGCCTATGTTTAAATCAGCTTTGGATTTGTATATTTCATGTAAGTAGGTGAGTAAGCTCACTGAATACCTCTTTTGCTTGGGAAAGCTTATGACTTGCACAGTAGAAGCAAAGAAAGTTTGTTCACTTTATAATTCTTGGAATTTCGCTTTTCAGGAAGAAACATCTGGTTTTCCATTTATGTTGTGTATCAATTATGATTTTGTAGTGCTGTAACATTTTATGGCTTTTCTGTCTTACTTTTAATGCAAGATACACCATAAAGGTTCAGCGGGAGCTGGAGTTGGACGAGTGTGCGCTTCGTGCACTGCAAGAGGATCGCAAGCGCTTCTTATGTAAAGCAGTTGAAAATTACATCAACTGCTTATTAAGTGGAGAAGAACATGATATGTGGGTGTTCCGACTTTGTTCTCTCTGGCTTGAAAATTCTGGAGTTCCTGAAGTCAATGGCATGATGATGGTAAGTCTACTCAACCCAACATTCTAACCTGTGCTTTTTACACTTGAACATAAGCCCTTTGACTTAGGGACTTTATATCTTGAGAATTTGAGTGATATTTACAGAAGTATGTAAGCTGTAAGTGATACAGGTTTCTATAGAGATGAAAAGGATTTAGGTTTTTTCTTTTATATTTCCCCACAGGAGGGCACTAAATTGAGATCTGGAAAACAAGATGATGTAATCACTAGATTTTCTTTACTCTCTACACCCTATGCCTGTGATTGTTAGAATGAATTATTTAAAGAAAATATCAAGTTGGCAGTATTTCAGAAGTTTTACTTAAAAAGCTTCTGTTGTAATGTCAACACCTGATGTTAAAGTCTGTGTTGATGGATATTGAAGGTCAAATTGAAGGTAAAAATTAAATTATTTCCTTAGAATGATAATATTCATAGTAGATAGGACCCATCTTTGTCATAGTCATGCTAAATCCTGTAGGCTGGGGAATGGAAGGATTTAGCTGTACATTGATTTCTCAGGAGCCAGTGTTGCACCAGTGGAATGAAACAATAACAGGTATACTAGTTTGGAACACAATTTAAAATAGGAAGATATACTTTGACTTATCTTTGAATCAGCCTATGTACTTACTCGAAGGAATGACTTTCAGATAGAGTAAGTGATAAGGAAAAACAGCGGTGTTTTGTTTACAACCAGTTGGTTTTGCTGGCGCATTAACAGAATAATTTAATGCAGGGAACATTAACTTAGAATAATTTATTTGCTTAGATGTGAAAATATTTGAAATATATTGTTTGTTAACTTTCTATGCTTTTCTTTGGTGAAAGGGACATGGAATGAAGATTCCGTCCTATAAATTTTTGCCTCTTATGTACCAGTTGGCTGCTAGAATGGGAACCAAAATGATGGGAGGCCAGGGATTTCATGAAGTTCTCAATAATGTAAGTAAAGCTGAAAAGTAAAGCATAACAATTGCATTGTTTATTATATATAATATTCTTCCTCTTGGGAAACTAGAAAATTCTGTATGTCTTCTTTAATGTCATGCAAGTTATACTCAGTCTCTCTTGCTCAGTCCTTAGCTCTCTGTCTCTCACAGAACATACACGCTCACGTAACTCACTGTAGTATCTGCACATTAACATGCATTTTAATGTTAAGCAGAATGAACAATGTAAATTTTCTATTTTGTTGTGTGTGCATAAAACTAACCTCAATTTTTTTGGCAGCTTATCTCTAGAATTTCAATGGATCATCCTCATCATACCTTATTTATTATATTGGCTTTAGCAAATGCAAACAAAGATGAATTTTTGACAAAACCAGAAGCCTCAAGAAGGAGTAGGATAGCTAAAAATGCACCTAAACAAAGCTCTCAACAAGATGAGGTACTTAGATTTAACATATATACATCTGTATGAATTGTGATTTTTATTCTTTGAATTTTTTCTTGAATCCTGGGGCTTTTTAAATGCTGTTTCTGAGAGCATTGATAGTTCCTGTCTCTGCAACAAAATAAGAAGTAACTTTAGTAATAGAAAGGGTGTCAGTAGCTTCATTCTCCAAACTCAGGTGGCCCTGTATATCATTCATGTTCTTTCTGACAGAGTTCTAAGGGGCATCACTTGGCAAGAGGGAGCCTGTGTGTCCATTTGATGCCTCTTGCTACAGTCATCATAGGAACCTAACAGCCAGACCCAATTGGATCACTTTCCAGTGGTCCCACTTCCAAACCCCACAACTAAGTTTTTACCCTCTTAGTGCCATTAACATAAGACTTTGGAGACCACATGTTTAACACATGGACTTTTGGGGATATCCAAATCATAGCATTCCTAAAGTTGGTTAAAAACTCTTGAATATTTCTCAAACCATAGGAGATAACTGGATTGTTGAAATTCATTTTGTATGGGCAATGGGAAAAATAGATTTTGATAGACACATAAGTCTTTAAATTATTATGCCATCAAAAAACATATTTTTTTTTGGAAAGCCAGATTTTTCAGAGGGAAGGAGAGACGGAGAAAGATCTTCATCTGCTGGTCACTTCCCAGTGGTCTCGATGGCCGGAGCTGAGTTGATCTAAAGCTTGGAGCCAGGAGCCTTTTCTAGATCTCCCATGCGAGTACAGGGTCCCACGGCTTTGGGCCGTCCTCAACTGTTTTCCCAGGCCACAGGGAGGGAGCCAGAAGGAGAGTGGAGCAGCTGAGACACATACTGCACACATATGGGATCCCAACACTTTAAGACAGAGGGAAGCAGTAGTTAATTGAGCCATTGTGCCAAGCTTTGTTGTGTATTTGAATATTTCCTCCAAAAGATGATGGATATTTTGTATCTGGTAAATTATAACATTTCAGTTATCTGAAATTTGTGTTAAATTGCTTTCTTCTTTTTCTTTTTTTTCTTTTTTTTCTTTTTTTTTTTTTTTGCTTATTTTTTTACTTCTAGCAAGCTAAACTATTTCCTGTGTAATTGCTTTTGTTTTTGTTTTTCATTATTAGGATAGGATGGAGGCTGCAAACAAGATAATATATACCATCAGAAGGAAGAGGCCTCAAATGGTCAAGAATATAGAGGCACTTTGTGACGCTTATATTTTATTAGCAAACTTAGATGCCACTCAGTGGAAGGCCCAGAGAAGTATGTTATTAAAAATGAGTATTACTTTCTTGCTACACAGTTCTCTGTAAGAATGTTGAAAATCACAAATAAGTCTATAATTACAAATGTAAACATACTGATTTTCAGCTAACACATTACCCAACAATGTGATTTTATCTATTTGTTTCGACATCCAGTAGTCCCCTTTTCACTTGATATCTTTTGGTGAAACTGATAATAGATGACTGCACTGAACTGATTACTTGACTTGGTAATAAACTGCAGTGCAAATACTTATTACAGGGAATTGCATAGAAGCAAGTCTCTTAAACTGAATGTTTCCTTGGTTACAGGTTATTTTTAAGTGCTCTTTAGTTAGTATTCCCTAGGGCTTACAGGCAGAAAGTTCTTAAGTATTTTATTTCCTCCATAGGTATTAGAATGCCTCTGTTCATTCTTCTTGCTGTGTACAGTTCAATTACAGGATTCTGAAATACTTGATTTTGTGACCAGTCTCACATGTGCTCACATACTTTAATACTTTAAATTTGAATTTCTAGTGTTAAATTTAAATTTCTAGTATTTTAAAATAGGAGTCTTTAGGTTGCACTTAATACTCAAGAGATAAGGGTATGTTATCCTTAAGACAGTTCCTCAGATGGAATATGATCTGAGTAGTAGTGTCATAGAAACCTGTCTGTCTTTAAGAATTATTATTTGTTTTTCTGAAAGGTAGAAAAAGAGGGAGTAAGGCAGCGAATACAAACATGCATGGGAGCATCTATCCTCTGGTTCATTCTCTGAATTGTTATAGCCATCACTCCAGAAGCTCCATTCTGGTCTCCCATGGGTGGGTATCAGGGACCCAAGCACTCAGTCCATCATGCGCTGCCTGCCCACGTGCCTTAACCACAGATAGGCTGCTAATGTTGTAGGTGGTGGCTCAACTCCTTGTGCCAAAATTCTGGCCCTGAGCCATGTCATGCATTGCTAAGCTCATACTGGATGTGTTGCAGTCTAATCCATTCATGTTCCTCAGTTTACAGGAATCACTAAAATATTTTTACTTTTAAATACAGAAGGCATCTCGATTCCTGCAGACCAGCCAATTACTAAGCTAAAGAATTTAGATGCTGTTGTTGTTCCTACTATGGAAATTAAGGTAATTTACCATGAACAGTTTGATTTTTAAGTTAAGTAGCTTTAAAAAAAAAGGATTTATTTATTTTTATTGGAAAGTCAGATATACAGAGAGGAGGAAAGAGAGAAGATCTTCCATTCACTGATTTCACCACCCAAGTGTCTGCAACAGCCGGAGCTGAGCTGATCTGAAGCCAGAAACTTCCCATGCGGGTACAAGGTCCCAAGGCTTTGGGCCATCCTCCACTGCTTTTTCTGGCCATAAACAGGGAGCTGGATGGGAAGTGGTGCTGTGGGGACACAAACTGGCACCCAAATGGGATCCTGGTGTGTGCAAGGCGAGGACTTCAGCCACTTGGCTGCTGTGCTGGACCCTGTTAAAAAGCTTTAAGTAATTGAACCATTTGATAACCCTTCAGTCAAAATTGGCTAAATATTGGCAGTTTCATGTATTTCAACCTAGAGTTTTTCTGTTTTATTTTCCCTTTATCCAAGCCTGAAATTTCCTAAAGATTTCTTCCTGTTTACTTTCTCTTGCTCTCTGTTTTACACCTCCCATATTTCTTATGAAGATCTATGGACTGTTAAAAAGTTTCACTGGCCAGGGCCTGGAGCCATAGCGTGGTGATTAAGTCTTTGCCTTGCATGTGCCGGGATCCCATAAGGGCACCACTTCTAATCCCTGCAGCTCCACTTGCCATCCAGCTCCCTGCTTGTGGCCTGGGAGGGCAGTTGAGGACGGCCCAAAGCTTTGGGACCCTGCACCCAGGTAGGAGACTTGGAAGAAGTGCCTGGCTTTTGGCTTCGAATTGGCTGAGTTCCAGCCACTGCTGTCGCTTGGGGAGTGAATCATCGGACAGAAGATCTTCCTCTCTGTCTCTCCTCCTCTCTGTATATCTGACTTTCCAATTAAAAAAAGGTTCACTGGCCAGAGAAGAAAGATGTGCACATGCTTGAGCAGTTTTAAAGTAAGTTTCCAGTTTTATTTGAGTAAAGTAAAATTCTGGATGCAAAATGTGTTGCCTGTGGTGTATTACAACAGAATTGATTTAGGAGCTTAATATACATTTTATAAGTATTACTTTAACTAGATAGAAATGATAAATTTTAGCTATGTCATAGTGATCTTTTGTTGCTCAGAGTACCTTGCAGCCAGGATAATATGTAATAGAGGTTATAGTTTAGAAAGTGAACATATTAAATACATTGTAATCCTCTCCTTCAAATTTGCAGTTTAATGCTTGATATAGTTATTTAAGACGTAACTGTGTCTTATGGGTTAACTGTACCTTTTCAGATATGTCAGCTATTTAGCTGAACGTTTCCTATTAATGCCGAATTTAGCACTAAGAAAACTCCTCTACACTCCTTTTGGATAGTCACCTGATTTTATTTTTTGAGTTTTACTTCTCGAATGATTTAACACATGTAAGTGATAGCACTTAAATTCTGGCTTTTCAGTCATTTTTTAGCAGCAGCATTCTGATTTGATATGCCCTAATTAAGAGATATTTAGGAAGGTTAATTATGTTATCTGCATGTCATTTTTACAACTTTTCCAATGTCAAATACTCTTTTCGTAGAGATGAGATATAGCTCTACTTGTCAAGCAATAGCATTTTGTCATTCATTCCTTGCTATAGTATTAAAGTTGACATTCATAAATTTTTTTGAGTGCAAATAATGTATCTGACTAAATATATAATTATGCTTTTTGCTAGGTGGATCCCACAGGAAAGTATGAAAATCTTGTGACAATACAGTCATTTAAAGCAGAATTTCGTTTAGCAGGAGGTGTGAATTTGCCAAAAATAATAGATTGTGTAGGCTCTGATGGCAAGGAAAGGAGACAGCTTGTAAAGGTGAGATTTCCTTTTCTGGTGCAGTCTTTAAAGAATGACATCACAGTCAGTGACAATTTCAAGCTGAAATTTCTTTCTTCATGTGGTTCTTTGTCTTCATTCTGAGTAATTATAAGAGGAAAAATTTGTAGAATTGTACATGTGAGAGTCAGTGTATGTATAAGACTATCATATTGGTTGAATCATATTGATGTAGATTTTAAAAATGCATAAACATGAGGTTAAAAATTAATTTGTTTACATTTTTGGTGGCTGTTACCTTATTTCCTTTAGTGGTGTAAGTTGAAGGCCTTTGGCTCCGTATATAAGGCCTGTCAGTGTGCCAACTACTATGTAATTAAGGAGTAAAATATTTGTTTCTGACAGCACAGGAGCTTTTTGGGAACTACCAGTATGTGATAGATGAAGTGCTGCTGTGCTCAGGTGGTTTGCAATGTAGCCCCAAGTGGACAATCAGTCTAATTGCTACACCAGCTTAGGGGAAACTTTTTTTTCTATATAATTCTACTTATCCCATATTATAGTTTATTCTGAAAGAAAGAATGACAATAGGCATTATTTGAGACTGTTAGGCTTGGAAGCTTAGTTTAATTTCTAAGTGCTTTTTACCTTGTACTTTTTAAATAAAATGAACTTTGTCTAGTTATTCGTGTTTCATTATTCTGAAGGGCCGTGATGACCTCAGACAAGATGCTGTCATGCAGCAGGTTTTCCAGATGTGTAACATGTTACTGCAGAGAAACACCGAAACTAGGAAAAGGAAGTTGATGATCTGCACGTATAAGGTAACTACTTGGTAATGTTAAGTGCTTGTTTGTTTTGTTTATGTGAGAGACATTCCATCTGCTGTTCCACTTCCCAAATGCCCACCCAAACCACAGCTGGGCCAGACGCAAGCTGGAGGCCAATAGATGATCCAAGTCTCCCACGTGGTTGGAGTTGTCCTGTACTGTTGGTCAGGGTACGCATGGGCAGGAAGCTGTACTGGGAGTGGAGTCGGGACTCGAATGCTGCACTCTGTTACCAGGTCAGGACATCCCACGTGGTGTCTAACCGCCAGGCCACACTTCTCCTAGGTACTTTGGCTCCTTCACCAAGAACATAAAAGATACCGTTTTTTAGGAGTAGCAGTCACCACATGTTTTCCATGAAACGCCAAAAAGTAAACATTTTAGACTCTGTGGGCTGCATAGATCTCTGTCACATATTTTTTATTGCTTTTTCTTTTCACAATGTTTTAAACTTGAAAAACCATTGTTCACAGGATGTATAAAATCATGCTGATGCTCAATTTAGTCAAAGGTACCTCTGATTTAGACAACAGAGTATTTTTTAATGCTTGATTTTGTTTTTTTAAAATAAACACTCATCATTGTTAATTGCGATTGTCTTCTAGTCAATTGTTTTTCCTTTTTTTTTCTACTTAGCCATGTGTTACAGAAGTTTTTCTCATTTTTTAGTAGTGGCATTGTGTGTATGTGTGTTACTTTTTTTTTCATAACTTATTTATTTTTATTGGATAGTCAGATATACAGAAAGGGGGAGAGACAGAGAGGAAGATCTTCCATCTGCTGATTCACTCTCCAGGCGGCCGCAGTGGCTGGAGCCAAGCTGATCTGAAGCCAGAAGCCAGGAGCTTCTTCTCCCATGTGGGTGCAGGGTCCAAATCTTTGGGGCATCCTCTACAGGCCACAAGCAGGGAGCTGGATGGGAAGCTGGGCCTCCCAGACACAAATTGGTGTCCTTATGGGATCCTGCAATATGCAAGGCGAGCACTGTAGCCACTAGGCTAATGTGCTGGCTCTTGTGGATTACTTTTTAGGTATAACTATATTGTAGCTGTGTGGAATTTTTCCAGTCATTTGACAATGCAGTCAATATTGTGCCATGACTAGCCTTGAAAATAGAAACCTTATATTTAGGGCCCGGCACGATGGCGCAGCGGTTAAGGTCCTTGCCTTGCATGCCCGGGATCCCATATGGGCGCCGGTTCTAATCCCGGCAGCCCCGCTTCCCATCCAGCTCCCTGCTTGTGGCCTGGGAAAGCAGTCGAGGACGGCCCAAAGCTTTGGGACCCTGCACCCGTGTGGGAGACCCAGAAGAGGCTCCTGGCTTCAGATTGGCTCAGTTCCAGCCATTGCGCTCACTTGGGGAGTGAATCATCGGATGGAAGATCTTCCTCTCTGTCTCTCCTCTCTGTATATCCGCCTTTCCAATAAAAAAGAAAAGTTAAAAAAAAAAAAAGAAACCTTGTATTTATACAGATGAATCTGTGGGATATAGAGGTTATATTTGCCTATAATTTGATATCCCACTTCATTCCCTCAATGAGGTATACTCATGTACATTTACTCTCAACAATTTGCCTGAGACATTCATTCTCAAGTTTCACGAGTGTTTTAGCTAAAAATTTTTGGTTCTTATGTTGATCATCCCTTTATCCTATAAGTTCTGAGAAATAACAAAAAATCATCAATTTGAAAGGCTTTTTTCTATTCACTTTTCTTTCTGATTTAATTTTCCTTTATTAATTTCTGATTTGTTTTTTCCCCTTTCTTGTTCTGTCTCTGCTTTAATCACAACTATTCTTACTCTTTTTCATGTGAATAAAAAACAGCATTGAATAACTCACTATTTATGGAGAAGTGGTCTGTCAGCCAGACTCTAACCTCATATCTTTACTTTGCTGGCAAAATAATCCATATAACAAATAATAATTTTCCCTAGCAAGTTAACTCTGACATAGGGCTTATAATCATTAAGACTGATGTAACAGAATAATGGGGAAAAGTGCCTTTTAGTAATAAAGTTAAATAGTATCAATAAGCTGCCTCATACTAGTGTAACTAGAAGCATGCTGGATTGTATGAGAAATATTATAAAAGTCAATAATACTGAGAGATACTTCTAAAATAGGAAGACAGAAATGTCCGCTTAATCTCAACAAAGAACATGTTCATATATCAGAGACCTTCTTAAAACACGAAACATGTAGTTCAATATATGAATATTTTCAAATGAAAATGTGTAGAGATGAGTGATGTGGCAGTTTTAGCTCTGACACCTGCATCCTTTATGAAAGTGTCTGGTTTGAATCCCAGCCACTATGTGTCCAGTTAAGCTTCCACTGTACATACTTTAGGAGACAGCAGGCAGATGATGGCTCAGCTACTTGGCCCCTATACCTGAGAGACCTAGATGAAGCACCAGAATCCTGTCTGCTGCAAGCATTTGGGAGTGATTCAGCAAATTGAAGATAATTTTTTTAAAAAGATTTATTATTTTTATTAGGTAGATTTACAGAGAAGAGGAGGCAGAGAGAAAGATCTTCTGTCTGCTGCTTCACTCCTTAAGTGGCCACAACAGCCAGAGCTGAGCTAATCTGAAGCCAGGAGCCAGGAGCTTCTTCTAGGTTTTCCACATAGTTGCAGGATCCCAAAGCCTTGGCCCTTCCTCTATTGCTTTCACAGGCCACAAGCAGGGAGATGGATGGGAGATGGGCCACCGGGGCATGACCCGGCACTCAGGTGGGATCCCAGCACATACAAGGCCAGGATTTTGCCACTGAGCCATTGTTCCAGGCCCTAAAGACAGTCTTTTTCCATCACTTGGTCTATATGTCTCTTCTTTCCAAGTAAAATGAATATAAAATTTAAAAAATATTAAATGTATAGACCTAGATACAATAAAGGATGATTTGAGAAAAAAAGTTAGTAGGAAGAGTAATGGTGTAATAAGGAAGAAGATATAAAGAACTCTTAAACACTGTCAATAAAAAAATCAAATAAATAAAAATAAAGAAGACAGTTTACAAGAAGAGAATATTTGAATCATTAAAAACCTATCAAAAGATACTCTACTAATATCAAAAAAATAAACAGTATCACTTTGAAAATAATGCACATATATTTGATAAAATGTAACAATAAATGTTAAAGTTATAGAATAGCCACTGGCATGTGTGCAAATTGGTACAATCACTTTGTTAAGCTAGTTGGCAACATGGGTAAGCTAAGTCAAAGGATTGTGTTGCTAATGACTCAGCTATTCAGTTTCTAGGTTTTATTCCAGGAGAAATCGAATTATGTCAGCAATAGACTAATTACATTGTAGAAGTGTTTCAGAGAAATCTGAAAACAGTGGCAAGGTAAGATGCAAATTGAATAATTGTGTATTTATACTTAAACAGTTGTTTGAAGGAAAAAGTTAAAAGTTGCATGACCTGGTAGGTATAAAACTGTATTAAGCATAAAACTGTATTAAGCAAAATGTAGAATTATTCATATAGTGTAATAATCCTATTTAAAGCTTACAACTATTTTTTAAATAATTTTACTTGTAAGGCAGATTTTCAGAGAAAGAAAGTGAGAGATCTTTCATCCGCTGATTTATTCCTGAAATGGCTGCAACGGCCAAGATGAGCAGATCAGAAACCAGGGGCTTCCTGTGGGTCTCCCATGTGGGCACAGGGTCCCAAGTACTTGAGCCATCCTTGACTGTTTTCCCAGGCCATAAACAGGGGGCTGGAAGGGAAGTGGAGTAGCCAGGACACAAACCAGAACCCTTAAAATACCAGCACCACTTTAGCTCACTGCACAATGAGCTGCTTAAAACCATTTTATGTATTGGTAACTTTAACATATTTTGGATATATTTTTATGTTAATCTAATAAATCAGGGATCATCTAGATAATGGGGAGAAGAGGAGAATCAGCAAAGCTCACAAAGGGAGCTTCCTTTCTTTCACAGGAAAGTAAGAAATATTAGATTTGATTAAGATTTTAAAGGGTAAAAATGATATTTGGTAAATGTTATTTTCTCTCTGTTCCAGAATGTATTATAATTTAAAACTAACGTCCCAAATATTAGCCATTTAATTAGTCAAAATTAGTCATATTGTTATGAATATGTTTTGGTCAGAGTAATAAAACTATAAAGCAACAATACACCTAATTTCAGTAAAGTACACCAAAACCGATACATTGGTGAATAATGTTGTCTAAAGTGAAGTTCTTCAAGTTTAATTGACATTGAAAGTATAAGGAGAGCAGTTAGGCTTCTAAGCTAAAAGATTAAACTAAATGTGGATAAATCACAGATAATGATAAGTATTAACAGAAATGATTTTCCAGAGAAACATGGTGTCAGGCATCTAGAAATCTTAGAGCCGATCTCATGGACAGAACAGTATCAATACAACTTGAAAAAGAATGATCATCAGTTACTTTTTAATGGCCTCCCGTTAAATTAAGTTTTGACTCCTTACCTTCAGGTGGTTCCTCTGTCCCAGCGAAGTGGTGTTCTTGAATGGTGCACAGGAACTATCCCTCTTGGTGAATTTCTTATTAACGGTGAAAGCAATGCTCATGAAAGATACAGACCAAAGGATTTCAGACCCGTGGAATGCCAAAGGAAAATGATGGTGAGTAACAACAGGTAATATAAGATTATTTAATAGCTCAGGTAGGCAGATAGCCTTAAAATTCTGTAGAATATAGAAAGTGTTAATTTCATGTTTTAAATTTAAACTTGAAAGAATTTTCAATACACTAAGCAAAACAAAGTGACATTTCCAGAAATTGTCAGTCCTTGTCAGATGAAAAATTTAAATATTATTCAGTGTATGTGAATTTATTTTCACTTTGGAGGAAGCTCATTCTTAACAAGCCAAAATGCTAGCTAACACAAAAAATTACAAAATTTTTGTACGCAACTGATGTAACGATCTGATTTAAATTACATTTACCACTTCAGCACATATCAAATGCTGCCCATCTATCATGCACTATACTGAGACTTCACTTTATCCTTCATCATTTCCTTGATTGTAAAATTAAAAGAAGTTTAAAGAACTTAATTTGTTCATAATGAGCTAATAGACAATGGCACAAGGACTTTTGTGATAAGTGCTATACACAGTATGATGAAAGTAAATATGGAACACACAGGATACATTGTAGGCCTGGAGGAGGAGATGGTTGGTTATGTGGTAACAGCAGCAGAAAAAGTGGATTCATACAAGGATGGTGTTTGAGCTAATTTTTGAAAATGGAGAGATTTTTAGGTAGGAGGAGCAGTCAAGCAAAAGGAAATGGGCATGGCCTTTGAGGAAGGGTGAAGAGATGGAGTTAGACTAGGAGTTGTGGTCAAAAGTAGAGCGGTGATCATGAAATGCAAAGTAGGTTGTACTGTATAAATGACCCTTGGGAATAATAGTAATGACACATGCATGTTAGAAATATAACTTTTAAAACGCTGGGGATTATATTAATTTTTTAAGATTTGTTTTACTGGAAAAGCAGATTTACAGATAGAAGAGACAATTATCTGCCATCTGCTGGTTAACTCTCAAAGTGGCCACAATGGCCAGAGCTGAGCTGATCTGAAGCCAGGAGCTTCTTCCGGATCTCTCATGTGGGTGCAGGATCCCAAGACTCTGGATCATCATCTTCTGCTTTCCCAGGCCATAAGCAAGGAGCTAGACAGAAAGTGGAGCAGCCGGGTCATGAACCAGAATCCATTTGAGATCCTGGTGTGTTCAGCATGAGGATTTAGCTACTGAAGTAACATGCCAGGCCCTGGGAATTACATTTTATAGAAAGAAGACTGGAGCATGAGACGGGGCCTGAACCAGGACTAACAATGGTAGGAATGCAGATTCATGGGTAGATACTAAAAAAGTTTAAGGAGGCAGAACTTTAGGATTTGATTGGAAGTGAGATTGAAAAAAGGTCAATGGCGCCCAGCTTTCTGGTTCATGTGACTAGATAGTGAATAGTGAGCTTGTTAACCATGTGCAAGTAGCTGAAGTGTATCAGAAGTAGAAATGTTTATTTAGTGGGCATGATGCCAGTGAAGATGCTGAATAGATAGTTGAAGAAGTACCTGCAATGGGCCCAAGAGTTGTGTATGTGACAGAGGAGCCATGCTTAGGAGATTTTGCAGGGCTGATCTCTGCCAGCTGCTCTGTGTTTTATCAGTGCTCTGATGCATCCCGAGAGTCTGCAGCTTTTTTGGCATTGCTCTGTTTCCTTCCATCTGAGTCATTGGCTCATTCACAGTAGAATGTACTTAAAATGCATAGTACTCACTGTTGCTGTGCCTCTTTCCCTTAAAATTAGTATCAAAATCCTAAAGGAATTGGCATCTATAATCAATTTTTATTTTGTTCATCTTTATTGCCCATATTTTTTTCATATAGAAATATAGGTAGACATAAATTGAATTAGTTGAACACAATATTAAGAAAATAACTTTTAATGTGTTCCATTTAAAGGAAATACAGAAGGAGTCTTTTGAAAAGAAATACAAAACCTTCATGAAAATCTGCCAACATTTTCAACCAGTTTTCCGTTACTTCTGCATGGAAAAATTCTTGGATCCAGCTGTTTGGTTTGAGAAACGATTGGCTTATACTCGTAGTGTGGCCACATCTTCTATTGGTAATCTTTATATAATCTTAATTCAGCACTTTCCTACATTCTGAAGGGCGAGGGCATGATTGTGGTAGATCTTACATCATTGGATTATTGCGAAGACTGTGTTTTATCCTGATTCCGAACTCAAAGCATAGTGTACATACATAGCCTCTTAGACTTGTACTCACAGGTGGAAAAATAAGAATTTTTTTCTTGTCTAATTGTTAATTTGCAGTAAACATGGATTTTTTTTTCTCTTATATTTTTTGTCTGATAATTCTTTTTGACATATGTGCTTTATTTTACACAGAACCTCTTTAATAGGTGATTCTCTTTAATAACATTTACTTTCAGAATAGTTAACTTGATTTATATGTGACTATTCCATGTATAGTATATGTACTGAATTGGTTTTATAATTTCTAAGAAATTGGAATAATCAGGACAGTTAATAGAATCCTAAATCTTAAGAATTTGCAGGAGGGATCATTATAGATCATAAAATTTGCTGGTTTTTAGCTGAACACTGTGCCAGCCACCTTTTATGTACAATATCTCAGACAAGGATATAAATATTTTGCAAAAGTTTCCAAGTAATTATGAAATTGTTTTATATTGAAGATTACTAATATGATTTAACTAATTTAGTTTATAAACAAGCCAGTGTCTAGTTGATTCCCCAGGAATACCATATGGTGTGTTTCACTGAAGGTAAGGCACATTAAATCATATCATTATTTATCTCAAAAGCTGAAATGCAGCTTTTCCTAGAGAGATAGATTAATACTTTTAAATGTGTGCTTGTTAGTAAAGAGAAAATATGTATTAGCAATTCATCTCATTTGTTAAAATACACCATGAAAATAGCTGGCAGGAGTTAAACTCTGCGCAGTTTTGTATGTATTTCCTTTAACCTAAAAACCTAAAAAAAAAAATTATATAAAGTTAATAGTAAAATATAAATTATGGCTCAGTATGTATTAGAATAGATGAAATTGGTGATTTCAGGTATTCTTTTTCAGTTGGCTATGTACTTGGCCTTGGTGATAGACATGTACAGAATATCCTGATAAATGAGCAGTCAGCAGAACTTGTGCATATAGATTTAGGTAAGTAAGAAAAATATGTACCTTTATTCTATTTAACAAATACTTGGTCATGAAGTTGTTTGCCTGTCAAAATGTGAAAAGCATTACACATATGAGGGAGATAAATCAGAGTTGTGTATGCACACACATACATAAACAAAGTGATGCTGGAGGGACTGGCTGACTCCGCCTGGAGTGAGAAGCGACCCAGAACCAGGTCTCCAAAACAAGGGAAGGATAATTTAGACTGAAGACAAAGCAGATTAGAAAATGGAATAAATAAATTGAAGGATGTCATAGGAATGGCAAGTTTCTCAAGTGATATTTGCATGTTTTTGATTAGTTTAGAGATAAGCTGGTATCAGGCTTTTAAAAGCCAGAATAAAGGTCTACAAGTTTAATCTGTTAAGTACTGAGAAGTGAATGAAGGACCTTGTCATTGTTGTTTGAAAAGGCAGCTTTAATAGCATCTTGAAAAGTAGTACTGGCAGCAAGAAAAGATTAATGTATGTTGTAACAGTTACAAAGTTATATATGTAAATTTGGCCTATTGTAGAAATTGAATAGGATTTTGTGTAAAATCACAGTGATGAGTTTAGTTTTGGAACCTTATTTTGAATTAAGGTGGAATAGACAGTTTAATATGAGAAAGAATAATTTGAATATAATGACAGCAACTAGATTTCAGTCGAAGTCATTGGAATGGAGGAGACTGATCTTACATATTTTATGAAGGAGGACCAATGATCGAATCAGTTAAGGGTGTTAGCATTGAAAAGGTCATCACACACAAAAAGTGAGCAATAATCAAGTCATGAAAACTAGGAAGTAGGGTATGTTGCAAGCCAGGGGAGAATAATATTTTGTAAAGGACATCATGTTCAATAATGTTTGATAGAGGAAAGTCCAGTAGAATGAATGGTAACAGTAGCTCTTTCAAATAACAGTCAGTCTTACAGGACTAGGATAGAGTGGAGGAAACCAGATGTTAGCTTGAACGGAAGTTACAGATATACATTATAGACTACAAATATGGAATTGTTCTGCAAGAAGTTAAAGGAAGGAGAGAAATTTGCCAGAGATGAAAGACACATTGTTGGTCCTTGCTTTATGAGACGAGAGAAGCATGAGCATATCAGATATTGAAGACACAAGAGAGGAACCTAATAATTGAAGGAGCCAGAAAAATCAAAGAACGTAATGGCCTGGTAACATTTACTTTAGAATGAGGCCTTTTTTTGTCTCCTGAGAGGCAGGACAGCGTAAGTGCTAATAAGAAGTCTTAAGCTAGAGGGGAAAGAATTGAAAGGAAGTTTTGTTTTCTGTTCTCTGAGAAATAGAAAGCAAAATAATTTGACAAAAAACGGAGCCATAGTAACTGGCCCTGAAAGAACAGTGAAATTGTCAAACAGGTGTCAAGGTCATGAGCCCACATAGAGGAGGAGGAATAAGTAAAAAAAGACATGCAAGTAAGTTTTTGGATTATTCTAAATTTACAGTAGAGTCAGTGTTGCCGTTCTGTGGTTTTCTAGCAGTCGTGAATGTCCCTGGAACTCAGAGTGCAGTGCAGGTGTGGCGGAGGAACAGGTGAAAACGTCAGGTGCTAGTGACAGTAGTCAACCTTGTCATGGGTCAGGGTTGCCTGCATAAGAAATGCTGACAGATGAGAAGTCTCAGTTGAAGGAAGAGAGACTTTGATTAGAAAACTGAAGTTAAGATTTCTGAAAAGGTGCTGTTTTAGGAGACTGAATTTGCAGTGTAACCCATATACAAAATTCTTAGTACAATATATAAATGTTGTACTAAGATAGAGTTAAATAGATTTCTGGTAGGACAGAGATAGTCAAGGATATTATGTAGCCCTCTCCCAGAATGAATTCTAAAGTTGGGACAGGGAAGAAGATTGTGAGCTAAGCCTGTTACAACATTGTTGGTTTGTTTTTTTTTTTTTTTTATAAAGATGTACATTTAAAGATGTATTTTTAATTTGAATCGCAGATTGATACAGAGAAGGAAAGACAGAGCTTACATCTGCTTGTTCACTCCTCAAGTGGCTGCAGCAATCAGAGCTGAACCAACCTGAGCCAGCAGCTTCCTCTGGGCTACCCATGTGGGTGCCGGGGCTTAAAGACTTGTACCATCCTCCACTGCTTTTCCAGGCCACAAACAAGGAACTGAAAGGAAAGTGGAACAGCCAGAACACAAACCAGTGCCCATTATGGGATCCTTGTGCTTGAAGGGGAAGGATTAGCCAGTTGAGCTATTGCACTGTGTCCTCTCTTCTTAGTTCTTAAAACTGCATATGCAGAGCTCAAACATTAAAAGTGTCATTTAAATTTTCAAATACTGGGCCAGGTGTGGTAGCCTAGCAGCTAAAATCCTCACCTTGAACGCGCCAGGATCCCACATGGATGCCAGTTCTAATCCTGGTTGCCCCGTTTACTATCCAGCTCCCTGCTTGTGGCCTGGAAAAACAGCCCAAAGCCTTGGGACCCTGCACCTGTGTGGGAGACCCAGAAGAGGCTCCTGGCTCCTAGCTTTGGATTGGCTTAGCTCTGGCTGTAGCAGTCACTTGGGGAGTGAATCATCAGATAGAGATCTTCCTCTGTCTCTCCTCATCTCTGTATACCTGACTTTGCACTGAAAACAGTAAATCTTACAAAAATTTTTTCAAATACCAATCCAAATTTTTAATATTTCAAATTTTGGTTTAAAAGATTTATCTATATATTCAAAGGGCATAGTAAAAAGGGAGTGTGAGGCAAAGAGATGGTTTATTTCCTAAATCCCTGGCCAAAGGCAAGAGCCAGAATCCCATCTTTATATTTTAGTTCAGTTTATTGAAAAATAGCTTTTAGTCCAAACACCAAAGCCCAGGTCATCATCAGACTCGTCAGATTCTTTCTTCCATTTCTCAGTTGGAGCGGTGGTGGGGGCTGGGCCTCCTGCTGGGTGGCATCAGCTGTTGGAGTGGTGTCGCCACTCCCATGTAAGCCAATCTCTACATTGCAGAGGGGCATATTTTAAACTTAATTGTAAATATAGGCTTGGTCCTCCACTAAATAGAATTCAACCAGTGAAAACTAGAAGACCACTGCCTCCACAGGAGTAAAATCAAATTCTAAGAGGTCAGTTTCACTCATATGCTTTAAATTTTTTGTACTCTGTATTAGCTACTACAAACCACAGAAAATGTATTTTTACACTTTTTATTGTGCAAAATGGTTTCCATTTATATCCATTTTGTTGCAAAAGACAGAATTTTCATTCTTTCTTTGAAGTATTCCATTGTAGAAACTGTCTTAATTGGGTTAGAGTAACTCCCAAGGAGTAAGATTACGCAGCTGGTTTGGCAGCAGGTAACTGTGGCAGAGAACATACCTGTCAGTCTCAGAACTGCAGGGCTGGAGCTGCTGCAGTGGCTCAGGAGGGTGAGTTGCCTACAGACAGCAGTGAGGTCATAGCAGGATGGGACTGGTTTAGATCAGGACCATACTGCAGCATCCGTGGTGGAAAAGCATACTACATGATACAGGGAGTACTGTGATACAGTGGGGCAAGTTCCCAAGAATTCCTCAGTGGGACTGTGAGGAAATCTATACTCTGGAGCATTCCCCAGCAACAAACCCTGGTCTGTGGTGCCAATATGGACTCTCAACTTTTCCTTTAGTCTTCGCCCGTTTTGGGAATGCTATCCTAGGTTCAGACTGATTTGGACTGGGGCGAAGGGAGAGTTGTTTCCAATCATTTTGTTCCCATCTTTTCCATGCCATCTCTAGTCTCTATTCCAGGATTATACACACTATAGTCCAGGACTCTTCCCTAAGTATTTGAGCCAGGTAGCTATTTTCTTTATTTCTGTTTTTTTGTTTTGGAGGAGAGCATATCCAGTGCTTCTCATCAACATCTTGGCAGAATTTATCTTCTGCACTTTAAACCCTGTCACTCTTCACTCTGTTCTGCTTCAGTGTTTCTCATCTCCATCAGTGTTTGTGAAATCCATTTGAAATCCAAAGATAATTTCATAATATTTTTTTTCAAAAGGAAGTATTCTGGGACTAACAGTGTTGGATTTGTTATTTGTTGCCTGTACAGAGTTCACATCAGTTGAGAGCAAGGTGAAGTAGCTGTCGGACCTCCTAACATGCCTGTATTTTTTCATTTTAGGAGTCGCTTTTGAACAGGGCAAAATACTTCCTACTCCTGAAACAGTACCTTTTAGACTTACCAGAGATATTGTGGACGGCATGGGCATCACTGGCGTTGAAGGTGTCTTCAGAAGGTAAGTGGTAAAGCTAAGGGAGGAAAGACAATTTGTGCTCTCTGAATTACTTGGGTTATAGATTTATTTTTGTTGGAAAGCTGTATTTAGAAGAGCCAGATCTTCCATCCTCTGGTTTACTCCCCCAGTGGCTGCAATGCCTGGAGCCTCTTCCCACGTGGGTCCAGGATCCCAAGGCTTTGGGCCATGCTTCTTTGCTTTCTCAGGCTACAAGCAGGGAGCTGGATGGGAAGTGGAGCAGCCAGGACACAAATTGGTGTCCTGTGAAGGAGCCTGTCACTTGAAGGGAGAGGATTAGCCAATTGAGCCATTGCACCAGCTCCAAAGTATAGATTTGTACACATAAAACAAGATTAGAATTGCGTCTTTATGCTTTACCAGTACAAACGACTCCGATTAAAAGTAGTAATAGAGGACCAGCCTTGTGGCATACTGGGTTGGGCTGCTGCCTGCAACTATGGGATCCCGTACTAATGCACCAGTTGGAGTCCTGGCTGCTCCACTTCCAATCTAGCTCTGATGATATACCTAGGAAAACAGTGGAAGTTGGCTGAAATGTCTGGGGCCTGTGCACCCATATGGCTTTGGCCTGTCCCAACCCTGGCTGTTGAAGCCACTGGGCAAGTGTGCTACCCAATCTGTCCCCTTCTGTATATAACTTTGACCTTCAAATAAACAGTGCTAGTCCCATCATTGATATGACACAGACTCACCAAACAGCTTGCCAGGCCTATTAGTACTATTACATCTTCACTGGGGTGTGTGAGAACTCTGTCTGGAGAGACCTGCAGTGGGTATGTAGACCTTTGGGTGAATTTGACCACAAATGGTGGTAAGGCCCAGCGCTTCTTCAGGAAGAGAGTTGTGGTACCATGATGGCCAATACCCTCCCTGTAGCAGAACCATCCCTTGGGGGCCTTTCAGGAGTGTAGTGGGGCACAGACCTGGAAAGACAACTTCCTAAGAAACATGACTATTCTAAGACACAAAGAGGACTACCTAGAGCCAGCTGTTTGTCATGGGGTCCCTTGCAAGAGCTAGGGCCAGAGTTTACAGCTAGAGGTCAGAGCACCCTCCTCTGGGTTGTTCTCCGTTCTGTTCCTGTAAAATGCTGATACCCAGAGAACTCTGAACCCTGACCTGGGGTCAAGAGCCAGTGTGTCTGAGGGCAGGACAGTGGGTCCACTTGAAGCCAACTTTGAATATGAGAAAAGCATAACATTGCATGCAGGCCAGATTCTTCTCTTCACCTAGTTGTCTGCCAACTACCACTTCTACTTTCCATTTTTTATCCACTTCCTAGCCCATTGCTTAAGAGCTTGACTATGTGGCTCGATAACAGCAAAGACCTGGAAGGGACATTCATAGTCTCATTGTTATAAATTTCAGACTAATAATACTTACATATATTCTTTTCAGGAAGTTACTAAAACCTGTTCTGCCTTTTGACATACCCATTTGGAAATTGTTAAGAGTCATGGCAGCATCTCTATTCCAAAAGGTGCATTAAGGGCCTGGCCCAGTAGCCTAGTGGCTAAATCATTGCCTTGCACATATCAGGCACAAGTTATGTCCCAGCTGCTCCACTTCCCATCCACCTCCCTGCTTGTGGCCTGGGCAGGCTCTAGAGGGTAACCAAAGGCCTTGGGACTCCGCATCTGCATGGGAGACCCAGAGGAAGCTCCTGGCTTCAGATTAGCTCGGCTCTGGCAGTTGCAGTCACTTGGGGAGTGAACCAGCAAACAGAAGATCTGTCTGTATCTCAGTCTCTGTAAAATCTGCCTTTCCAATAATTTTTAAAAAGGTACATTAAAAATGTTGCATAATAAAATCCATAGTTATAATGTGTTTTAACTCTATAGATGCTGTGAGAAAACAATGGAGGTTATGAGAAATTCTAAGGACACTCTGTTAACCATTGTGGAGGTAAAGTATAAAAGCTTCTTCTTTAGAATGAAGCAGTGTTCGTCCTAAGTCGGTACACTGTCTGGTAATGTGGTAATATACTGTGCCAAAGAGGAGGCTGCACACTGAGCATTTCCACACGTCAAAGTTTACTGGTTTAGGGTATTTGGCCCAGTGGTTAAAATGCTGGGTTTTTTTTTTTTAAGTTTGCTAGGTTCAGATTCCAGCTCAGCTCCCAGTGCTTTCTGCTAACATATACCCCAGAATGCATCAAGGGAGTGATGCGTACTTAGTTCATACCACCTGGGTGGAGATCCCGATTAAGGCCCCAGCTCCAATCTTCATCCCGTCCCAGCGGTGATTACTGCAGGCATCCCAGGAGTACACAGCAGATGGCAGCATAGCCTGTCTCTCAAATAAAATTTTAAAAAATAATTTTCTTGGAAATTCCTCCAGTACTGTCAAGTTTGGGTGTTAAAGACTGGAGATTACTTACTGTGCTATAATACGTAAATCAGTACTTTTACATCCTAAGAACCCCATATGAAATTTGCAGAATAGTTCTTACAGAATCGAGAGAAATGAGTTTACATCATCTTTTTCCCTGCAGAAATTTAGAGCCAATAAGACAGATGGAGGTCAGAGCAGTATTGTTAGAGGAAGATAGCTTAGACGTGTGAGCCAAGCTGTTTTGCTCCTGACACTCCGTCAGTGTTTGTCGTCTTAGGCTGAAGGTGAGCTGTCCCTAAACTATTAACTGCCCTGGTGTTAAAATTCTAACTATTTTCAGCATTCCAAGTTAGAAATCTCATAACCTCATTTTCTCAAATTTTACCTAAAACCACTTGATCTATCTTTGTTACTTTGGAATCCAAATTCTACTACATATATATGGTTTAAGTTCACAGCCATAGTGTGACACTTTGGGTTGTTTTTTCTCTGCACAAATTTGGTATTTGGGAGTAATGTAAAGATCAGAGAGATGCGTTAGAGAACATGGCTTAGGCAGTAGTGCTTTTGCCAATGCTCTCCTCCAACTCCCACACCTCATCTGTTCCTTGGCATGGCACACCGGAGAGAGAACTGGGGCCTGCAAAGTAAATGCCCTTACCTAGGGCCACCCAGAGCAGGATATAGGTGTTGCTTACCTCCTCTCAGTAGATGAATTTCACTCAGTCTGGAAATGTGCATCCAGGGATGTCAGTGCCCAGCCTTAATGAATTTCGGGTGGGATGAGAAGCTGGAACGGTAATAGTATTAATGGCTTCCCGAATACAGAGGCATGAAGGATGTATACTAAGTGTGATGTCCTCACATCAATTACCATGACACTGTTTATTATTTAGTAAACATGTATTCCAAATGCATAGTTTTAATATCTATATTCTGTTTAGGTCCTCCTGTATGATCCACTCTTTGACTGGACCATGAATCCTTTGAAAGCTTTGTATTTACAACAGAGGCCAGAAGATGAAACCGAATTTCAGCCCACTCCCAATGCAGATGACCAAGAATGCAAACGAAATCTCAGGTGAGCAGCATTTTAGGACTATGTGTGCGTTGTTCTGTGTATTGTTTACATATTTTGGAAGTTGTTAAATGCATGTTTTATAAAACCTTTTAAATTGTCACCCCCTCATTAAAACCTGGTTTTTTTTTTTGTCATTAGCAATATTGATGACTCTTTGAACAAAGTGGCTGAACGTGTTTTGATAAGACTTCAAGAAAAACTGAAGGGTGTGGAGGAAGGCACTGTGCTCAGTGTGGGTGGGCAGGTCAACTTGCTCATCCAGCAGGCCATGGACCCCAAGAACCTTAGCCGACTTTTCCCAGGATGGAAAGCTTGGGTATGACTGACCCTAAGAGCATGAATTACCCTCGAATTTAACCTATAGGAATCATAGTTTATTTTTAACCCACTCACCAACTTTGAATAAGGATAGTATTTTTTCAGTGTCTAATCCTTCCGCCTATCCAAAGATGGTCAGGGTGTCCCAAGCAATCTCGGCTGTCACGTGGAAGCAGTTGTTTCCTTGGTGCTCTAACGCACACTGACTGCTTCTTCCCAAGTACCTGTTTCGTATCCTTTTCTGTAGGATCTCTGAGGTACCTGTTGGCTGAAACAGTGACAGCAGCTAGAGTTTCTTCTCTAAATTTGAACCAGTAAAAATACTTGAGGCCAATTTTAAGACTTATTCTCCAGATATTATAAATATTTGCTAATATTAAATTACCAGTTGCAACCTTGTGTCATAATAAAGCTACATTAAAAGCAATTTGAAAACAAAGTACTCTTCTTGAGATGTATTTGGATTTTCTGTAGGAAGGAAAGTCACAGTATTACTAAATAATGAAGTTGCAGATTCTAAAGTCATGGTTAATGTTAGTGTTTTTGTCTAATGTATATATTCCATTCTGTATTAGATACTTTCTATGAATTGTTTGTATTAGATAATGAATTTTATATCCAGCTGTAAATAATCTTTAACCTATTGGGAGTCTGTCAGGTTTTCATTTCTAGCTGTTTATTTTAGGCCTATGTTTTCAAGTTTCAGTTCCTTTTATAAAATGTTTTATAGTTAAGCTTCATTAAATCAAATTTCTGCTGTTTCTGTTGTCATCTTTGGACTGCTCATCTATTTTTGTATTTTGAAAGGTTACTTCCATTTGATTCTCATGTGGAATTTTCTCAAACCATTCTGAAAATGATTTCACATTCAAATTATCAACTTCATGTATCTTAAGCCATCTAAATGAGTATTTTGTATGTATTGGTAGTTTTATACCACAGTTAATCAAGGAAAATTAATACATTTAAAATGCCTTTAACCAGTCTTGACATGTCATTAATTTACTATTCAGCCTTAAATGATATGCTGTAAGACTCCTTTTCCTATGCAAATATTCTTACTAATGGCTTTGAAAAGTTCGCCATAATTGTAGCTATCCGGACAGGCTTTAACACTGTCTAGAATTAACTGAGATGGAAATACTGCCAGTAGCAAGAGCAATGACTGTAGACTGTTCCTTTTGTTGAAAGGACATAAATACAACGCCTACTCCTTTCAATAAAAGTGATGAGCATTACTGATGTTATCCTAATTTACACCTGGAGGAAGCAAACTGGAAATGAGTAGGTATGTATGTGACCAGAAGATGGTAAACGGCAAATATAATGTGGATAACCTCTCACTTGAAACCTTTGTAAGTGAGAGGAATCCAGAGTTGGTGAAAACCAACTGAATTACTTACTGCTTGTGTGGTAACCCTCCCACCCTGCTCTGTGCTTGGTGCTTCTAAAAGTACCTGGGTAATCAATGCTGCTGTAACTCCACGGTCAACGTTGTCTGCACTTGCAGATGTCTATGATCTAAAGCAAAGAGGAAAAATTTTAAACTTTTTAAAAAGTAGAAGAGATTACTCTTTTCAAACATAGAAAGCCAGCATACTGCTGTTGAAATATTAGGGATATGTACTATCTTAAGCATTTTTGTTTCAGCTTATCATTGAACCTATTTCATTGCTATATTGTTTAACTTTTTGAATAAATATTTTAAAAGTATGTCAGGACCCATCGATTTTATTAAAATGCTGGGGTGTTGTTTGGACTAAAGTTAGCTGATGTAGAGCTCACGGTCAGGGGAAGCTACTGCAGTGAGAACTGCAGAGCCCACTACATAGAGCCAGTCGGGTATGCTGTTTCTAAGCCTAAATAGTCTGTTATTCCTGCTTGACTCAAAAGCTAACAAGTCCCACTTTTGGGGTCAAAAAGTGCTAAAAGACCTAAGAATATGCAGTTATTACCAAGATCCTGATCTCTCTCTCCTTCCCTCTCTGCTTAACCTTCTCTTCCCATCCCCTCTGTCTCTTGCTCTCAGCCCTTCCACCCACTTTTAATAAACTTTTAAAACATTTCTCACTGTCTTTATCAACATATTATTTATCAGATTATTTCAGAGGACCAGTTCTGGTGGTTATTATTGGTTATTATTGACAGTTTTAAAATAACAATATTAACAGTACCAGAAACAGGTTTTAAAACTACCCAAAATCATGCCCAGTGCTTAAGCCCACTATAGGCTTAAATATTTATCAGTGCTGCTAGACATAATGTCTTTTAAAAATCAATGTTTCTAAACATGCATGATTTTAAGGATTCTCTATTTTAAGAGAAATTAGTCAGCCGTTTACCACATTTGTTCTAAATGACTTAAGTATAAAGCAGTGCAAACAAATGGACCTCCTAGGCACTGAAACACAGTGTGAAAAGGAGGGAAAAAGACTGAAAATGATCCCAAATGAGTTAATACTGCTAATTCTAGGGAAGAAATATCATTCCTATGAAAACTCGATTTTGTAAGAAACTACTTTATGAGGCCAGTGCTAGTTTTATCAAAACCAGACAGAACTATACGAATACAAAGGTCTTTAGAAAATGCTAACAAATCACTTCCATCAATTAAAAAAAATATTTTTGACAAAATGGTATTACTCCTGAAATAATGGGTTGGCTTACTATTTGAAAATCAATTTTAAAAAGTTAATAGTCAAACAATATTATGTCAGTAGGAGCTGGAAAAGTTGGACAAACCTCAGTGCTCATGCGGTTTGTAGCCAGGACTCGAAGGGACATCTTCAGTTCAAACTGTCTTCAGAATCCTTACCGCTCGCTCACATCATGCTTCATGATGGCTTTCTCCCCTAAGATGAGAAACAAACGATGGCACTCCCACCGCTTCTGTTCCACTCTGCGCTGAGAGAGTAGCTATGCAGTAAGGCAATGAGCAGTAAAAGACATCTGAAAAAGTTATGTTCGTTTGCAGATTTACATGATCGTTTAAGAGGATCCTAATATATCTATATTGTAAGATCCATTAAGTTAATGTGAAATAGTAAGGAGCAAAAAAAGCAACAACATTATTTCTACATATTTGCAAACGAACAATTTGAAACTGAAGTAAAAAGCAAAAATTTTATCAGGCATAATTAAAAATGAAATTAGATGTATTACCTGTACACTGGTTTTTATAAAATACTGAGAAAGGCCTAAAGATACAGATGTGTACCATATTAATGGATTGAAAGTCTTAGTGTTAAGATAGTAGCTCTCCATGAACTGGAATGTAGGTATGAAGTCAGTGTAATCCTAACAAAATTCCAGTTTTGCCGGTACTATTCTGATTACAAAACCAAACAAGGACACAAGAAAGAAAATTGTAGGGCCTGGCACAATGGCCTAGCAGCTAAAGTCCTCGCCTTGAACTCTCGGGATCCCATATGGGCGCCGGCTCTAATCCCGGCTGCTCCACTTCCCATCCAGCTCCCTGCTTGTGGCCTGGGAAAGCAGTCGAGGACAACCCAAAGCCTTGGGACTCTGCACCCATGTGGCATACCCGGAAGAAGTTCCTGCCTCCTGGCTTTGGATCGGCATACCATCAGCCGTTGTACTCACTTGGGGAGTGAATCATCGGCTGGAAGATCTTCCTCTCTGTCTCTCCTCCTCTCTATACATCTGACTTTCCAATAAATTAATCTTTAAAAAAAAAGAAAATTGTAGACTGTTATCCCTGATACATTTACATGTAAAATAATCTCAACAAAGTATTGAACCCAATAACACATCAGAAGATATCATTCACTGGGATCAAACAGGATTTATCCAAGGGTGGTTCAGCACATGCAGTTAAGTAAATATATTCCAACACACTGAAGGATGAAAATTAATGTTAACTGATAAAAATTCAATATTCACAAAGACCCTGGATAAAATAAGCTTTTTTTTTTCTTAAATGACAAACCCATATCACCATGACATTGAATGGGAAAAGCCTCCTCTAAGACCTAGAACAAAATAAGCTGTGTCTACTCCCACTGCTGTGACTCAGTATAGCACTGGAGGTTTTCTCCGGATAGTGTGTCAGAGGGAATTCAAGGCATCCCTGTTGCAGCTGACCTTTTCCTGTCTGTACTCACTTCTCATTAAGATAATGGAGAGGAACTTCTTTGGTAAAGAAAATGTTTATTTTCTTATGCTTTGGAGACAAGAGTTAAGCAGCCTCCTTATGTGGTGGGGTTCCCAACTGGATTTATCCCAAGTTCTTTTCTCTTAAATGAATTCAAAACAAAATTTTGTAAGTAGGAGAGTGGGGTTTATCCTAAAAGATTGAAGGGACAGTGCACCTTGAAACAGGAATTAAGCCTTAGGAAAACTAAAATTCACTTTAGTGCGGTCACCCCAGGGCGTGGTGCCCTGGCTGAATATACACATATGGAATGGTGGAGTTGGGGTGGGGACTAGTGCACATAATGTCACTGGAAAGGATTTATGCTATCGTCATGTGCAGTTCAGCATATTTGTATTAATTATGGTGTCTCAGAAGCATCATGGGAAAATGAGTGTGCTGAATTGGCATGGAAGGGAGTTAATTTTAGTCGTACAGGGCTAAGGCACAGACTGCCAGAAACTTCTCATCCATTTTGTTCTCTGAACTCCACCCTAACCCATATAGCCGAACTCACATGAAAGGCTGCTCACAGCGGACGCATCGGAATGAGCACATGTTGATTCAAGATGCAGAGACGACCTAGGGCAAATATGAGGAACAATCAACTCTCCTGAGAGCCATCCACTGGCCCTACCCCCTAAACCCCATAGCCAGAGCATGTCTCCACCCTTAATCCACCAGCCATTACAACATCAGGGTTTTGGGGAAATCAATCCTGTACCGATAATGTTCTACCCCTGGTTCCCCAAAACTCAAATTCCTCATATATCTAATCACTTCCACTCACCAAAATCCTCATCTCAGTCCAGCAATAAAGATCTGTAGTTTTATCTGAGACTCAAAGCACACTTTCGTAAGTATGAGTTTGTGCTATTAAAAAGAAACTACTTATTTCTAAGATGGCAATGGGCGAGGCACGCAAAGGATGTACAGTTGAATCATAAAGCAGAGACAAAGAAATGGCATTAATTGAGCCAACATGAAACCAGTAACCCACAGACATTGTTCTTAAAGCTGTATGTATGTCAAATACCCTGGACACACTGTGGTGGGGGCTTGATTTCCAACACATTGAGCAACCCTACCACAAAGCTTTACTGGTCCAGCCCATGTTCAGTCTTCAAATATGTATGTCAGGGCCCGACACAATAGCCTAGTGGCTAAAGTCCTCGCCTTGAATTCGCCAGGATCCCGTATAGGCACTGGTTCATGTCCCGGCAGCTCCACTTTGCATCCAGCTCTCTGCTTGTGGCCTGAGAAAACAGTCGAGGACGGCCCACAGCTTTGGGACCCTGCACCCACATGGGAGACCTGGAAGAAGCTCCTGGCTCTTGCTCCTGGCTTTGGATTGGCTCAGTTCCAGCCATTGTGGTCACTTGGGAAGTGAACCATCAGACGGAAGATCTTCCTCTCTGTATACTTGCCTTTCCAATAAAAACAAATAAAATCTTATTAAAATTATGAGTGGGAGTCCTCTGAGGCTCTATTAGATGCTGCTCTAGTAGAAGCTCCTTGCAGTCACCCCCTTGCACTGGTTTGTGATATGCTGTGGAATCTAGGTGAAGCCCCACCCCTCCACGGCCCTGCTGGTCGTTGCCCACGAGGCTGCACCCTGATGTCCCTGGCCTTCCCAGGTTGCCCTGCCACATTGCTGGTGACTTGTCTTGCCTAGGGTCGCCCATCATTGGCATCTCTGCTATTTCGGAGTTTCCTCTGCAACCCCGAAATAGTGGGAGATGTGGGTTTTATTAGTCCAGGTCCTTACCTTCTGCTTTACAGAAGTATTTTTTCTTCTTTTTAGAAAAAAAATTATTAATTTTCAAA